TTCATCCCTCCCTCCCTCCCTCCCCTTCCCCATCCCTCCCTTCATTCCTCCCTCCCTCCCCTTCCCCGTCCCTCCCCTCATCCCTCTCTCCCTCCTCCCCATGCCTCCCTTTTCTCCATCCTTCCCTTATCCCTCCCTCCCTTCCTTTTCCCCATCCCTCCCTCCCTCCCCTTCCCCATCCCTCCCTTCATCCCTCCCTCCCCTTCCCCATCCCTCCCTTCATCCCTCCCTTCATTCCTCCCTCCCTCCCCTTCCCCGTCCCTCCCTTCATCCTCCCTCCCACCATCCCTCCCTCCATTCATCCATCTCCTCCTTCTTCCATCCCTCCCTCTTCATCCATCCCCCCATTTAAGCATTTCTTCCTCCATCTATCCATTCCTCTACTCATCCATCTATCCATTCATGCACTGAACAAACCCACTTCCCTGTCCTAGCCCTTCTGTCCTGTCTCTTACCTTCACACGCTGTCTTCCCTCTGGACCATCAACCCCCTATACATACACACACATACACACTTAACTAACACCTACTCTTATTTATGTTTCTGCTTAGAAGAAGCCTCACCATCACCACCCCCAGTCTAAAGTAGGTCTCCTGCTGTTGCCTCTCACAGAAGAACCTCCTTCCTCCTTCCTAACGGTTGTCACATTTTGTCACTGAACATTTGTTTGTGGGTTGGTTTGCTTGTGGCCTGTCTCCATGAGCAGACTCTAAGCCCCGCAAGGGTAGGGGCCAGGTCTTTCTTCATTACCTACCAAGACCAGCCGTGCCCTTTCTTCTATCCCTCTCACCATAGCTACGTACATACCTGCATACAGGTGTACAGCCACTCATCCTCCTGCCTGCCTTTCCTTTATCCATTCCCTCCTCCCTCCATTCATCCATCTCTTCCTCCCCTCCTCCATCCCTCCATTCATCTGTCTCTTCCTCTGTTCTTCCATCCCTCCATTCATCCATCCCACAGCTGGGTCTCAGTAAGAGTCACTACATGAGCACATTGGGTGAGTTTAGAGAGAACCTACTGTGTGCAGAGTACAGGGCCTGGTGTCTTCTAGGGATTTGCTAATGAGCACAACTACCTCTTGAAGCTTACAATATAGTGGAGAGAGATAAAGAACGAGCATGAAGCATGTTAATGCCAGGAATGAGTTATGAAAGGAGCAGAGAGGAAATGTGGGGGGGGGGGCAGTTTGAATGCTGGCCCTGCCCAACCCTGACTGCTTAACGTTGGATAAGCTACTCTATCTCCATGAGCTTTAATTTCCTCACTGACGAAATGGAGCTAATAAAACTAGAGAGGGGAGAAAGAAACACTATTACCATGAAATTGCTTTAAATTGTTCAAATATATCTTCAGAGTTCTGTGAAAAGTTTTTTAAATAGATAAAAATTATTGTGAGAACTGAAATCAATGTGATTTATTGACGCAATTTTTTTATAGACGGAGCCAAGTAATGGAAATTAATAAACAACTGAAAATGTGTATTTATTAGAGTTGAGCTGGCTGTGGTAGCATGAGGATTACATGTCTGTGAAGTCCACCTAGAAAGAAAGCTGACATAGGGTCAGTGCTCAGCAGTCTCTGTTCTTTAATTCTCTTTGGTGGCAATGGGTAATCTTTGTTGAAGATGTCAATGCTTAAAATAAGCTGTGAAAAATGCATATGATTCTAATGTTTTAATACTACAAACATTAGATATAATTTTTAACACTTTAATAGACTCTTTCAGTTTCTATGTCTGCATAACAGATTACCCCAAAGTATAGTGTACAGTAATCATTTATTATGCTCACCAAGCGCGTGAGCCTTGGATCCAGACAGGGCATGGTAAGGATGGCTTGTCTCCTCTCCATATGATTGAGGTCTCTGCTGGAAAACTTAAAGGCTGGGGACTGAAATGATGTGAGGACTCACACATGGGTTCACCTGTCCAGTGTGGGTGCTGGCTGTCATCTGGGTACCTCAGTTTCTCCTTTCATGGGCCCTCCCCATGTCGCTGTGGGCCAGGTTGAGCTTCCTTACAACATGGCAGCTGGATTCTGGACCGAGAAATGGATCCAGGTAGAAGCTACATCCTTTTGATGACCCAGCCTTGAAAGTTGTTTACTGTCACTTACAGCACATTCATAAAAAGAACATGTTGAATGGGAGATAAATACTGATGCGGCCATCTTTGGAAAGATCCATCATGACACACACATGTAGTGTCTTACATAATCCTGACTATAGCCTATGAGGAAGGTGCTCTTCATAGCTCTCTTTTACAGAAGAGCCAATTAAAGTTCAGCAAGGTCAAAATTTTTGCCCAAGGTCATGCCTAATAAGTAACAGAAGTAGGATTTGAACTCAAGTCTCAGTGTCTCCAAAGCCATTACCATTACACTTACTGCCTGCCAAATGTAGAACAAGGATGCCAATGGCACATTCTGTTTCTTGAGCTCCTTAGTTGGCTGGATCCCTCGGAGATGCTGTTGAATCATGGTGCCTTGGTGAAAAATCTGGTGGCATTCTAGGCAGGGGCCCCACACAAGGACAGGCCTGAGAGGAGAAGCAGGGTGTAGGTAATTCAACCAGGGCAGGAGGGCACATGATGTGGTGTGGAGTTAAGACAGGAAGGGTTGGTTGGAGTCAGATTAGGGAGTGACCTTGAATCCAAGCAAGGCAATTTAAACTTTCCTTTGAGGAGATCCCAAAGTTTCTGAGCAAGTCAGTGATTATGGCCATAAAAATTAATTAGGAGGAATATGGGAGATGAATGGGTTAGTCGGGGGAGCCAATGGAAACCATGGTGGGGAGTGGTCAGCACAGCTGGAGTAACAGGGGTAACAGGGTTCGCTTGGTGGTGGGCCTACAGGAACTGGGGGGCTTGGTAAATGAGAGGGACATCCCAGAAAAGTCAAAGAACTTTGTGGGGACAGGGAAGGGAAGCGAAGCACCACACAAGGCTCCAGGGATCTGAACCCAGTTGGTCCGGGCAGGTGCAGGTGGGAGCCCTTCGTGGAATGAAGATAGCAAAAAGGAGGTAAGAAATATCAACATTTTCTGTTGGAAATTGAGTATTGGGTGTTGGGAGCTCAGAAAAGAGCCAGAGCAGATAATGAGAGTCTTTGCGGAGGGACTGTAGTCAGAACCATTAGATTAGGCAAGGCCTCTACGGGGGCAGTGTGGCCAAGAAGAGAACTGAACCCAGGACTTTGGAAAACAGAAAGGATAGGCCCATGGTTCTCAAACATTGGCATGCGGCAGGATCCTAGAGAGAGCGAGTCAAGAACTCAGAGACCCAGGTTCATCGAAGCAGGGCCTTTCCATGACCTGGGGAGGCCGGAAGGCTGGGAACAAATCTATGGGTTTACCGAGTTCCCAGGGGATTCTGAGACCCACCTAGGTGCTAAGAGCCACTAACTTGAGTCCAGATGGTCGTTCTCAACCTTGGCTCGTGTTGAAACCAGTGGAGCAGCTTTAGGAATACTCACGTCTGAGTCCCACCCACTCCTCTAGAGGGACATTAAAGACCCCTCAGGGAATTCTCAGAGTTAGCCAGCCTGGGGAACTCCCAGTTGGAAGAGGGAGAAAAGGCAGTGGTATTCAAGGGGTTGAGAAATAACAGCAAAAGCAGCAGGAGACCAGAAGGCTTGCGATGTGGTCCCCCTGGGCCGGGAAGGGGACGGTAGGCAATGGGACATGCAGCTAAGTTTTCGGTGGTCAGAACCCGATTGCACATGGGAATTCTGATGGCCACCTGACAGCCCATACCAGTGGCATCAGAAGTCTGCAAGTGAGTTCTTGAATTTAGCATCAGTACTTTTTTTTTAACTTTATAGGTGATTCTAACTGTCACGTGGCCTAGTTGGAGACAGTGATGCTTATTGCACTTGCATATGGACACACTTCACGGGGGGTCTGGTGAAGATGCAGGTTCTGATTCAATAGGTCTGGGGCGGGGGGAGCTTGAGACTCTGCATTTCTACCAGGCACTTTGAGTAGCAAGGATGTACGTTACTGTTCAAAAGTCATGACGTTCAGCGGCACCCGGGAACGGGTGGCTCAGTGGTTGAGCATCTGCCGTTGGCTCAGGTTGGGATCCTGGGATCCTGGGATCGAGTACTGCATTGGGCTTCTTGCGGGGATCCTGCTTCTCCCCCTGCCTGTGTCTCTGCCTCTCTCTGTGTGTCTCTCATGAATAAATAAATAATCTTAAAAAAAAAAAGAAGTCATGACGTTCAGCGCAGACACCCCTTCCCATACCCTATTGTAACCCTCTGCTCCCAGAATCAAACCCCACCCTGATTCCAGCAGGCAGGAGGGCAACTAGAAGTTTCCTGCCTGCATCTCTTCCCCTCGTGGCTGACATAGCAGAACTGGGATAAACGTTCCTTCCCCTCCTTATCTGCCAGCAGGGTAGGCATGTTTTTAAAAGAGCAATATGGTGTTTCCATTCACACATGCATGCAGCCTCATACACTTCCCACCCAAGGCAGAGGAGGGAAATCGTCTCCATGCCCGATGAGCATCCAGGACCCCACCCTCCCCAGGGTACCCAGCCTGGCCTCCACCAGGAACAGAGGAAACCAGCCCCTACACGTGCCCTTCGCCTCACACTGAAACCCTGACTGCCCTGTAGGGCAGGGAAGAAGGACCAGAGCTGCCTGACCCCGGGCTCAGATCTGAGTTCCAATCCTGGCTCTGCCCCTTCCTGGCCACGTGCCCTTGGAAGAGTTGAGGAACCTCTCTGAGCCTGTTGGGGCAGTCCTTTTTTCTTCGTAAAATGTGTGAAATAATGACCAGCCTCTTCATGGTTGCTGGATGAATCCACTGATTTCATGGATAGATGGGTATAAACCCCAAAAGCAGCACAAAGCAGGGCATGTCGTAATGAGAGGGTCAGAGGGTGGGTGATGCGTGCTGGCCTCCATCCCCACAGTCAGCCTGCCGCCGCCGCCGCCGCTCCCAGCTCAGGAGCGGCCCATCTGACCCACACGTATGCTCTTCCCTCCCGCAGACATGGGGAGCTTCGAGGAAGGCGAGAAGCGCCAGAGCGTCTCCCACGGAGAAGCAGCTGTCATCAGCGCCCCACGCATCGCCAGCTTCCCACGGCCACAGGTGACCTGGTTCCGGGACGGCCGCAAGATCCCGCCCAGCAGCCGCATGTGAGGCCCTGCTCTGGAGGGGGACGCAGGGGGCTCGCCCTGGGAGAGGGGATGGGGGACCTCCCAGATGACGAGAGAAGGCTGGTTTGCAAGCAGGGGCGTTCTGGGAACGCTCATGGCAAGACTTGGAAGCACCACAGCTCGGTTCCCCTCTCTGGGGAACCCCAGGGCGTTGGCCCCACTCTCAGCTGGACAGTCCTCCTGCCTCCCAAAGCACTTAAACCCCCGACAGGCACCAACAGAAGCCATCCCCATCCGTGGGAGGGCGCTGGCATGTCCCCGGCAGGGTGGCCACCCGGGTGTTTCCCGTGTGGGGTGCGGGAGTGGCCGTGTGTGTTTTGGCTGCGGGGAGGCGGGGAGGCCAGGGGAGGCCCGGCAGGAAGAGAAACACATGGCCCTTTCAGCATTAACAAGGACCCCTCTGTGTGGCCCAAGGCGTGGGTTGTGGCAGCCGGGCCTGTGGGCAGGACCCGTGGAGCCCACACCTCCGCAGAGGGCGAGGGGCAGAGCGTTTCCTCCAGGGACACTCCCAGGCCCCCTGAGCCGGGCCGGCCCGGGGTCTGGAGCCAGCCCAAGCTCTCTGCTTTTGGACTCCGCCTCCCCCCTCCTCCCAGAAAACAAGAAAGACCCTCTCTGTCCCCGTCTCCTCAGGCCACAGGTCAACGGTGGGTGGAGCCCATCCTGGTCTCTGTGGGAAGTGGGAGCCAAGGTGGACAGTTCTTGCCTTTGGGGGACATGAAGTCAAGTGAGAGAAGCCTCACAAGAATAACGTGCTAACACCCTGGCACCAACAGTGGCTGCCGTTCATTGAGGGGCCGCCGTGTCCCCGGACCTGAGCTCAGCACGCTACGCCATCCCCTCCACCAGGATCGGTGTGCACCTCCAAGCGAGAGACACCCCGGCTCGTTCCCCCTCCTCGTCCCAGAGTGTGCACTCACATAACATCCGCTGGATGACGGACCCTCACCACCTTCCTAGGAGGTGGTTGGCTCGGCCTCCACTTTACAGACAGTAAAGCACCCCCTCCCGGCCCCCCAAAGTTTAACTACTTCTCCAAGTCTCACACAGCCAATTCCAGGCTTGCCGACTCCAGGGTCAGGGTCCTTCGTTCTGTCTTAGGTGGAAATTATGTGACAACAGGGACGAAGACCAGGAGGGAAGAAGGATAATAGTGATCGCACTTGTAGAGGATTGGCCCTGGCGCACTGCTTCTCAACCTGGCTACCCGTTAAAATCGTTTGTGGCCATTTAAAACGTGTTCTCTTTAGGTCCTACCCCCCGACACAGTCCGGTTTTGTTGAAATGGGGTGCACCCTGGCACTGGGAGTTTTTTAAAGCTCCCCTGTGATTCCAACCTGCAGCCACAGTTGAGAACCCCTGCCCTAGAATGTATCTGTTACCTACAGATACAGCAATGCTGCGTAACAAAAGCGCCCAGAGCCCTGAAGCAGAAAGCATTTCTATGTCCTATGAATCTTCAGATCGGGACCTTGGCGGGGCTCTCTGATTTGCCGGGGGGTCAGCTGGCTATTAACGAATTAGAATAACTGGGGGATTCGGCTCCACATGTGCCATCCCCAGCCAGTTAGCCCCGGAAGCTTCTGGCAATTGCAGAGGAGCAGAACGTGGGTTTGCCAATCCTCTGCTAACATCCCGATGGTCAAAGCGAGGCACGTAGTAGAACTCAGCCTCAGGGAGCAGGGGGTTTAACTCTGCCTCTTGAGCGGGAAGGCCCACGAAGTCACATGGCAAAGGCTACAGAGCAAGGGAAGAATTGGAGCTCCCCACCGCCCGCCCCCGCCACCTCCCGGGTTAACAGGTGGACGGACTCATGGTGTGTGGGTCGGTTCAGGCTCCCTCACACCTCATGAAGGGCCAGTGAAGCCCGCAGAGCATGGGTTACCATGCACACAGACAGGTGCTCCACCCCCACCCCCACAGGGGCTGGGACAAGTGAGTCCTCAGCCCTCCCTAACGCCCCCCTCTGAGGTTATCTCACAGCTCCAGGTATATCCGTGGTGGCATCCTGCAGGCCAGTCAGTTGGCAGAGGCTGCCTGGCACACTGTGTTGAGAAGGATGCTGAGGCCCCATCCAGGCTCAGGGGCGAGAGCAGCACCACGACATTTCCGCAGTGGGCGCCGTGCCTGCGGGAGGGCCAGTGGGCACTTCTCTCCCGCGTTCTCTGTGGCGGATGAAAGCCTCTCTCCATCCTCACTCCCACCACCCCTTGCCTAACACCTTGCCGCCCCCCTTTTCTCACTCCTGCCCTGTGTCCTCACCCCCCCTGCCATTCCCAACAGCCTCTGGCACCACGACCGAATGATCTTGGCGTGCACACACATGCCCATCTTTGTGGTCACGCCTGCCACCTTCCCACCCACTCCAGCACCCCAGCCAAACACGAGATAGGACGCCGTGGAGATTTTATCTCAGCAATTACAGCAGATTAATATTCATGGCTGAGAGGGGAGGTCCCTGGAAGCAAATTCTCCGGCGTCTGTTTCCCAGAGATACGTATCTGATGAGCGCTATCAGCCGGAGGGGTGTGCAGGGTGCTGACGGCGGGCGCTATCTCCAGAAGGCTGCTCTCGCTGCCGGGGCAGGGACGGCGATTAGCCACACTTCGCCCGTGCCCTGGCGCTTGTTGTTGAAAAGGAGACAAGATTCCTAACAAAGACACATGCTGGGGGCTTTGGGCAGCTTCTAGGATGATTTCTTTTCTTCTTAATTAAATTATCAATTGGACCCCCGTGGACCGGAGGAATAAAAGGGGGCTGGCTTAATAGGAGTAGTGGATGGAAGGTGGGGGTGGGAGCCGGGCCAGTCAGAGAAGTGGGAAAGACCTAGTAGGTTGGAACCTCGAGTGTGGCTGGAAAATGAAACCCAGCCCCCACCCGAGAGTTGAACCCTGACCTCCATGCCCTGAAAGAATTCCACCAGCTTCTTTCAGAGTGGGTGAATCTGGGGTGCAGCAGGCCAGAAACAGCTCCGTGCACTTTATAAGTGAGGTATGGGGTCATTCCAGAACGTTCTATCGAGGGGGTGGTCATCCTGTAGAAGGCTGGAAGTCCAGAAGCCTTCCTTTGTCACCTGCTGAGGGCAGAGGGAGGGCAGATCAAAGGCCATTAGTGCTTCCCGGTCCCTCTGGCACATTCAGAGGGACATCCCTGGCCCCGAGGACCCCAATCCAGAACACTCTCCTTATAGTGCTAGTGAAGGCAACGCCAGCTGCAGTTACAGACAGATGCCCCAAGTCCCAGGGACCTAGTTAGCAACAGAGAAGTGTATTTCTTACTCATTTATAGTCCCAGCAAAGGGGATCCCTGGGGGGCTCAGCAGTTTAGCCCCCGCCTTCGGCCCAGGGCATGATCCTGGAGTCCTGGGATCGAGTCCCACGTTGGGCTCCCTGCATGGAGCCTGCTTTTCCCTCTGCTTGTGTGTCTGCCTCTCTCTCTCTCTCTCTCTCTCTCTCTCTCATAAATAAATAAATAAATAAATAAATAAATAAATAAATAAATAAATAAATCTTTAAAAAAAAATAAAAATAAAGTCCCAGCAGAGGTGAGGCAAGGGAGGGACACCCCTCCACAGTCATTCGGGGCCCCTGGCTGGTAGGAGCACTGCCATCCTCAACACTGGGCTTCAGAGTTGCCCTGCTCTGACAGAGGGGAGAACCTAGGAGCTATACAGGGGGGTCTTAGGGTCTGAGCCTGGACCCTCTGCCATAGGTCAGAAGCCCAGCCCCACTGCCCCACCTGGTCTCCCAACAACTTACGTCCCAGTAGAAGGGCAGCCTGAAACAGGTGGATGAACCCGCTGTGCCATCCCACCTAGGTCAGAGCATCTCTACCAGGGCACAGTCCACATTTGGGGCCCGAAAACTCATTGTTGCGCAGGCTGTCCAGTGCATTGTAGGACACTTAGCAACATCCCTGAGCTCTACCCACGTGTTCCCGTCACAGCCCCACGCTGTGATACCGGAACTTGTCCAGACATTGTCAGATGTCCCCTGGAGGGTGAAGCCACCCTGATTGAAAACCACTGACCTAGAAGGATCCATCGTTATATAGACAGAGGGAAAGAAGAGAACAGGAGTGGGGTGGGGTGGGTCTTCTTGGTCAAGGAGAGAAAGTATTGAAGATGGGAACCCTCCCAGGAGGCAGGAGGGGGTTCAGGGCAGGCAGATACACTGGGGAGTGGGACCAGGCCTTGCCCAGTGCACCTCCCACCTGAGGCCTCATCCAGCGTGTTCCCTCAGTGTGGTGTTGGAGAGGATGGGGAGCTGCCGTCAAGTGGAGACCGAGGCTCAGCATGGAAGAGGCTGTGCTCCTTCGAGGCTGGGGCCAGAGCTCATTCCAGAACTGCCCCCGGCGCTTGACACAGCCCAGCCTTCCTCCCCGACCCTGGCCCGCCCCACAAGCCACACTAAAGGACAAAGGACCCCTCTAGGAGACTTCCCTGTGGGGAAACCATACCTGTTCTTGTCCCATTTTAGCCCAACTTCATCCTACTTCCCATCAGCTCATTAGCTGGAGGGAGGGGGGGTTTCCTCCAGGAAAAAAAAAATGAATATAGTTAGGGTACCCAAGAATTGGGGCAGGAGGGCTTTGCCTTCCTACTTCCCAGAGCACCGCTGACATTGGGAGACTGGCCCACAAACCTCCCCAAAACCAGGAGAGAGGGGACACCAGCGCAGCCCGGCTAGAGAGGCATTAGCAAGGATGTTTATTTGAGAGCCTGTTTAAAACTCTGTAACATTCACCTAATGGGAAAATTTGAAAAGAATTCAACTGGGTCTGTCCTTGTTAAACTAACATTAAGGATGTTTAACAGCTGTCTCGGGCACATCACATTAAAATCCGAGATAGACTTGACAAACTAATGGTTTTGTTTGTCATCGAGAGAATGGGTGAGGGGGGAGCCGGGCAGAGCGGACGTGGGCTGTGCTCCTGACGCTGTGTCCCCAGCATCGGATGGGGTCCCCAGCTTCCCCTTGCACCGCGAAGACCAGGGGCTGCGGGGCTGCAGGGTGGGACCCCAGCAGAGGGAACCTGCACCCCACTGCCCAGGGCCTGCCTCCTTCCTCTCAGCCCGCATCCAGCCAGTCTCATCCTTGTTGATCAGCTTCAGGGAAGGTAGAAACTGACACCCTGGGAGGGGGTTGGGGGGAGCGATGAACCCCCTTCATCGGGGTTCTGGGCCACCTGTGGCTTTGGAATCAACCTGAGTAAATGTAGGATTAGGTTAAGGCATGGATTCTGGAAGCATCCTGCTTGTTTCTAAATTCTCGATCATCGCTCATCATTCATTCCTCATTCATTCATTCCAGTGAATGACTTTCGCTGGTGTCAGACCCTCCTGGTGCAGGGATGGTCACACACAGCATCGAAGCTGTCACTTGGGAGAGGACAGATGGCTGTGAGGGCTGGGGCACCCGGGGTTGGCGTGGGGTGGGGGCCTGGACTCTTCGTCCAGATGGCGTGTGGATGGTCTCAGACCTCCGTGCATGTGCTGGACATGGGTCGGACCCCGGCACTGGCAGCATGTTGGGGTTCTCTGCAGATGAGACATGCTGAAGTTGAGGCGGGAAGTGGTCCCAGGAGCTGGACTGGAGGAGGGGTTCCGGGGGCCACCGGCTTCTTGTCCCCACGCTCATCGTCCGATGCTCGGGGCCGGGGGGCCCCCTGTCAGACAAATCCTTCTCCCCTTCGCAGAGCCATCACCCTGGAGAACACCCTCGTCATCCTGTCAACGGTGGCTCCCGACGCAGGCCGCTACTACGTGCAGGCCGTTAATGACAAGAACGGTGATAACAAGACCAGCCAGCCCATCACTCTTGCCGTGGAGAGTAAGTAAGCGGCCGGGCCTGGGACGGATGGAGAAGCGCGTCATTAAATCTCGGGAACGGGGCTCCGGGGGGTCGTTGGGAAGATGGAATGGTGGCGGAAGGCGGGGGGAGGCTACGGTAGGGCAGCAGAGGGGCCTCCGAGGAATCGGATGGGGAGACCCAGCTGTGGGAGGGCGAGGGTGGAAGCAAGGAGGGAGCCAGGGCCTGGACCCCGTTCCCAAGACAGATCTGAGACCCTGCATCGGGGGAGGGGACCCGCAGCTGGCCATCAGCAAGGCTGCCCGAGGCCCAGGGAGGCCGTGGGAGGCAGGGGACAGTGTGTGTGTGTGTTGGGGTTACAGCCACCTCTGGGGCTCAGGCGCCCACAGGGAGAGCGTGCAGGGGCTGGGGGCTCGTCTCTTGAGGACCCCACACTCTGGAGAACAGTCTCCACTAGCTGGTACGTCCAAAGCTCTGCTGCTCCTCAGAGCCGGGCCGTCTCCACTCGTGGGAACCCAGGCTCCTGCCTGAAGATGCCCCTCTGCCCCTCCCAGAAACCACCCAGTGCCCAGGAAGAGATGGGCAAAGCTCTCCCCAGTGGCAGAGACCAGATGGTAGCAAATGAAAAGGGTTAGCTCTTCGGGTCTCCTTTGGCAAAGAGGAGGGATTTGTTCGGCCGGGACTGGAGGCAGGTGTCGGATCCCTGGTGAGGATGCTGGGACGCCCTCCCTGGCCTGATCCTCGCCAGCCGGCCTGCAGCCCCCCACCTCGCACCCCCCCCGACCCGTCCCTCTGCACCCCATCCCGGGGAGAGAGAAGGCAGGTGAGGTGGTGGCTCCTGCAGCCGGCCCGGGCCCCGAAGCACAGAGTACGTGGGACCAGAGCTTGCAGCAGCCGCCAAACAACCCTGCAAGCTGGGGGAGCCAGATGTTTACGTCCCTTCACATCTGTACGGCTCCTGCTCCAAAAGCAAGTCTCATTTATCATCCGTGGTCGCATGGGGACACAGCTGCCAGCCGCAAGACAAAGGGTGCAGGTCTGCACGGGGCCTTCCCGTGTCCTTCCCTAGATCCCCGCCTCTGACTGCCAGCGTCTGGAGAGCCCAGAACGTTCCTCAGCCTTACCGCGTCCATTCCTGGGTTTTCTGAGCACCAGCAGAACCCCTTCCCGCGTCCCTGGAACTCTGTGCTCCCAGGCCCCAGCTTCCAGGCGGCCTAGAAGGAAACCTGAGTGCACAGAGAAGGATCCTGACCTATCAGGGTCACACGTATAACCTCTGACGTTGACCTGGGCCAGGGTCTCAGTCTGGTCCCCGTAGCCTGGGGCCCAGCCATGACGTGGGGCTGCTGTTTCTATAGCGAAAGGAGCGTAATCATCAGAGAGAGACGTTTCTCCCCCATGTGTTCTCCAGTGATCAGAATACCGGGGTCTGATAGAATTTAGTCACTGGGGAAGAGGCAATGTTCAGGGACTGAGTCAAGGCCAGGCATCTTCCTGGGTGACTCAGTTTACCCTGAGACCAGAGATTGGAGCCTCCCACTCTGCGCTCCTCGCCAGCCCCCAACCTCCTCCTCGTGGGACTTAAGCCAGCGACTCCGTGGGCTGACTGTGGGTGTCATTCCTGTCTGCTCCGTCTCAGCTCCCCACCCCAACCCTCCATCAGGCCCGAGAGAGGAGGGTAGGTCCCTTCCAGACCCCCGTGGCCGCCCAAGCCTCCCCCAGCTGTCTGCTTCTCCCACCCCATCGCCCCTCACCTTCTGCTCTCACAAGGCGATTTGTACTGGATTAAGAGCAGAATCTGCTGATTTTCAGCTAATTTCTCCTCCCACGAGTGATTGCACTTCAAAACCCTGTTCATGTCACTGACACAAATCCCCCAGCCTGCCTGCCTGCCAGCCAATTTCCTAGGAGCAATTGCCACTTCACCCACCCCCAGCTCCATCCCCCCGCACCCCCCTTCTGTTCCCCCCTCCTCACCCCTTCATCCCTCCTCTGCCCCGGGGCATTTCTGCTTCTTGGAGGAGATGCCGGTGCTCTTCAGAAATGGAGACATCACGAGCAGAACTGGTGCCCACGTCAAGTTGGGCGCTGACCCCTACCCAGGGGTGACCCTGGTGACCCCACGCAGATTGTCAAACCGGGACCGTGGCCCCCCACTCAGGCATCAGAGCCGCACTGTCCCGTAGAAATGTAATGGGAGCCGAGGGAGGAATTTAGAACTTGCCAATGGCTTCATTTTTTAAAAAAGGGAAAAAGCAACGGGAAATTAATTTTATTGATATATTTTATTTGCCCCAACATACCCAAAACATTACCATTTTAACATCACAATCGACAGAAAATACTAATAAGGTGCGTTAACGCCGGGCTTCTTTATCGTACCGAGTCTTCGAAATCTCTGTGTGTTTTGTACTTGGAGCACATCTTCCCGTTGCTCAATTTTCATCTGAAATACGTGATCTGCATTTAGACCTCATCAAATTTACAGCTGGAAAGGTGATGTTGGATACCCACGTTGTTCTACACATACTTAAAAGTGTTCTAATAACTGATTTGGGGATCAGTTTTTAATTAAATGTAAATTAGATAAAATTAAATCCCATTAAATCAAAGGGGCGCCAGTCACATTTCAAGAGCTCGGAGCCACCTGTGGCTCGCACCCCCCCCCCACCCCGTGTTGGATGCCTGCCTGCCCAGGAGAGGGGAGCAGCTACCTCCTGCCCGCCCGCCCCCCCACACACACACATACACACACCCTTGACCTGTGGTCCTGGCCGGTTGCAAGTCACATGGTCCTTAAACCTCTGTTTCCTGGTGCCTCCGGCCAAGTGTAGTTGGGAGGATTGGAAGAGGTGACCCGGGGAGAATGCATCGCAGCGGTGTCCGTCCTGGTGCCTGAATCATCCTGGGGCAGCAGGACCCAACCTTGCCCCTGCTGGAGAGCCCCTGTGCCTCCTAAGCCCTGGTCTGGTCCTCGGAGGCAGGAACTCCCGTGGAAGACACGCCTCCTCTCCTTGCCCTGATTCACGTGTGATTTTCTTGGCTTGACCTTTGGGCCCCATTCACCCCACGGTCCAGAGCATGAGTCCAATGAGGCAGATGTCCTGCAATGCATCCCTGAGCATGGCCAGCGGCCCTCCTCACCCCAGCTGGTCACCTGAAGGCCTGGTGAGCAAGGAGCTGATAGCACAGGGTCCGTCCCATCCCCCGCTCCAGTGTAGAGCACCTGTCAGTAAGGTGTGTCCTGCTTGGGGCCAAGTCCGCAGCACCCGGGGCCATCTCGACCTCCCCAGTCCACTTTGAGCTGTCGTCCTCTGCCTTCACATCACACCAAGAGCTTTCATTTCCAGAATAGGAGACTGGTGAGGTCAGGGGGAGACCAGGGAACTGGGGGTGGGGGTAGGAGGGAGGGAGAAGGGACACTGTCTGGTTCCCTTTAGGGGAAGACTGGGTGAGGCACAGTATGGTCGGAGGTCCTGGAGGCTGGAGAAGGGGATCCACAGAGCTAAATATGCTGAGCAGTCAGAGAACCAGAGTGGAGATAGGGGATGTGCACCCCGGAGGTCACGGGTGACAGGGAGGAGAATGGGTGCATGGGGGCTGCGGGGAGGGGAGCGGGGGTGCGGGTGGCAGCCAGAAGGGAAATCTGTTTCCTTCTGTGCCCGAGCAAGGGCTGAGCCAGGGAGATGATTTGGGGTGTGGTTAATGGCATGGGTTTGCAGCCCCCGAGACCTGGTCCCATTCCTGGTTTGGTCCCTCATTAGCGACTGTCACTGGAAACTAAGCTACTTCACGTCTCTGGCTTTCTCAGCTTTCTCATGTGTAAATTGGGGATGACAATATCGACCTGCCCCTGGTGGCCCATTGTGACCTTCCCCTCCTGGTTGCGTCCGGGTCCATCACGTGGTTTGGGCGGGTTGAGGGTGGAAGACCAGGAAGTCGTCCCCACGCACAGGCAGGTAAACCCCAAGGGGACAGACTGTCACTTAATTAGGACCTACTGTGTGCCCCGAGACCAGCCACCTCTGCTGAGACCCTTCTTCCCAGCATCTCCCCCATCAGCGCTAAACCCCCAGGATGACTGGCATAGAGCAAGGGGTAGAAGCAGGTCCCCCCACCCCAGGCCTTCCTTCACTGGGACAGGGATCCCCAGCCGCAGCTGGTCCCTCCCCTCAGGCCCCAGGGCTGCTGCCAGGACCTCTAGGGTCCCCGGGTGGGTGTCAGTCCCTCCTCAGCTCTGTTTGTCCACAGTTGCCCTGAGACCCTGGGGCGGCCCTCCTGTCTTTAAACTCCAAGGGCTCGGTTTACCTGGCTCCTCAGTGGGGGGCGCCGCTCGGGCTCTAACTGTCTCTTCTCCTCCTCTTGCCCCATTAATCTGGGCCGTGGTACCTGCACGCCCGGGCGTGTAATAAACAACTTAGAGCACACTTTTATGGATTCAGCTATATCAGCAGCTTTCAATCCGATCGCTCTTTATGGCACCTACATGAGGCTTTTATATTGTTGCAATTATTTTACTTTATATGCTTCCTTTCTTCCCCCTTCATTTTACTTTATTTTTTACATTTTATTCCCTTTTCTAGCAAAGCCTGGAGTCCAGGTGGGAAAACCTGCCCAGGGCTGAGCAGCACGGCCCAGAGCAGCAGCGGGACTGCGACATGCTATCCCCATTAAGGATGTCCTGTCCCTGTCCACCCCCCGCCACCCCACCCCAACCAGGGCTGTGCAGGTCATTATATCTGCCACCTCCAGAGCCTCCTGGGAAGGAGCCAACTGGATGGATTTTTTGCAAGAGAAAAAGCCCTCTGTGGTTGTACTTTCAGGAGCCATGGGGCAGGTGCACAGAGAATATTGGAGTTTCTGCCAGTATTGGGCCTGCGCCGACCCACAAAGACGAGAGCCTGGCCACTTCTTAAGGAAACTCAAAAAATACAAGAGGCAAAGCAACTGCCTCTCTAAGAAGAGTTCGGGGTCTTGTGTTGTGTCTATAAAACCTGCTCGTGATAACGTTCTCTCAGGATCGCCAATCCTGAAGCTGTGCCGGGGAAAGCTCTGGGTCCGTTCACCTTGCAAACCTACGTGAGCCCCTACTGTGTGCCCCACACCTGTCCTGTGCTGGAGAAGGAGGCGTGAGCCAGGCTGTCTTAGCTCGGGCTGCGGTAACAGGTCCCCCCACTCCCCCACCCCCGGGGCTTGAGCACAGGCAGCGACCTCTCAGCTGGGGAAGTCCAAGGTCAAGGGATCAGCACCATTGAGTTGTGCTGAGGCCTCTCCTCCTGACTTGCACACAGCCGCCTCCTCGCTGCATCCTCGAGTGGCAGAGACAGCGCTCTGGTGTCTCTTTCTCTTCTGATCAGGGCACCAGCCCTGTTGGGTTAAGGCCCCACCCTTATGACCTCATTTAAGCTGATGGCCGAGGAAAGACCCCCATCTCCAAATACAGCCACATGGGGGTTAGGGCTTCAACAGATGGATTTGGAGGGGACATAATGCAGCCCAAAGCAAGGATCTGTGAGGTTCCTGACCCGGGGAATGTATTAGCTTCCTTGGGCTGCTGTCACAAAGGTCTACACCTTGGGGGGCTCGTGACAATGGAAATGTACTCTGACAGTTTTACCGGCCAGATGTCTGAAATCAAGGTGTCAGCAGGCTTGTGCACGCTTGGAAAGGCCTAGGGGAGGATCCTTTCTTGCATCTCAGCTTCTGGTGGTGGCCGGCAATCCTTTGCATTCCTTGCCTTGGAGATAGAGGCCTCCAGTCTCTGCCTCCATGCTCAACTGGCCTCCCCCCCCCCCAATAAGTTCATGTGTCTGTGTCTGTGTCGCATTTCACTCTTGTAAGGACACATTGTATGGGATGTCGCCCCCCCCCCCACAGAAGGACTTCATTTTAACTTGATCACACCTGCAGAGACTCTATTTCCAAATAAGGTCACATCCACATCTACCATGGATGTGAATTGGGGGGATTACTATTTGACCCAGTACAGGGAGTCTGCATTCAGGTGGAAGAGGTGGCAAGAAGGGAAGGATTTTGAAGGCAAAGACAGGACAAGGGGCTGAGGGGGAGGGGATGTTGTATGACAGGAAGCGGGGAGGGCTCTGGAGGTCTCCAGTGGGCACTTCCTGGACACCAGGGGTATGCATGAACAGAGGAGGAGAGGTGAGAGGGACCCGAGGGTCACACCTGCAGGTTCGGCTCTAGCACTGCTTGGGTGGCTGCCCCAAGGTCACCTGCCCCACTCCACAAGGGCAAAAGTCTCCTGTGGCATCAGCCTCTAATAGGGGCCAGACAGAGGATTGGGACAGGATTCCCAACCTCTGTCTCCAGCTAACCCCTGACCTCTCCCCAGATGTCGGGGGGCCTGCCGACCCCATCGCCCCAACCATCATCATTCCTCCCAAGAACACCAGCGTGGTGGCCGGGACCTCGGAGGTGACCATGGAGTGTGTGGCCAATGCCAGGTGGGTAGTGCTTCCCCCGCCACCCCATTCCCCTTCACCCTTAACTCCAGCCGGTGCTCCTGACCTGTGGGCTCCAAGAGGACCAGACTGAGTTCAGGAAGGTCTGGAGGTGTCACAGGAGGACCCAAGAAAGGAGGTGGAGCATTTACCCTGGAGGAGGGGTGACGAGTGTACCTACTGGCTAATGCCAGAGGGTTGTTGGATACGATCCGGGCTGGTTCATTCTTGTGGCCCGAGAGGAGAGACCAGGTCCCGGTGGAAGTTACAAGGCAGCAGGTCTCAGCCCAGGATAGCGATGCCTCACTTGTAGCCCTGAGAGTGACCTGGAAGGGGCCGGTGTCATTCTTGCACGCAGGCACCTGTGACAGGGACACCAGGCAGGGAGATGATTCACGTGGGGGACTTGGCAGGAGGGCAGACCTGGGGTCAGGCACAATTGCAGCCCTTTCCTGGCCGTGTGCCACCCTCCCTTCTCTCATGCAGGAAACAAATAATTAAATACACAGGTAAATAAAACGCTCACGGCACTGCAAGCCACATCACGTGTGGGTGCTGAGCTGTGCTTCCCATGCAATTTCTGTTCCTCCGACGACTACCCCAAAGCCCAGAGAGGACAATCAGGTCACCCAGCTAGCCAACAGCAGGGTGGCAATAGAACAGGCCACCCTCGAGATCCAGGCCCGTTGCCGTGCTCTGGGCCTCAGTCTCCTCGGCTGTAAAATGGGAATGATTGGAGCACCCACTTCCCCAGTAAGGCAGGTAGGATGAGTACGGAACCCACCTCGGAGTACACAAGAAAGGTGTTAGGATGTGATGGGTTGGGGGGGGTCAGACCAAGGGTTCTGAGGCTGTTGGAGGTTCCTGGAAAGGTGTCCGGTCTCAGCGTTTCCCTGTGAAAGACCGAAGCATGAGGCAGGCTAAGGGCGCAGAGACGACCCGCAGCCGAGAACCTGCCTCACATCACAGGAGCCAGTGTTGCCCACACTTCCTTGACGACGGGACCCTTTCCATGGGACCCTCTGCACACCCTGTAAGCTAGCACAGATCCCCCCACCTCAGAATCTGCCAGGCACTAACCGGGAGAGCAGGCCAAGGCCGATCTGGGGGGGGATCTTGAGTGCCAGGGTTGGGGATGGGGTGCCCAACTCACCCTCTGGCGATGTCAGGGGCAGGTATGTCCTTCTGCCTGCCTCGTCCTCTCCAAACCCTGGGTGTTTCTCTCCCGCTCCTCCTCGTCCTGTCGCCCGGTCTCTGTCCCTGTCCTGCCCGCTGGCTCCAGTTCGGATGTGGGGCCGCCCCAGGGCACAGAAGAGTGAGACACCCAGCTCTGGGGCCTCCGGTTCCAACGGGAGCCCCATGCACCCAGTCAGTGCTGCGCTGTGCTCCAGGTGCTCCCCGGAGCTAAAGCATCCACCCTCCCCACAACCCCCCAGGAGGCACACATGTCCTGTTTCGTAGACAAGGAAACTGAGAAGTGGTGGGGGCTGGGACCCTGGGCCTGCACTCCCACCCCCCCACCCCCCCAGTCCTGGCCCTCAGGCCTCTCGGGGTCCCTGGGGCTGAGACCCCACCTCCCTCATGCCTTCCAGACCCCTGATCAAGCTGTACATCATTTGGAAGAAAGACGGGGTGCCGCTGTCGGCCGGCATCAGCGACTACAACCGCCGGCTGACCATCCCCAGCCCCACGGGCAGCGACGCTGGCTACTACGAGTGCGAGGCTGTCCTGCGCAGCAGCAGCGTCCCCTCGGTCGTCCGTGGAGCCTACTTGTCTGTGCTGGGTGAGATGGGGCAGGGCTGCGGGGGTCCCCCTACTCTGCCCCTCCAGGGCTGAGGGCAGTATGGCCAGAGCCTTCTGAAGGGTGACCCGAGCAGTGGCTGTCTCAAAAGGAGCATGGCTCTGAGCCCCTCCCCTGGTCCTTCCTCCTGCAGAACCGCCTCAGTTTGTCAAGGAGCCCGAGAGACACATCACGGCGGAGATGGAGAAAGTGGTGGACATTCCCTGTCGGGCCAAAGGTAACCAGCAGCGTGGTCAGAGGGGAACAAGGACCCCGCCACCGCCCTCCCCAGACCTTCAGCCCCTGCCTGTCCCTGTCACAAACTCTTCTAAATTCCACTCCCTCCTCCGGGCAGCATCACCAAGCAGGGGTCCTGTCTGGCTGTGGGAAGACACCCCAGGAAACAAACAGGCCAAATTACCATAATCTCAGGACTTGAAATCGACCCACGTCACCATAACTTGGGGGTGACAAATGAATCCAAATTACCGTAATTTCAGGATAGGTGACAGACTGAAATGGCCCATAATTGGAGAGTCGTAGACGATGCCAAATTACCGTAATGTCAGAACTGCTGGAACTTGGGTGCCTCTCGCCGGAGATGGGTCTCATGAGCTCCACCTGGTTTCTGGGACATTTTGCTCCATTTTCTCCCCTGCTCTCTCTACTTAACCCCCCTTGTCAGAGATCCTGGGATTTTCTTCTTTCCCCACCCCCAACCTCCCTCTTTCTGGCCCAGCAGAGCTCTAGCCCGAAACCAGAGTGAAGCCTGGGGTTGATCAGATGGGAGGAAGAGAACGTGCGCTATGGCCCGAGGTCTGATTGTGAGCAAAGAGCCAGGACGTAGCTCGGGCAGGAGGAGGCGAGTCAGGACCCCCCTTCGGAGAACACACAAAGATCCAGTCGTTCACCCAGTGGACGTTTTTGGAGGGTTTACCAATGTGCCGATGCTGCTCTCGGGCTAGGGAGACGCGGGCTGAACCAAACGGCCAAATCCTTGCTGTTCCAAAACGTATTTCTTTAAGAGGAAGGCAGACCCACCAATAAACAAATAAAAATGCCTCATTTCATTTCATGGAAAGTGCCAGGGGGTTGTGAGAGGCCCCATTATTTTATGTGCCACCAAGAAAGAAAAAAGACTGTGGGTGAAATTATGACACGCTTTCGGTGGTAAGACACGTCCTGGTCGCAGAGATGTTACCACGTGAAAGAGCGTGCCCCGTGGAACGGGTGAAATTCAGCGTCCTAGGATGTCAGGGAGGAGAAGTGCTGGGAAAGAGAAAGAAGCCGGCGGGCTTGGGGGGCTAGGAGCGATGGGGTGCTCTTTTGAATGGAGTGTGGGAGCTCCTCTGGGGAAGTCACATTTGAGCAGAGACCCGGGGACAGGGGGGTAGGTTGGGGGTACCTGTGGGAAGACCATGCAAGGCCAGGGGTGCAGGGCTTGGGCAAGGCTGAGAGATAGGGACCCCCCCCATTCACCTCTCTCTCCAGACGGGGTAGGAAGGGGCTTCCAGAGGCCATCCAAGGACCGCTAGCCCCCTCTGCATGCCCCTTGACATGGGACTCTGTGGTCACGTGAGTTTGGAAAACCAGCCCCCAGTTGGAGGTTCCCAGAACACACCACAGGCTCTCCTAAATTCAATGGCTGTTCTAAAAAAAATTTCATTTGTCCAATCTAGCATTTCCAAGCTAAACTTGAAACCCCTGCTATCGTAAGAACTTGAGAAATGCCACTCTGAGAACATCTTTCACCTCTTCTTTTTTTTTTAATAAATTAATTTTTATTGGTGTTCAATTTACCAACATACAGAATAACACCCAGTGCTCATCCCGTCAAGTGTCCCCCTCAGTGCCCGTCACCCATTCACCCCCACCCCCCGCCCTCCTCCCCTTCCACCACCCCTAGTTCGTTTCCCAGAGTTAGGAGTCTTCATGTTCTGTCTTTCACCTCTTCTGAGACCACCAGTGGCACCTCTGAGAAGGTTCTAGAAACCAAGACACACGGGGAACGCCCGCACACACCCTTCACAGACTCCCAGGCCCAGCCTCCGCCTGAGCACCCCTCAGAGGCGGGAGGGAGGGAGCCCGGAGGTGGGCTGACGGTGGGCCCGTGTCCCCCCGCCCAGGTGTGCCACCGCCCTCCATCACCTGGTACAAGGACGCGGCCGTGGTGGAGGTGGAGAGGCTGAACCGCTTCCGGCAGCGTGGCGACGGGGGCCTGCAGATCAGCGGGCTGGTGCCCGACGACACGGGCATGTTCCAGTGCTTCGCCCGCAATGCGGCCGGCGAGGTGCAGACCTCCACCTACCTGGCCGTCACTAGTAAGTTGCGACTTCCCCGCCCTGGCCCTGAGCCCGTCCCGCCCAGGACGCAGCCTTCCTCCAAGTCAGCAGCTTCCTGAGAAAAGATGCAGGGGCATTTTGCAGGGATGAGATTCCAGAAGACCGTCCGTCCCCTCCGCTGCCGGGGTGGCTCCAGCCAGTTACGCCCACTGCCTTCCCAGCCCGGGTCTGGTGCTCCGGAGCCCCGAGCCCAGGACGGATTCGCTGGCTCTGGGAGAAGCAGCTGTGAACCCACAGGCCCCGCCCTGGCATCACAGCTGCCCCTGGCTTCCCGGGCAAGGCTGAAGCCGCCCCGTCCCAGCTGAGCAGGCTTGCTGCCTTCTCCAGAGGGAGCCAGAGCTTTAATCTCAGTCCCCACTTCAAACCTTTTGCCCTCTTGGAGTCTCTTCTGGGGGTTTTGACAGCTCTCCTGCCCTCTTAATGGAGTTGCATTAGCACCAAATGCTACATGAGTGGTCACATCGTAGAGGGCAGAGCTCTGTGCGCGTGCAAAGTGCCACTGGGCTCCCTCGTCTCGGCAGCAAAAGAACAGATGCTCATGGGCCTCCTTGAGCCACTCCGGGCTCATCACCCAGACCTGCAGAAGTCCCCAGACAGGGCAGCCATGGAGCAGAGGGTGAGCTGGGTTTGCCCAGAGGGGCAGTCGGGGCAGAAAGGCTGCCTCTTGCTGGGATGAGTGCAGGTGAAGCCGGTGCCCAAGCCGGTCCCTTCCTGACCTCTGCTCCCACGAGCTCTGACCAGACGGTTCCCTGAGGGCAGGGCTCGGGAAGGCAGGCCGGAAGCAAGAAGGCTGTACTCAGCTCAGCCAGGCTGTGGACCCTCCAGGCCCAAGGCTCGTGCAAAGCAGCTCATGTTCCTCTGTTGGCCTTAACCACCTTTTCTTTCAAGAAATCAGAGCCTCGATGTCATGTTCAGTGAAGGATGGACCCCATTTGGAGGGTGGGAGCTGCCCTCAGAGATCCTCAGTTTCCCCAAAAATGGAGGTCTAAGAATCAAGCCTGGGTCCTTCCACAGAGCAGGTGGTACAGGGAGCCCCCGAGGGCCCTCTGGGCTTCTCCCCAGTGCCCGGGTCCCCTCAGGACACCTGCATCCTTCTCTGCGGCGGGACCCACAGCAGCCAGGGTGGCAGGGGCAGGACGAGGACTTGGCCCTCTGGCTGTGGGAGCTCCTCCAGGGTGTAGCTAAGAGGCTGCACTGTCTCCTTTTGTAGGCATCGCCCCCAACATCACCAGAGGCCCCTTGGACAGCACAGTGATCGACGGCATGTCGGTGGTACTGGCTTGCGAGACTTCGGGGGCGCCCCGGCCGGCCATCACTTGGCAGAAAGGTAGATGGGACTGATCTCTTGGAGGTCTTAGAGGGTGATGGCCATGTGACCATCGAGGGCAGTCCTCAGATCTCCATTCTGGAGCCAGCTGGGTTGGGTTCCCTATGTACGGTGGTGAAGGTCGTGCACTGCACACCCCAGGAGGGCATCTCTCACCCCACAGTATGTCCCACATGCTGCCCTGCTGGGCTCAAGGCCCAGCTCTGCATCTTCGGAGACCTGGGACCTCAGGTGAATTATTTACTCACTCCGAGCCTCAGGGTCCCCATATGTAAACTGAGGACAGTAGTTACACGCACCTCAGGCTGGCATGAGGGCGAAACAGGGGCATGCACGGGAAGAGCATGATGCCCAGCGAATGACGGCTGCGTGATGGTCATATTGTGGTGGCGGTCGTGAGTGCACGCGGTGGGCCCTCCCTCCCGGGCAGCACGGAAGACTCCAGACCCCTGCACCAGCAAAGCTCAAGCGGTACCCCGCACCCCGTGTGCCCCTTCCACCCCCATTTCGGAAACTCACCTTCCCAACTCTCCCCATGTACACACGCGTGGTCGCTCCCTCTCACCTCCACATCTGCTACACGGAAGCTTCTCGGCAGGACTCACTTGCCCACGCCCCGAAGGCCTCCTCACGTCCCGCCTCCCCCCCCCCCCGCCCCATGGCTTTATTTCTCCACCTCCTAACGGATAACTTGCCTGCTCATTCTGCCTATTGCCTGACACCCCAAGTCAGGGGGTGTTCAGCTTTGCCCGCTGCCATCTCTGTAGGGCCCAGGATGGGGTCTGACACATGGTAGTTGCTCCATGAGTATTTGAGTATAAGCACAGACGGGCACGTGTGTGGACGCAGACACCCTCACCTGCCACACTCACTAGTTCAATATTCCTGCCCACGTGTGCAGAGAGACACACCCACAGACTTGCCTGTGAGGTTGCCCCTCTGTACAGACAGGTGGGATTTTCTTTAAGATAAATATAATTGGGGCGCCAGGGGCTCAGGCGGTTGGGCATCTGCCTTCAGCTCAGGGCATGATCCTGGGGTCCTGGGATCGAGTCCCGCATCATCGGGATACCTGCTCAGCTGGGAGTCTGCTTCTGTCTCTCTCTCTCTCTCTCTGTGCTCTCCCTCCCCCTCTCAAATAAATAAACAAAATCTTAAAAGTAAAATAAAATAGGTGTAATCTCCCAAAGCTGCCCTCTCAGGCTCCTGCACGGTGCCTGTCACCGCCAGGCCCCAGGACCCCCTCCCAGGCCCCGCCCTGCCCCCGCTCCTTGCTGCCCCCACCCCTCACTTTCTCCTGCTCTCCTGAAGGTGACTCTCCAGAAGCATCTTGCCGCAGGATGCCCGTCACCACCTTGTCAGAGCCGTCTGCCCCCTCCCCCCGGCCTGGTGCCAGCTGTCTCCAAGAGCTGTGCCTGGCTGCATCAGGAGACAGTCCCTGGCCTTCTCTGGTGAAGGGCAGACAGCGCGGTGGGTGGAGAGACGCCAGGAGACCCGGGCTCTGTGACCGAGTGCCCTTGTGCCTGTCACCATGTCGGAAGCCTGTCTGGGCCTCAGCCCTGACCCCGGCCCTGCCTCCCCACCCGCCCCGCCCCGCCACCACCCGGGCCCTCCCAGCATTTCTAAGGCTGGGGGAACCCGCCTGAACAGCACCTGCCCAGAGCTGCCAGGGAGCAGGAGACATGAGGTCTCAGAGGGCCAAGGGCTGCGTGCTGCAGCCCCAGCCCACCCCGAGCCCACCTCGTGTCGCCCCCAGGGGAGCGCATCTTGGCCAGCGGCTCTGTGCAGCTGCCTCGCTTCACGCTGCTGGAGTCCGGCAGCCTGCTCATCAGCCCCACGCACATCTCCGACGCTGGGACCTACACCTGCTTGGCCACCAACTCTCGGGGGGTCGACGAAGCCTCGGCTGACCTGGTCGTGTGGGGTGAGTGTGCAGAGTGGGAACACTTCCCAGGTCGGTGCATTGAGTGTGTGCTGACCCAGCACCTCCTCGTCCACAGGGCTGTCTCACCGGGGTGCTTTTTGTAAGAAGGACGGGGGACAAATTAACCCGGAGTGGGGGGGGGGTGCCCGGGAAGGCCAGGCTTCTGCAGACGGTGCCGCCTGAGTGAGGCCTCTGGCCGTGCTTGGCCAAGTTGAGAGAACAGAGAGGCGCTGGGCAGCCGTCTTCATATACTCCAGGGCAGAAGTCAACAAACTTGTTCTGTGAAGGGCCAGGTAGGAACTATTTTAGGCTTTGTGGGCTAGACAGCCTCTGTCCCAACTCCCCTTTCATCAAGAAAGCAGCCCTAGATAATACTTCAGCCCACAGGGCCCGGCTCTGTTCCATTGCAAGTGTATTTACCCAAGCAGGCTGTCAGCCAGACTTGACCCTGGACTGTAGGGTGCTGCTGAGCCCTGCTTTAAGGAAACTTCTCAAGGCCCCTTGCATCGTCAGATGGCACCACTTGGGATCCACACCCAAGACAGACATGCCTGTGGGCCCCCCGTGGAGGCTGAGCCCTGATGACCGGGCATGCGATGCAGCAGACCGGGAATCAGATGATCCTATTTTTACCCTGGCTGGACCACTAATGTGCTGATCATCCTCAGATTTCCATTTCTTCATCTCCCACGTGGGTTTCCGGGGGCAGGATTAAATGAGCCCCCGCAATGAACGTGGCTTCCAGGAATTCAGGTACCACGGAGGCACACTGTTCTTGTTAGCATTCTGGGATGCCCACCGTGGTAGGCCTGGCCACCTGCAGGGTCTGCCTCCACCTGCCCCTAGAATTCAGCAGCACAGGCCCGCTTCACCTGAAGATGCCTTTCCCATGCACCTGCATCTCACCTGTTCGTCTGGATCTATTCCCCTTCTCTCACCCTGTCTCCCTGCTGCCTTGCAGCCCGGACCCGCATCACCAAGCCTCCCCAGGACCAGAGTGTCATCAAGGGTACCCAGGCCTCCATGGTGTGCGGAGTGACCCACGACCCCCGAGTGACCGTCAGGTACTCCCTCTGCTGTGGCCCCAAGGAGGCAAAAGGGGAGGGCAGCTCTAGGGATAGCTGGGCAGGTGTTGACACCAAGGAGGTAAGTGTCGCTGTGGGGCCAAGCCACGGGCCTTGTGAGGACCACCAGTAGAGCCAGTGTAGGGCTGAGCCAGCGTGAGCACAATCGGACTGTATCAGGGCAGCCCAGGACAGCAGCACCCGAGAAGGGTGTAAGGGCCAGAACTCCTCCCAGGCTTGGGCTGAGCCTCCAGGAAAGGCTTCCGGAGAAAACTGTCCCTTCAGGGCTCTCTTTTGAGCTTTGGGATGCTGAGTACAAAATGTAACTGCTTCCTTAGAGACAGATATTCCCTCCATGTTGCTTCTGTATTTTATGGCCAGTGTCAACTGCCAAAGCAACTGGCATCGAAGCTGGAAGGGGCCGGGCGCTGGTGCCACTTGGGAGGCTGGGCCCCTACAGGGCTGGAGGCAGCTGCATCCTGGGGCACCATCTGGTGGCCACTAGGCATATGACAGTCTATACCACCACACGGAAGGGTCCCAACCACCCCCCATGGAAGCCAAGGTTGGCATAAGGAATACTAGACTTTTAGCCCCACACCCGTTCTCAGAGAGTCCACTGCAGGTCCCCAGTCAGAGAAACACCTCCTTGGACATTAAACATTGACCCTTTAGGATGGTCATCATATGGTGCCAGCGTGAATGCAAGCATGAGCCTTGAAATCACATAGATGTAGTTAAAATATTGTCAACACAAGATCCAGAATGTGCTTATTCCTGAGACTATTAAATTTTTGTTTTATATGTTTATATCTCAACTGTAAAGATGTTCTCCAAGAGAACCCACATACCCCCCTACCACCATAGAACCCCGCTGTGGGTCTCAGACCCGTACATAAGTGGTAGCTATAACTTTAGCACCCGTTAATTGAAAAGCTATATAACAATAAAAAGCTCATATTAATTCAGCAACACGTTAAAATAAATTAGTGTTTTATTTATTAAAATATTACCCGGCTAGTATTTGGAAAATACTTGCACATTTTATTAATTCTCTAAGAAATTCTTTTTTTTTTAAGATTTTATTTATTTATTCATGACAGAGAGAGGCAGAGACACAGGCAGAGGGAGAAGCAGGCTCCACACAGAGAGCCCGATGTGGGACTCGGTCCCGGGTCTCCGGGATGTTGCCCTGAGCCGAGAGCAGACGCTCAACCGCTGAGCCACCCAGGTGTCCCTCTCTAGACAATTCTTGATGAACAAAGGCATTCAGGGGCCTCTTGCCATAGACGATAGGCCCACCTCCCAAGGACCCTCAGGGAGCCACAGATGGAAAACCCTATTTCCGTTAACTGGAGCAGTCCTCACCTTCAAATGGAACTCCCCATTTGGGCAATCTTTTCTTGATGGGGAGAGAACACAGAATTGGTCTGTCAGGCCTCAAAATTGGCAGTCGGGGACCAAAGCACCCCCACATCTCCCACCCCTTCCTCAGACTTGAAAACCCTGTTGGAGAAAGGGAGACAGAACATGAGAGACTCCTAAATCTGGGAAACGAACTAGGGGTGGTGGAAAGGGAGGTGGACGGGGGGTAGGGGTGACTGGGTGACGGGCACTGAGGGGGGCACTTGATAGGATGAGCACTGGGTGTTATTCTGTATGTTGGCAAATTGAACACCAATAAAAAATAAATTCATTTAAAAATAATAATAATAATAATAATAATAATAATAATAAAAGAAAGGAAACCCTGTTGGAGCTTTAGGGAACACAATGGAGGTGTTCCCTGACCCAGACGGGCTAGAAAAGACCCAACAAACAACCAAGTCAGACTAACGTGGTGGCCACTTAATTCTGTATTCCGTGCCCTCCTCAAAATCAAGCAGGACCCAAGGGTCACGGCCTGAGCAGAGGCAGGTTGCCACTGCAGAAAGCTTCCAGAACTGCCTTAGGAGAAACTCTTCTGTTTAGTACTGAGCCCAGATCTAGACCCGCTCTGAGCAATCCACTTGTGGCCACTATTAATCCTAATCAATATTTCCATTGGCTTTTATTATTATTCAGCTAATAGACAATCCTTTTTAGGAGGAAAATATAGAAAACGCAGGTAAGTGCACAAAAATATGGGAAGGGAGAGAGAGAAAGAAGAAAAGTGGGTTTATCTGTTTCTCTCAATGAGAGATAATAATATTAGAGTGTCATTTATAAAAAAAAAAAACCTAGAAAATGGTTTCTTTGTGTTTTCCCTTAAGAACCCATTATGAATCTCTTCCCCTGTCAATAAATATTTTTGTATAAACCCCATTATATGATTATTCATTATTCACTCGTCCATTGTGTGGATGTAACATAATTTCTGTTACCAATTCCCTAATGCTGGATATTTGGATTGTATCTCAGTTGTTGTTTTTATTTTTTTATTTTTTTTATTTTTTTTTTTACTAAAAAAATTGCACCTGGGTGGCTCAGTCAGTGGAGCGTTCAATTCTTGATCTCGGCTTAGGTCTCGGGGTCGTGGGTTCAAGCTCCATGTTGGGCTCCATGCTGGGTGTAGAGCCTACTTTAAAAAAAAAAAAAAAGAAACATCATGGTGAATGTCCTTGTAACTAAATATTTTTGCACTTCTTTGATTTCCTGAGGACTATTGAATATTATTTAAAGCTGAAAGAAGGCCTGAATATTGCTCATCAAAATTGTTTAATAGCCAGCTATATAATTTACAGATGATTTTGGAAAATTTCTACCCTGAGTTAAATGGACTCATGAGTTGTTTCTTTTTTTTTCTTTTTTTTTTACTTTCTACCCTGGAAATTTTCAAACATAGCCCAGAGTAGAGAGACCCAGATCATCAAGCCTTACTTACCCCCATCTTCCTTTTTTTAATTTTTATTTTTTTATTTAAATTTAATTAAATAACATATAGTGAATTCCTAGTTTCAGAGGTAGAGGTCCGTGATTCATCAGTTGTGTATAACACCCAGTACTCATCACATCACATGCCCTCCTTAATGCCCACCACCCAGTTACCTCAGTTACCCCCTCCCCCCACCCCCTCCCCTCCAGCAACCCTCAGTTTGTTTCCGATGATTAAGAGTCTCTTATGGGTTATCTCCCTCTTTGACTTCATCTTATTTTATTTTTCGCTCCTTTCCCCTAGGCTCCTGTTTTGTTTCCTAAATTTCACATATGAGTGAAATCATATAATTATCTTCTCTGATTGATTATTTCACTTAGCATAATACCCCGTAGTTCCATCCACATCACTGCAAATGGCAAGATTTCATTTTTGATGGCTGAGTAATATTCCATTATATGTATGTATATATATATATATATATATATATATATATATATACATATATATATACACACATACCATATTTTCTTTATCCATCCTTCGTCGACGGACATCTGGGCTCTTTCCATAGTTTGGCTATTGTGGCCATTGCTACTATGAGCATTGGGGGGCAGGTGCCCCTTTGGATCACTACATTTGTATCTTTGGATCCGTACCCGTCTCTTGGCCTCAGTCACTGTCAGCATTTTGCTCACCTGGTTTCCCATCCCCCCATCCATCCCCCCAACACACACACATGCTTTTTTTTTTTTACTGAAGTATTTTAAAAACAAATCTCAAGTAGGTAATTTCACCCCTAAATAGGTCAGTATGGATTTCTTATTTAAAAGGACTTTTCTTGAAACATAACAACCACGTCCCTGTCCCGTGTGACACAATGAATAGCCCCTTGATGACTGCTGATAACATGTCACGGCATCCCTGATTGTCTGGAAGGTGACGTTTTAGAAGTTGGTTGGTTTAACTCCGGGCCTGAACAAAGTCCACACGTTGCATTTGGTTGGTGTGTTTCCTTTATTCTACATGGTCCCCTCCCCCTCCTTTTTGTTTCCATCTGTTTGTTCACATGCAGTTAATTGGTTGGAGAAACCAGGTTCTGCAGGACAGAGGTCCAGCTAACTTTCTCTATAAAGGGACAGAGAGTAAATATCTTAGGCTTTGAGGACTATGTATCTTTTGTCACAGCTCTTCAAGTGTGCTTGCACTCACAAGCAGTGTGCAAACACATGGGCGTGTCTGCGTTCCAATAAAACTTTATTTACACAAACAGGCAGGGGGCCACAGTTTGCTGACGCCTACTGTAGAAGACCCCACATTCTGGGTTTGGCCAGGGACTTTTTCTTGGTGTGGGATACTTGTTCTTCTATCCCCTGTATTTCTAAGCAGATTCAGGTAACTGGCTGATTAGATTCGGGCTTAGTTTCTTGGGCACAGACACTCCACAAGTGGTGATACATCCTTCCTAAAACACCGTGTCCTGAGCCGAAGACGCGTCTGCTTGCCATAGGCTGTTTCCTAAGCAGAAATTACTCTCTGCGACTAGATTTGCTTTTAAGTAAAATTCTACTCGTGCCATCCGGGCTGGCAAGGATGATTCTTTTCTAGCTATGGAGATGAATCGAAGGTGATTACTTCTGACAATTTGTAAATGTATATAAAAAGCCTTAGAATTTAACTCAGCAATCTCACCGCTGAAAATTTATCCTTGAGGAAGTGATTTAGGATGTATGAAAATATGTTGCTGCAAGGATGTTCCTCGCAGCATTAACTATAGTATCAGAAAACAAGGAGCTACACTGGGCACCCAACATCGAGGGAACCATCATGCAGCAGATAAAGGCCAGGGTGTGGAAGTGTCACGTTACAGAGAGTTTATGATGCTTTGTTGGATGGGAAAAGCAGCTTTAAAATCAGGATGGACGGATGGCTAGCGAGCTATTGTTTACCTCCATGTGCTCTAAGCGTCGAAATACATGATGATGACTAACTTCCTTTGATCCCTTACGACCTGAAGCATTTTATACCAACTCACACCATCCTTATAAGCAACCCTAGAAGGTGGGTGGTATTATTTTTCCTCGTATTACAAATGAGGAAACAAAGACACAGGGAGGTTAAATACGTAAAGCTGGTTAAGGGCCAGGCAGCATTTGACCAGGGAATCTGAATCCAGAACACAGCGGCATTCTGGTACCATGCCCCTTGGGGCAGGGGAGAAAAGTCTGCAAGGTAGATGCTCAGATGTTACTCGTGGTTCCCCGAGATGGGAAAGCTTTTCACGTGTCTTGCCCTGTATTTTTTTTTCCTATTTGTAGTTGCAATTTTCTGATTTTTTTTTTTTAACTTAGCTTAAAAACATCACAGGCTCGTTCTCCTGGCAGCCTTACATTCTCGATCACAGGTAGTTCACGCACCTCGTGGCCCAGGCCACACTTGTCCGCAGCTGAGCAAGTGACGCGTTGCGTGCAAAGCCGCTCAGTCCCCAGCCCCGCACCCTGCCCTGGCTCCCGGCACCCTGGCCAATCTTGCCGGAGGGCGGGTGGTGGAGGGCAACCCCCCCAGAGCTGGCACCGCACCTTATGCTGATGACAGTAATCGTTGTATTTCCTCAAGAATCATTGCGGAGGAGATATTTCTTATTGTCAGGCACGGGCATGTGTGTAATTTCTCAAGTCCCTTTGTACTGACTGACCGAAGCTAAAGTGATTTTTTGGACACTAAAGTCCATTTTTCACAGTGATGCATTGATCTAATGATTCCCCTCATAAAACTAATTCCAAAATGTAGTCTGTGCGGAAACTTTAATTCTTTCTCCAGCTGTAATCTTTTAACCTCTTCGGAAGATTACCTTTTGCCGGCACTTTTGTGCTGGCTGCTTGGCAGTGGCTTCTGGCCAAAAGCAACACGGCTCTGACCTCGACCTGAACTGGAGGTGTAATGGCTTAATGTGCTGGACAGAGCACCCTGCGACGGGGATGGACAGCTGCAGGCTGCTCGGGGGCACCCCCCCCCCAGCGTCCCCATGCTCCCACCTAGCACCAGCCCCGGGGCCCCCCTTCCCCGGGTCTCTCGGGAAGCGCCCTGCTGCTTTCGGAGCTCCCCCCCAGACCTGCCCCAGACTGCACCCCAGCAGCACCCCCTACTTCCCTACCTCTCTTTCCTGACTGCTGCTTCTTCCCCGCAGGTACGTCTGGGAGAAGGATGGGACCGCCCTGGGCATGGAGAGCAACCCCCGCATCCGTCTCGACAAAAACGGCTCACTGCACATCTCGCAGACGTGGTCAGGGGACATCGGCACCTACACCTGCCGCGTGCTGTCAGCCGGAGGCAACGACTCTCGCAGTGCCCACCTGCGCGTCAGGTGAGGGCAGCCTGCCCAGACCCCCAGCAGCGGAGGTGCAGGGGGCAACGGAAGGCTCATTTTGGCAGATGACCGGGCCACGTGTGACCTGGGTCCATCCCCCTCTGGGAACATACCCAAGCCTCCTCCAGGCCTCCCACCACCACCACCCCACCTCAGTTTGGCCCTCTGTCAAGAGCAGGGGGGCTCTGGGTATGGCCTTGGACATAGGGGACCACAGAGCCAGAGAGACGAGCCTCCAGGCCAATGGCCCAAAGGCCAATTTATGGCTGGGCACGAGGTATCATGAAGTTCAGTGTGAGCCCCAGGTGCCTGTGTGTCACCTGACTCCAGACCTCACAGGTGGCGCTTCTGTCTCCTCCAGGCAACTGCCCCACGCCCCCGAGCACCCCGTGGCGACGCTCAGCACCACAGAGAGACGGGCCATCAACCTGACCTGGGCCAAGCCCTTCGACGGCAACAGCCCCCTGCTCCGCTATCTCCTGGAGATGTCAGAGAACAGTAAGCCCTCCCACCGCAGCCTCGGGGAGTCAGGGGATTAACCACAGGGCCAGGCTCCAGCTCCCCAACTTCCCAGTTCTGTGCCTCCGAGCAAACCTCCCGGAAGCCCCGGCTCCCCTGCAAAAGGAGCGTGGGCATCAGCCTCCTCAGGTGGTTGACAGTCGCACAAGATCGTGTGTGCAAGGGGCAGGACCCGGGCCAGAGCCTCCCAGGCCATGGCGATTCTCTTGCTTTTTCTCCTCCCAGGCCCCAAGCTGTGAACTCCAAAATTAGCAGGCCTCATTTGAATGATGTTTTAAATACAGTGTGCCTGGTGCTCATCAGGGGGAAAAAATAAAACATAGAAAAGATGTGCATCTCAGCCCCCATGAGCCCTCGCCTCCTCCCCAGGACCCTCCAACCCCCTGGGACATGTGGCCAAGGGGACCTGTAAAAATGACATCCAGCCTTTCCTGGACTGAGACTGGGAGGCACTCCTCTGCTGGCCCAAATGGGGCTGGACCCTGCTGGAAGGGGGTAAGGCGCCCATGGTCTTCCAGGATTCCCATGTCTGTCTCCACCTTCTGATCCTATAGATGCCCCCTGGACTGTGCTCCTGGCCAGTGTGGATCCCGAGGCGACCTCAGTGATGGTCAAGGGCTTGGTGCCCGCACGCTCCTACCAGTTCCGCCTTTGTGCGGTCAACGATGTGGGGAAGGGACAGTTCAGCAAGGACACGGAGAGGTGAGGGGAGCACGTGTTCTTCCAGGGCAGGTGGTGGGCGACCCCCTTGGAGGGAGGGCCCGGTAGCCGAGTCCCATCTGGCGGCGTGGGGCCTGGCTGTGTGCGGACCCTGGCCACCGCCTCCTTCCTGGCCTCCTGGGCTTCCGTGCCCATGTCTGTAGAATGGGGTAGCATTAGCTGGCCTGCCTCACAGGGACGCTGCAAAGATGGAAGGAGGGGACCCAGGGGAGGTGCTGTGAGCAGTGCTTGGTGTGGGATAAGCACCCACCAGAGCAAGTGGTCCCTCTCACCGGGAGCTTGGCAAGTTCAAGGACCTGCCTCCTTCGGCTCTACGTCTGCACGGGCATCGTCACTGTCACGTGGACGTGAGGTGTAAGGGGGCCATGGGACCCACACAGGTCTCTGTATCCAGTGACTTGCACCATGCCAGGTCCTATTAAGCTTTCAAGAAGCTTTTACAAAATGAGGAAAATTAAGTAAAAAAAACAGCGGGTCATCCCCTTTCAAACATCACCGGGGAATACGCGCTTAAGTGGGAGGTGATTCTTGCCACCTCAGCCCTGTAGGATGAGTGGTCACCTCTACGGAGAAAGAAGCCATGGAGCTAGAGGTCAGAATGACAATGACACAAATCCCAGGCGCCTAGGTTGTGTGCTGCTCTTTCCTTTATGTTTCTTTTTATTTTTTTTTCCAGATTTGTTGAGATATAGCTGACATATAACATGGTGTGAGTTGAAGGCAGTGTGTTGATTTGATATATTTATATAGTGCAGTAGGATTACCACGACCGTGTTGGCTAACCCCTCCATCCCGTCACAAAATTACCATTTCCTTTTTGCGGCGAGGACATTTAAGATCTATTTTCTGAGCGACTTTAGAGTATAGGATATAGTGTTATTAGCTCTAATCACCATGCTATACTCCAGATCCCCAGAACTTACGAATCTCAAAACTGGAAGTTTGTGCCTTCAACCAGAATCTCCCCATTTCTTCCACCCCCTAGTCCTTGGCAACCACCAATCTCCTCTCTGGTTCTCTTAAATTCAGCTTTTTTAAAGATTCCACGTATAAGTGAAATCAGACAGTGCTTGTCTTTTCCTGTCTCACTTATCTCAGCATCAGGCTCTCAAGGTCTATCCATGATGTCACCAATGACAGGATTTCCTTCTTCTCGTGGCTGAATAATATTCCTCTATATACATATACCACATCTTCCCAATCCACTCATCCATGGGCAGTGACCTAGGGCGCTTCTGTGCCTTGGCTGCTGTGACTAATGCCGCAATGAGCATGAGATCCTATTTTCATTTCCTTTGGATGGGTAAATACTCAGAACTGAGAGGGCTGGATCATACGGTAGTTCTATTTTTAACTTTTGGTGGGACTGCCATACTGTTTTCCATGGTGGCGACACCAGTTTGCATCCCCCCCCTCCCAAGTGCCCAAGAGTTCCCTTCCCTCCGCATCCTCACCAACACCTGTTACCTCTGGTCTTTTCGATGATGGCAGTTCCAACAGGTGTGAGGTGACAGCACATTGTGGTTTTCACTTGCATTTCCCTGGTGATGAATGATGTTGAGCACTTTTTCACATTTCTGTTGGCTTGTGTGTTAGTGGGAAAACTTCTAATGGAGATCTTCTGCCCATTTTTAAGTTGGGTTGTGTTTTTTGTGGGGTTGTTTTTTTTTTTTTTTTTTTGCTCTTGGGTTGTATGTGTTCTTTATATATTTTGAATATTAATCCCTTACCAGATATGGGGTTTGCAGATGTTTTCCCCCATTCCATGGGTTGGCTTTTCATTTTATGGATTGCTTCTTATGTTGTGCAGGAGTTTGCTGAGATCCCATGTACTCATTTTTGCTTTTGTTGCTTGTGTTTTTAGTGTCGTATCCAAGAACTCACTGCCCAGACCTGTATCAAAGAGCTTTATCTTATATTTTCTTCTAGGAGTTTTATGGCTTAAGGTCCTACGTTTAAGTCTTTAATCCATTTTGAGTTAATTTTTGTGAGTGGTACAAGATAGGGGTCCAGTTTCATTCCTCTGCATGTGGCTGTCCAGTTTTCCCAACACCACATATGGAAGAGACTTTTCCTTTCCCCACTGAGAAGAATTAATAGTGTTAAAATGTCCATACTACCCAAAGCCACGTGTAAATTCAGTGCAGTCTCCATCAAAATTCCAATGGCGCCTTTCACAGAATTTTTTTTTAAATCCTAAAACATGTATGGAGCCACAGAAGACCTTGAAGAGCCAAAGCAATCCTGAGAAAGAGCAGAGCTGAAGGCATCACATTTCCTGATTTCACACTATACTAGAAACCTATAGTAATCAAAACAGCATGATACTGGCATAAAAATAGACATTTAAAGCAATGGAACAGGATAGAGAACCCAGAAATAAATACATATATGGTCAACAGATATTTTTACAAAGGAACCAAGAATGTACTTGGCTCCTAGATTCTCTAAGGTGTGTATGCAGACCTCTGGCTTACATGCATCATTTGGTTTTGCCACAGACGCAGTGACCTGGATGGAGTCTTTCTGGCCTCTGCCACCAGGGCCATGACTCCCTAACAGGAAAGAGAAGTGGCAGGTAACATCCTAGCAGGGAGGCCAATTGCAAGAGGATTTCTTCGCTCACTGTTTATTGAACACCTACTATGTGCCAGGCTGTGTGTAGACCATGAGGGATGCAAGGAACAAAATCCCCACGACAGAAAGCCTCAAAGTATAGGGAAAAGCCATCCCACACTTTCTCCAGGTCTTTGGGCTTCTCCTCAAACCCCGATTCATCTTCCTGATGCATCTTCACACTAATAGCCCTGAGTCACAAAGAAAAAGGTTAAATCACCCTCACTCGCGGGCTTTACAAAGACATGGGAATGTGCAGTACATTTTGGAAAGCCATCCGTCAGAAAGCAAAAACATAAAAATAAACTGAAAGGGAAAGACATCCATCAAAAATAATTAACTTTCGTTTTTAATGGATGCAAGTCAGTTATGGGAACAATGCACCGCGGTGGAACACTGCATCCCCTGGCAAAGCCAGAGAAAAATGCAGTGGCGCTCGCTTCTGGAAGTGGGTGACGGGCTCACCCATGTGTCCCCCCAGGCCCCCCCCCACCCTGCCCTGCTCCAGCCTGGGGCTCTGCTGGGTGGAAAAGGAAGCCTCGTCACGGTGCACCAGCAGCCTGCAGGTGGGACGTGAATATTTAACACTCCTGCTTCTGAAATACCTGATTGCTTATGACGTCACCAGCCCCAACAGCAGCTTCTTTGACATACAGGAGACTGAGGCCCACGTCCCCCAGCTGCACAGGCACCACACACATCTGGTGCTTTATGGTGTTTCAAAAGGATTCAGCTATACGTGGTGTCATTTGAGCCTCAACCAGTCTTAGAAAGCAGGCAAGTGGAGCTTTATTATACTCCTTTAAAACATAAAGGGACAAGCTCAGAGAGGTTAAGCGACTTGCCCAAAGGCACACAGCAATTGTGCAGACGGAGCAGCCTCCTCGTAGACCGAACTCCTGTATTTTCCCTTGAGACTAAAAGCGGAAAGGCCCACCCACTCTTGGTGTTTTCATATCCAGGGTCTCCCTCCCCGAGGAGCCCCCCACAGCCCCTCCACAGAACGTCATCGCCAGCGGCCGGACCAATCAGTCCATCATGATCCAGTGGCAGCCGCCTCCGGAGAGCCACCAGAATGGCCTTCTCAAGGGCTACATCATCAGGTAGGCATCCACCCCCGGGAGAAAGGAGGTACAGCCCAGACCCAAGGGGAGGGTAGAGAGTGGATCAGCAAAGTCATGGCAGGTCCTTCTCCGTCTAACAAGGACCAGGTTGGGATGCCTCGGTGGCTCAGTGGTTGAGCGTCTGCCTTTGGCCCAGGGCATGATCCTGGAGCCTCAAGATCGAGTCCCACGTCGAGCTCCCTGCGTGGAGCCTGCTTCTCCCTCTGCCTGTGTCTCTGCCTCTCTCTGTGTGTCTTTCATGAATAAATAAATAAGATATTTAAAAATAAATAAATAACAAGGACCAGGCAACAAGAAATGACTTTGCTATGGTAGGAAGGACTTAGGTTAGACATACAGAGGAACTTCCAGAAGGCAGAACCTTGGAAACCAACGGGAATGCTTGAGAGAGGAGGGTACAGTGTAATGTCCTGGAGGCTGTATGGATGCCACATGCTGGGGCTACACAGGATAGGACACAGGGAGACGGGTTTAACTATCCGAGAGGCCGAGCACCGGGGAACCCAAGAATATTCCATCTGAAGCCAACTACTCAGCCCAGAACTGGTCAAACAGTAGACGTCCTTTCTTTGGTCCTGACGCAAAACGAAGCCCAGCTATAGAGACTGTGATGTCTACACTTGACCGAGGATACTTCCTTCACCGGTAACCTCAAACTGAGTTTTTAAGTGCTACCAATTTGGTGTCGTGAATTCAAATCAGCATAGAGTCGAAGTTGCTGAGCATCCTCCAATGCTCTGAATCCCAATTGGCTGCGGAATGCATGTCTCTTTCCTGTCCTGTGTCCACGCGGGTGGGGCTCTGGAACACCCCAGGTCTGGAGGAAGTGATTGTCGGTTTGCCTGCTCCATGAACAGCTCATTTTGTTGTGGGTTTTTGGTGAGCCCTAAGGCACGGTGGTTCTCAGAGGGTGGCCCCTGGATCTGCAGTGGCATCAATTCGAATGCAGATTCATAGGTCCTACCCCTGACCTACTGAATGGGAAACTTTGGGGTGGGCCCCCCCAAACCCATGTTTCAACGCACCCTCCGGGTGTTCCTGATACGGGGTAGGCCTCTGAGAACCACTGCTATGGGGTATTGCAACACAATAATCTGGGGCCTCTGGTTTCCCAATACCGTGTATACCGTGGTTCTCCCGTAAGTCATCCACCCCCCCCAGATTTTGCCCATCGAGATCCCACTTCTGGATTACCATGGGTTCTTTTTGTGGTGGAAGCTAGAAATTGGTACAGTTGGTAGCTCAAGGTTTTTCTCTCCACCTAAGTGAGTGACTTAGGTCAAAAGAGGGAGCCAGCCCTTTGGAGGGGAGCCCAACCTTGGGACATGGCTCTCCATCGGTGACCTCTCCAAGGTGAGGCCAATGTGATCTTCCCAGAAACCCTTCATGTCCGTGGTTAATTCTCTGTCCACTGTCCTCCCCCATCAGAAAGAACAGACACATCCACTAGGCCTGTGCCATCCGGGGAGATAGCCGTTGGTCCCCTGTGGTTATTTCATCTAAAATAAATAAAAGTACGAGTTACCAGCTGCACTAACCACATTTCATGTGCTCAGCAGCCACGCGCACAGCGGCCACCACAGCAGACGGCGTGGGGATGGAGCACGTGCACCACCACCCATGGTTCCTGGGCTCGCGCCCAGCGGGCTGACTCCGATGCACCGCACCCCGCCTTTCTCCCCGCAGGTACTGCCTGGCCGGGCTGCCCGTCGGGTACCAGTTTAAGAACATCACGGATGCGGACGTCAACAACCTGCTGCTGGAGGACCTCATCATCTGGACCAACTATGAGATCGAGGTGGCCGCCTACAATAGCGCCGGGCTGGGTGTCTACAGCAGCAAAGTCACCGAGTGGACACTGCAGGGAGGTGGGTGTGGATCGTGACCACGGAGGAGCTGGTGCTTCTCGCTCTCCCAGGCCCGCACCTGTGGCTCCCGTACCTGTCCCGTCCTGCCTTGGCCACGGCACCCGGTCCATCCAGTCCTGAGCTGTTGCCCGCCGGGGCTCGGCTACCCCATGGGAGCGGGAGGGTGCTCAGGGGCAGAAGAGTGTTGGGGGGAGCATGCTGAAGGCAGACGCTTCAGGTGCGGGGACCTTCTGTGTTGTCCATGTTAACTGGATCACGAAATGGCTCGAGTCCAATGTGTCCATACCAGCCTCCCACAAGCGCTTTCACATCCATCGCTTCCGTTTACTGGTCCCCTGCGAAATGGGTCAGGCGAGTTCTGTTGAAGCCAGACTGATGGAGAGAAAGAGGTGCCTCGAGTCCACAAAGCAGGGGGAGGGGGAGGGAAGGGGGGGCAAAGCAGAGTCTGTAGACCCCATCCCTGTGTTTTCTCTACTAAAGTGGGCAAGACTGACTCTGCCTCCTGTATCCTCACCCCACCCCACCGCACCCCCGTCCCGCTGCCCTCCCCTAGTCCCCACCGTCCCTCCTGGCAATGTGCACGCAGAAGCCACCAACTCCACGACCATCCGCTTCACCTGGAATGCCCCCAGCCCCCAGTTCATCAATGGCATCAACCAGGGCTACAAGGTACGTGGGGCCCCTCCCCACCCCCAAGAGGAAGCCTGGGGATTCTACGAGGGAGACCGCAGGCTGAGGAGGTTGCAGGGGGAAAGGTGAGGGACCCCCTGTGCTTCTGGAGTCATTGGTTCAGGCCAAGCAGGGGGCATGTGACCAAGGTGGAGGGCATGCAGGCTCCCTCTGAGGCTGTCGGGGGGTCTGGCCACCTCCCCGTCTGTGACCCAGTGCAGAGGAGCTTTCTCGGTGAGGCTGGGCTATAAGCAAAACCAGATTTCTTTCAAGCTCAGGAGCAGCTGGACATAGCCACGGCCTCAGAAAAATCCAGAATCCTCTTCTTACTGCCAAGCTGTGGCTCTAACAGGCATCCCGCTGGGACACAAGTCCTTGGGCTGCTCTTGAACCCCGCCCCCCAGGGAGTGTGGTGAAGGGCATGGGACTGGGACCCTGACAGATGTAGGTTAAGATCCTGGCTCTGGCTCTGCCTCTTGCTGGCTCCCTGGACGAGTCCTACGATCAGTCTGAGCCTCCCTCCTTCGACCCATGTTTATTAAGCCGTCCTATCTGCGCTGTTCGAGCGGCTGGAAAACCCAAATAAACTCCCACTCCCTCATTTGTGAGGATGATAACAACACCTACTCCTTGGCGCTGCGTGAGGATTAAATGAGAGAGTGTTTGTGATCCGTCGAGCCTGGTGACACACACACAAGGGCTCTGCAAGCGATAGGAGGAATGGGCTCGTCCCATCGGGCTGCCCGAACCAGGTGCCGCCGTGCGGGGGGCTCAAACATCAAAAACAGATTTCCTCACAGTTCCAGGGCTGGAAGTTGGAGATCAGGGTGTGGGCAGGGCCCCACTAGGTCGCCGTCCTTAGGGCCGCAGCTGCCCTTCTCCCTGCATCCACGTGTGGTCTCTCCCCGGCGTGGGTCCCCATCTCCTCTTCTTGTAAGGACCCCAGTCCTGCTGGACAAAGGCCCCCCTTACTGAGCTCCTTTTAACTCCACTGCCTCTTTAGAGACCTTCTCTCCAAATGCAGTCACGTCCTGAGGCCCTGGGGTTAGGACTCCAGCGTGTGAATTTGAGGGGTGGATGGGGGGAAGCAGCTCAGCCCGTGACGACTAGTCGGAGCAGTAATGGTAGGAGTTGTTCAATAGCGGTAGCAGCGGCCGTAAATCTGCTGCGATGCTAACTGTGCCCCCGAGTCAGGACTTCTCAACCATCCCCTCCTGGAACCCAGACCTCGCTCTGGAGCTGGGGTCCCTGCTCTGGCCCCGCGGGGAGCACCATACCAGCCTCTCCCCGGGAGAAGGGAAGACCGAGTGCACAGCGCATGGGGCGGGTGGGAGGATGCCCTAGGCTCCCTCCTAGAGGTGGGGGGGTGCATTTGAGGGGGGTGTCCCGGGGAAGCAGGCCTTGAAGGAGAAACACTACAGGCTCTGGTTTTGAGCCCAGGGATCTGGTGACCTCATGGTGACCGCCGCCACTTCCAGAAGGCTCCCGGGCTCCCTCTGTTTCGTGTTTGCATGCACGGGACACGCAAGATGATTTCTAGGACCGGCGGCCTTAGCCCTTATCCCTGCAAGGAGGTGGGTGGCTGGGGTGGAAAGGGACTGAGATTAAATCACAGAGAGCATTTTCTGCTGGCGTTGCAAATAACGGAGGGATGGGCTCGAGCCGGGGACAGCCCTGCCACGGCCTGCTCACTCCCAGGCAGGCAGGGTGCCAGGGCCGAGCAGGGCTGTCCTGGGGCAGGGTGCTGCAGCTGAACACCGACTGGCTGGCTGGCTGGAAAAGCCTCCTAATTGGGACTCTAGGGGGAGGCAGGGGAGGGAAGGGGAGGCTCGCACAGCGCTGAGAAGCAGAGGAGCCGAGCTGGGAACAATTAGCTTCCTGCTGCCAGTTCTAAGTTTTCTTGCACAAATTGGGGGTGGGGAGGATGGGGCCGGGCTGCAAACTTCTAAGGCAGATGGCTCCTGCCGGACCTACTGGCCAGGACAATTAGGGCAGTGACCAGGACAGAGGCTGCAGGAGCCCGCCCACCTGATGATGTCTGGGTCTGCTTGGTGTCCGGCACCCGTGGCTGCTCCCTAAACGTCAGTGGGGACGGCCCACCCAGACATTCTGAGCGCAGGGGGTGCACTTTCACACTGGCAGGGCGCTCTCTGCAAGCCTGGCAGGATGCTAAGGCTTGCCTCGCCCTCGTCTCTCAGAAGACTTCTTTCAGAAGTCTTTCGTCCTCACCCCGTTTTACAGAGGAGGAAACTGAGGCACGAGAGGCAAGTAACGTATTCAAAGCCAGACAACTGCAAAGCTCAGATTCAAACTCCAGGGCCTGCACCTGTTCTTGCATTGAAAAGAAAATATGGGGGCACCTGGGTGGCTCCGTCGGTTAAGCGTCTGCCTTCAGCTCCGGTCATGATCTCGGGGTCCTGGGATGGAGCCCCACATCCTGCTCAGCAAGGAGTCTGTTTCTCCCTCTCCTCTGTCCCTCACCCTGCTCATGTGCTCTCTCTCTTTCCTTTTCTCAAATAAATAAATAAAAATCTTTAAAAATAAAGTATGTCGGGGCACCTGGGTGGCTCAATAAGTTAAACATCTGGCTCTTGATTTCAGCTCAGGTCATGATCTCAGGGTCTTGGGATCCAGCCTGAGTTAGGGCTCCCCACTCAGCAGAGTCTTAAAGGATTCTCTCTCTCTCCCTCTCCTTCTGCCTCTCCCCCTGCTCACACACACACACTCTCTCTCTTTCTCTAAATAAATAGGTAGATAGATAAAAGAAAGAAAGAAAATGTGCCCTATGATTTAACTGTAAAATAATAACCACACTTTGATTTTTTTCCCCCCTTAAGTACAAATGGATTCAAGCAGGGATTTTGTTTCTTGCTTCCTTGGCGTGCAGCATCACAGGGACAAAGCAGCGGTACATGTCCCTTGCATTCCTCCAATGAGAATAGACTCCCCACCCTCTTTGAATTGTTACACATTTCCGAACCTCCACCAAAGTAGAGGGAAAACGATAATGACTTTAGAAAACCCTGATGTATCCCAGCTTCAGCAATTACCAGCTCGTGGCCAAACGTGTTCCATCTATTCCCTGACCCCCGGCCTCTGCCCTGGAATATCGTTAAGCAAGTCCCAGGCCGTCATGTCGTTTCATCCATAAATATTTCTGCCGAGAAATATTACAAAGCTTCTGTTTGAAACACAACCGCAGTGCCCACACTGTCATCAGCGTGCCTAAAAATATCAGCAGTCCCCTTGATGTCATCAGATACGCAGTCAGCACTCACGTTTCTTTTACTAGTTGCTTAAATGAGGTCCGCATGCCTGCAATTGGTTGGGGTTTTTTGTTGTGGTGGTGGTTTTTGTTGTTGTTGTTGTTTGTTTTTTTTTTTTAGGTCTCAGCTGATCTCTGGATTCTCTCTCTCTCTCTCTCTCTCTCTCTTTTTCTTGTAATTTATTTAGTAAAGAAGCTTCCTCATTTATTTGCCTTATAGAATTTTCCACAGCCTGGATTTTGCTGATTGCCTCTCTGTGGGGTCATTTAACACATTCCTCAGAACGCTGCATTCACAGTAAATTGGAACTCAGAACTAGAGGCTTGGTGCCTGGGTGGCTCAGTGGTTGAGCATCTGCCTTCGGCCCAGAGCGTGATCCTGCGATCCCAGGATCCAGTCCCACATCAGCCTCCATGCATGGAGCCTGCTTCTCCCTCTGCCTCTGTCTCTGCCTCTCTCTCTGGGTGTCTCATGAATAAATACATAAAATCTTTAACAACAACAACAACAACAAAAAGAGAACTAGAGGCTTGATCAGATTCAGGTTTGATGATTTCATGGTTTTGCCCAAATATTACTTCCTAGATGGTGTAGTGCATTTACATCAGAAGGGCTAACGTCTGACTCTCTCTTACAATCGTGTGGTGACCATTGACCACCCTGGGTGATCTATTATTTCAATAGCATTGCAAAATGAGAACAGTCAAATATTATAATTTCTCCTTGATGTATGAGCTGAAACATTTTCCAATAAAAGAATTTTCCCCTTACCAACTTTTTAGCTGCCGGAAGGTTCAGCTCGTCTAGGAAAAAGCATGGTCAGAGCTCAGTCCTTTTCCATCACTTGCCAATTTTCAGGGTAACAAATGTCATTCCTTGGCATCTCCTAAAAGTGACAGGAGTTTGGATGGTGGGGGGGAGCATCTTTTTTATTTTGTTCTCTTGTGGTATTATGTACTCGTGGATTTTTTTTTTTGTACTTGTGGATTTTTAACACATCTGATATGTTTCAACCCACGGCTGTTTTTATTCGTGTTGATGCCAGGTTGATCCAGCCTTGACCTCTTAGGTTGGTGAGTCCTTTTGACCGGGCCCCAGCAGCCTGATAGCTTCCTTGTGACCAGACAGGATGGTCCAGGCTGTCTCCGGTTCCTGTACCATCCCTGGGATCAGCTGTGTCTTCAGGGAATCTTGTTCCTTTCAGGCAGAAATGATAATTAGATACCACAATCTGGGCGCCAGGGGTGTTCCTGGTGCTTGCACTGAAGGCCGTTTCTAGGCTCTGTTAATGGACAGCTCGGAAATGCTGCTCCTTCCCTCTTCCTTCCTTCCTTCCTCCTCCTCCTCCTCCTCTTCCTCCTTCTCCTCCTCCTCTTCCTCTTCAGATAAGACACATACTGATACTCCCAACTCAATTTCAGGGTTATAAGCTCTTTAATAATGCTATTGGTCTTTTGTCTCTCTGTGCTCCATACTGAAAATCCATTTCCTGTACCAACCACCATAATTCCCTGCCTACTTTATCCCAAAAAAACACCCACAACAGTTTCAGAAGAGTCATACCGCCACGGGGACTACCAAAGACCAGGTCAGATTATTTACGGTGCTTTCTGTGTCCTGCTAGGGATGGACTTCTCATGGCTGTGCTACAGAGTCTCTTGAAATAGTTTGTCTCTGTGTAATTTTGCTACAGCTCAATACACCATTAGGTGCATTTGTTCAATTTTGGTTTCTATTTTGGGGGATTGATTTTTTTTTATTTAATCTTGTTCTATAATTATGCATCATATTTACATGGTTCCAAAGTTAAATATACAAAGTAAATTCAGAGAAAATCAGCCTGAATTCTGGTCCATGCCCCCACCCCTACCCCGCCCCCCCGCCAATGACCTCTCCACCCCCACTGTAGGTATGATTTCTTTTGGTTGTTTGGTTTGGTTTTTCCTTTCATTTCTTTAACATAAACAAATGCAAATATATATATATATATGACCCTGCCTAACAAGAGCAAGCATGTGGACGGCAAAGAGAAACCCTGCACTCACCCGTACTCACTCATTTATATATATATAAATGTGTGTCCTCCCCTTCTTAGATAAATGACAGCACACTCTACACACTTTCTTCATCTTGCTCCTTTCTTTACATTATATCTTGGGGATCACTCCACAGGAATAAAGAGATTCCTGGCTCCCTTTCTGACATCTCTATTGGACTCCATTATGTGGCTTTCCCATAGTTTGGTCAACCAGCTGCCCAGTGATGACATTTGGGTTGTTCCCAGTCTTTTACGATAATAAACATTTCTGCAGTGAGTAGCTCTGTGCATATATCTTTTCATATTTTTCACATTTAACATTGGAATAGATTCATAGAAAGGAGATTGCTGGATCAAAGGAGAAATGTATATATATAATTTTCCTACTGCTGCCAAATCCCTCTATTATTTTTTTAATTTTTTTAATTTAATTTTTTAAACAGGAAACGTATTTACACGATTCAAAACCCAGTGAAAGTGAAAAGATAAACGTGTAGCAGAAATCCCCCACCCCACTGCAGTTCCTTGTCTGGTTCTGTTCCATCCACCCAACCCTGAAACTCTCCCCGCTCTTGGTAACCACTGTTGCTAATTTCCTGCGTATCCTTCCAGAAGGTTTCATGTGAATCCATTCACATGCAAAGAGATAGAAAGAGAGAGAGAGGGAAAGACAAAAGGAGAAGGAAGGAGAGAATTTCCTCTACTTTTTTTGTTAACTCCAGCACCTAGCAGACCATAGGAACCACCCTTACCCTCTCATCCCCCATAACACACTGCCTCCACCAGAAACAAGAGACACATCACTTCTCCCAACAACCAGCAAAGCAGCTATCACTGTTCCCTATAATAGTCTGAGGCTCAGAGAGGTCGACTGACTTTCCCAGGGTCACCCAGGAAGTAGCAGAGCAGGGTTCTGTTTTTCTTTCTCTCATCTGCTTTCCACAGCAGAGCTGCCAGTCCCAGGAACCTAGATCTGGTGCTGCTCCCCAAGCACAATAACTCCCACACCCCCAACCATGCTCAGGACAGCCCAGTCTGCTTATGCACCGAGACCAAGGACCTGATCCAGTAAATCAGCACGGACCCTGCCTAACAAGAGCAAGCATGTGGACTGCAAAGAGAAACCCTGACGCTCACCTAGCCGCTGTGTGTACCTCAGAAGGCAGAGGCCTTCATGCAGGGTCTGAGCCAGTGGGTCAGGGGAGGGGGACCCAGAGATCCCAAGCCAGCCCCTGGCAGGCCCATGGGCACCAACCAGGCCTCAACCTTTGTGGTCCTCATTTCCCTTCCTGCAGCAAGACAGGGCAGTGATGCCCATCCAGTCCTCATTGTGATGATGCAATGGGACTGGCCGGCGATAGTTCTACTCCAGTGCCAGAGTATGAGCTCATCGGACGGTGACCCTGCAGTGCATTCACTTGAGCAAAGTGAGCCCTGCTCTTTCAGGGAACAGAAGGTACAGAAGGCAAGTCTGTCGTCTTCCTGGCCTGAGGAAGAAACCTCTTAACACTAACCCTCATCCTCTTCACAGGCAGCTAGAAAATGACAAGTGGCTCACATCCCAGAGTAAATATTCTGAAGCCACCTTGGACTTCGGCTCTAGAGCCATGAGATGATGAAGTCCTTATTCAGAAAACCACACAGCCTCCACCCTGTGCACTGCTGGGTCATTTTTGAAGACAACTCCCGGTGATGCTGTCTTAAGGCACCTGTAAAGATAGTCTTTGTCCTTTATTTCTAAAATAATGGTAGTGATAATAATTAGCCTAAACCCAATAAAATAATATTTACCCAGATTTTGCACTTGCTGGGGAACACACCACACAATTAATTCTACCGGCGTAATTAATTCAAATTTACATTAATTAAATGAAATTAAAACATTAAACTTGTTTCTTAATCTACTCCAAAGAAGTTCGGCAATTTAATTGCTCTGAAACAAGATAACCAAAATAAGGAGGATATTTAACATACTTATTAAATGCCACTTAGTATTTCTGATTAGTATTTTTAGGGTCTAATTAGTGTCTAATTAACTTGCTATAGGCTATCTTTTCACAATACCAATTAAATTTCCAAACATCCTCTATAAACACGCAGCCACGAAAAGGAGAAGATGAAGCATTGTTACAGGGGCGAGTTAATCAGGAGACATCAGCGCGGTATTGTTTTATATCTATAAATACCCGTGGTTATTAAAACTCATCAAGTGTTGCTTTTCACCATTAATTGCTAGTTAATCAACTTCAAATAAACGAGGAACTCTCTGAGACCAGCTGTCATTGTTGGAGACAGATGAAGGGCCCAGAAAACAGGAGTGTGAGGTGACATCAAGAGGCAAGAAGGAAGGCGAGGCAGGAAGTGCGTGCGTTACAGGTGGGGGGGTGCAGAGGGGAAGGCAGATGGGAAAGCCTCGCTGCCAGACGGGGCTTTTCCCGCTGACACCCCACCACCAGGTCCTGTCTCAGACTGAAAGCCCAGCTTGGGACAAGTTGAAAGGACGAGCTGAAGTGGCAGCTGTGTGCGGGAACTCCTGGGGAGACCCTGCCCAGCCCAGGAGGAGAAAGCTGTAGGCGCCCCAGTGTTGGAGTCGGAGCCTCTCGGCTCCCCACTAAGCTGTGTGGTATCGTGGGAGTCGCTGAGCCCCGCTGAGCCCGTGTCCTCATCCGTAACACGCAGGGCAGGCTCCTCACTCAGAGGGACTCCCCAGCACCACCACCAGCACCACCACCACCCCTGGTTCTGTTCGATGCTCGGCTGGCATCGCCTTGCATTTCTTAAAAATCTTTAAACAAGGGAACCCTCTGTTTTCCTTTTGCACTGAATCTGCAAATTATGTAGTTGTGTTTGGTAAAATAAATAAATAAATAAATAAATAACCCTGGTGAGAGATCACTCGTGGAGAGCACTCAGCCCCGTGCCTTGCTCTAAGTTGCTCGGCGGCCGAACAGCACACCAAAGTGAACTCCCAGAAGGATGGGTGCCCGTGGCTTGTGGGTGTCTATGCGGCCTTCCCTTTCCTGGGAGGAGGGAGCCTGGGGAGCTGGGCTCCTAGACTCTCTCTGTACATTGGCCCAGACTGTGGGAGAGAGCTCGGCCTCTTCTGGAACATTCTTGCTGCCCTGCCTGAATTGCTGGCCTCTCCCCAGCTGATTGCCTGGGAGCCGGAGCAGGAAGAGGAGGTGACCATGGTGACTGCCCGGCCCAACTTTCAAGACAGCATCCACGTGGGCTTCGTGTCTGGCCTGAAGAAGTTTACCGAGTACTTCACCTCCGTGCTGTGCTTCACTACTCCTGGAGACGGGCCTCGGAGCACCCCCCAGCTGGTGCGCACCCATGAGGATGGTAGGCACCCCCCAGCCTCTGCTGTCCCTGCCCCCCTACCCACACACCCACACACCCAAGAGCCAGGCTGAGCGCTCTGGGTACAGGGCGATCCCCGCCTTGTCCCCCACCCTGGGGTGGCCCTGGAGCACCGCAGGCTGTCTTGCAGACAGTGGCCTCTCTCTGGCTCTAATGTGCTTGGCGGGGGGGGCCTTTTCGGGGTACAGTGCCTGGTCCCGTGGGACACCTGAGCTTCAGTGAAATCCTGGACACCTCCCTGAAAGTCAGCTGGCAAGAGCCAGGAGAGAAGAATGGCATCCTCACAGGTAGGCGGTCCTGCACCAGGGGGTGAGACAGGTGCATCGAGTCCATCCCTTCGACTGGTGTTCATCCGAAACCTCCCAGCCGACCGCACTTTCTCAGAAAGTATGCGGAGGGGGTCCTCAGCCCCTCTGCTCTGCAGCACGTCCCGGGTCATCCGGCGGAGGCCCCCAGCAGCTGCCGTGATGACTCGCTCCCTCCCACCATGCCCACCCAACAGGGCACAGGGCATCCCACCCAAGTTCCACCTGGGGCCCCAGGCGAGCTTCCCAGCTCCCACAGCTCCCCTTGCCCCCAACACCCACCTAACTGCCGGACTAGTGAAGGAGGGAGAAGCAGAGCAGAAGGGCCAGAGCCAGCGTTGGTCACAGCCAAGCTCACGCCACAACTGGGGGCTGTCCCCAGGGTACCGGATCTCCTGGGAGGAGTATAACCGAACCAACACCCGCGTCACCCACTACCTACCCAACGTGACCCTGGAGTACCGCGTCACGGGCCTCACCGCGCTGACCACCTACACCATCGAGGTGGCCGCCATGACCGCCAAGGGCCAGGGCCAGGTGTCCGCGTCCACCATCTCCTCTGGGGTGCCTCCAGGTGGGTGCCCACTCTCAGGGCAGGCCTGCTGGCCTCTCGTGGTCCTCCTGACCAGGAGGCTTCTCTTTTTCTCAGGAATCCTGTGGCTCTCTTCCCCCAGAGCTCGCTCTCTCCCATGCCTTGGGGTCCATGGTCCCTTGGGCTTCCCCAGAGCAGGCCTGCGTCTCATGATCCCAGGTCTCTGGATGGAGGCTCGCTGGGCTCACTGCTGCTTCTTCCCATGGCTGTCAGAAAAGCATGGTCCCCCAGGACCCCCCACCCCTGTCTCACCCGCCCCCATCCCACATCAGGGTCAGCATCAAGCAGTGGTATCTCTGATTCAAGGGAAGAATTCTCACTGTTGCCCGGGAAGTCCTAATGGGATTCCAACCAGTGGACGTGTTGGCTGGGAAAGGGGTAGAGTAAGGTGGGAATAATCTTAAACCTGGTATAAAGAACCAGCTGAGATCTACTCTCAGCCCTGCTTCTGCCAAGCTCTGTGACCTCGAGCAAGTCCAAGTGTCCCCTCTGTGCCTCAGTTTCCCCATCTGTATCTATGGGAGGTAGACTAGATAACCACATGGTCCTGGCTGGGTCTGTGGGTGTATGCTTATTGGACCCAGCCAGGATTCTCGACCTGCCCCTTGCCCTCCCTGCTCCGAGATGGCTGAGATACTCGAGCCCACTCAACCCCAACTGATGATAACACTAACAAATATTTATGCCTGGAGCCAAGTGCGGCATATATATCAATTCACTTAGTCCCCACAACAACCCTGAGGTAGATAATACTATCATCGCCATTTGACGGAGGAGGACACTGTGGCACAGAAGGGTTAGGTGACTTGCCCAAAGACACATAGCATGGAGCAGTAGAGTAGGATTCCAACTAAAGACAGTCCAGCTTCCGGAATCTGTACTCTCTGTTCATCCTGAATCCCAAGGTTCCTGGTCAATAAAATAGGGGCTGCCTCCTACCCCCACGCGTCCTTCTAATCTTCAGCCATGATTGGGTTTGGGAGGGCTGAAAGGGGGTGTGTGTGAATGGAGCAGGAGACTCTTTGGGGAAGCCCTTGCCTGCCCTGGCCCCAGTCAGCCTCCCCGTGGCCCTGGGAGGCCCTCCCAGCCCCCAGCCCTACCTCAGGGGGTAGGGCACACACAGCCCCCCACCCAGAGTCCTAGTCCATCCAGAAGGGACCTTCTTGTCAGCTGACCTCCTTTCCCACCCTGTTTTCCAGAACTCCCAGGGGCCCCCACCAACCTGGGCATTTCCAACATCGGCCCCCGCTCCGTGACCTTGCAGTTCAGGCCAGGCTACGATGGGAAAACGTCCATCTCGCGCTGGCTGGTGGAGGCCCAGGTAACACCTGCTGCCGGGGAGCCCTGCAGCCCACGCAGCCTGCTCCCTGGCCCCAGGCATGCCCGTGCTCCTGAGAGCAAACCATACGTGTCCCCGCGTGTTTTCATATGCAGCTGTCAGATGGCCAGATACACAGAACATGCCCACAGTTCCCAGGACGGCCTGCCCTCCCCCTCACCACCATCCACACACACCTGCACACACACAGCAGTCCCCTTGGGTCGTGTGAGGGCTGGCTGGCCTGGAGGAATACACGGCTGCTGCCTCTAGCCCTGTAAGTGGTGGGTCTCGGCTTGGGCTCCCCGCGGGGAGCTTTCATAAGCGCCAACGCCTGGGCCACACTCCCAGAAATTCCAATTCTGATTTAGCTGGGGTTTTATTTTTTTTTAATTTTTATTTATTCATGATAGTCACACAGAGAGAGAGAGAGGCAGAGACACAGGCAGAGGGAGAAGCAGGCTCCATGCACTGGGAGCCCGACGTGGGATTCGATCCGGGGTCTCCAGGATCACGCCCTGGGCCAAAGGCAGGCGCCAAACCTCTGCGCCACCCAGGGATCCCTAGCTGGGGTTTTGGAAGCCTGCCAGGGTGTTCAGCAGAATCCCCCGGGGAGTTTGTTAAACACCCAGATCCCCGGGTACCACCCTCAGGGCTTCTGATGGGCTAGGTCTAGGGCAGGGCCCTGGGCTGGGTTTCTAGAAAGCGTTGCACCAGATTCTGATGCAAGACAGCTCGGGGTTGTGCTTGAAGACACGGGTAAGGTCCTGGAAAGATGGTGACCCCATCTGGGGCCCTCCAGGCACTGGGATTGAATTAAGACCTTCCATGGGCCGGGCTTTACCTCCTAGAATCTGGGGCACAGGACATCTCAGCCCCACAGGCTGGGCAGGTCTAAGAGTGTCTCCCTTTTGCAGGTAGGCGTGGTTGGGGAGGGAGAGGAGTGGCTGCTGGTTCACCAGCTCACCAACGAGCCTGATGCCCGCTCCATGGAGGTGCCCGAGCTCAACCCCTTCACCTACTACAGGTAACGGGGCAGGATGCCAGGGCAGGGGTGGGGGCTCCCCAGACTGGGACGGGCTTCAGTCCTGGGGTCCTGCCCTCATCATCTTGCTTGCTCCCTTCCCCCACCCCAGCTTCCGAATGCGCCAGGTGAACATCGTGGGCACTAGCCCACCCAGCCAGCCTTCTAGAAAGATCCAGACGCTCCAGGCACCCCCTGACATGGCCCCGGCCAATGTGACCCTGCGCACGGCCAGCGAGACCAGCCTGTGGCTCCGCTGGATGGTGAGGCTCCCAGGAGGGCCGGTGGGTGTGGGATGGCTCCTTGGTCCTTGTCACCCTGCCAAGGTCATTTCCTCTGAAGGGTCACGTCGAAGAGGGGGAGGTTCACCAGAATACCCGCAGCTCCCTTCTCTTAACACCTCGCTCTTTTAAGGTGCCTGATAATCAATCTGAGCCAAATGAACAAATGCCTTCTGTGAGAAGCAGCTAGAAAACACTGTTTAGTGAGCATTGCCAGGTGCCCAGAATTTGACATGTTTTCTTCCATTTAATCCACCTGGTCATCCTGCAAAGGACACATTATGGCCCCAATTTACAGCTAAGGAAACTGAGGATCAGAGAGGTTAGGACCTCACAGCTGTGGACACACAGCTCCCAAGTGAGTGATGGGCCTGGGGTTCAGGTGTAAGTTGTCACCAAGTCAGAGGGTGAGGAGTTGCTTCTGAGGTTGAGGGGCAGGTGCAAGAGACCAGCCCCCACAGGTCAGAGCTGCATGTCAAGGACCATTACCCCAGGTGACCCCGCACAAGGCAATAATACGAACATCCTGAGGGCTTTGTCCTGCCAGGCACGGTTCTGAGCGCTTTATTCAAAGTCAGGCCCAGAACCCTCTCCAGGGGCTTGTGACATCAGAGTGATCCTGGCCCCTACTCTCCAGATGGGGAAACTGAGGCAGTGAGCAGTCAAATCACTGGCCCAAGTCCCACCCACCGGCCCCGCCAACATCCTCCCACCTCCTCTAGTTAATAGCAAGGCTCGGTTTCCCAGCCCAGGGAGCCCGGCCCCCCGGAACCCACAGCCTTAAGCACCGAATACACCGCCACCCCACCTTCTGTGGATCGGGAGAGAATCTTTCTCCCCGACACCATTCCCCCAGGACAGCGTTTTCCTGACTGCAGCCCCACAAAGCAGCGATCCCGGAGGCGCGAGGGGCACACAGGAATTCTGAGACAAACGAATGTGGGGAACAGGCCCACGCAGCCTGGCTCCTCTCCTGCGAGAGCACTGGGGAGAGCCTGCCTGACCCCGCTCCACTGACCAGTCTGGCCCCCTGACTCTGTTTTGTCTCCACCTGAGACCTCTTACCACTTGCACAAAACACAAGTTTGCAGAACACCATGCCGTGGGATCCACCAGAAAGCCACTACTCCTTTTCACTCAGGTGGATGCTGCGAGAAGGAGCTCATGGCACCATCAGCCCCGGACAAAGGGTAGTTAGTCATTATGATTCCCCTCCCAGGGGGCCGGCGGACCCTCGAGCCACGGGCAGGCCCTCCTGGGCATGGGCAGCCCCACTACTGCTCGTTCGGCCCCTTCCCTCCTAGGCCCTGCCCCACTCCGGGCCGGCTCCCTGCCTTCCCCCTCCAGCTCACTTGAAGGTTTCCAAGCACTAAAAGACTAGAGGCTGATGCCCAGGGGGCCTGGAGAAGGAATAAAAAGGCAATTGGTGCACCGCGCAGGGCCCCAGGCACCTCCTCCAGTCACGGCTAATGGTACACGGCCCGTTACCTTTCCCTCGCAGGTAAGGAAGCGTGAGCTCCAGGCCCATCGATTGCTGCCTTAATGGTCTCTGGTCGGCTTCACTAAGTGTCAGTAGGAGCCGGGGCTGGCAGGAGGCAGGGAGCATGCAGGGAGCGAGGCAGAGGCCCAGGAACGTGGGGAGCTCCTGGGGAAGCAGAATGGCAGGGAGGTGAGGGCCAGGGATGCCCAGCTCCACCTCTGCCACCTTCGGAGAGAATCTGAAGGCTGGGTGCTCAGCTCGCAGGTGCCCCCCACATGCACACACCTCCGCTGCCTGTCAGCACTGCCCAGGTTCATCCGAAGGACCTTGAGCCAGCAGCCACGGCCCCACCAGCGGAGGAGAGGAGTCGGTCTTTCCCCTGGGCTGAAACTGCCCCGAAGGAGGAGGCTGAGCATGCGGCGGGAGAGATTCAGGCCCGCTAAAGGAAGGACTGGTGCTCCATCCATGCCCGAGATGCCGTGCGCCGACGCTTGCTCTCCGAGGGCGGGCGTGAGCTGAGAGCAGGCGTGTTAGAGGCAGTGAGAGACGTGTGTTGGCAGCCTCGGCGAGGAGCGAGGTGGTAGAGACAGCCCAGGCCAGAGGTCTGTGCTGGACTCCAGCTGACTGCCCTGGCAGGGTGGCGAGTGCCAGGTGCCCAACACAGAACGGACGCTGCCTCTCTTTGGGGCATGGCAGAGACAGGCAGGGAGATGGGAAGGGGGCAGGGGGGAAGCCTCCAGAAACACAGGCTCACACAGCCTAAGCCGCCCCTGGGCTTAGCCTCACCTGGGCACTGACAGGTTGGACGGTGGGTGTGATAATCCTGTAGGGCTCCCTGGAAGAGGGTGCACGGGCCAGATGAAGCCCCACACGCCGGGTGGGCCCGGCCTCACGGCAGCTCTGCCGCCCTGCCCTCCCGCAGCCCCTCCCGGAGATGGAATACAACGGGAACCCCGAGTCGGTGGGCTACAAGATCAAATACAGCCGGGCAGACGGCCACGGCAAGACGCTGAGCCACGTGGTCCAGGACCGCGTGGAGCGTGAGTACACCATCGAAGACCTGGAGGAATGGACGGAGTACCGCGTCCAGGTCCAGGCCTTCAACGCCATCGGGAGCGGGCCCTGGAGCCAGACGGTGATGGGCAGGACCCGGGAGTCAGGTACTGACGCCTTTGCACCAGCCACCCCGGTTCCCTGCAGCCTGTGGGGCGGGGAGGGACCCCCACCTCTGTCCCTCTGCCCTCGGGGCCTTCCGGGGGCTCAGAGGCTGGAGCTGTGGTTCAGACTATCCCAGGCTCACTGTCCTGTTTGCGCTCAACACCCCAGAAGAGCGTCCTACCTGTTGCCGTGTGTCCCAGCATCTTCCCACTGCTCCCCGAATCCGGGGACTGGGGGGACCTCCACCCCTGCGAGTTAGCCAGGCAGCCTTTACCTGCAAACTGCCCACGTCTCTGTGGCCTCACCTTTAACCCTGACACCCAGTCGTGCCTGAAAGAACTGGAGTTGGGGAGGTCAGATCAGCTCTCAGAACATTCTAGAAGCAGAACCAGCAAGCTCACAGGACCCTGGCAAGGGGTCACCACAGAATATGAGCCCCCAGCCTTTAGGCTGCCCTCGTGTGGTTCGCCACTCTGAGGCTTTTTCCTGGCACCTTTTAAAACACGTCCCTGGGGCGTCCGGGTGGCTCAGTGGTTGAGCATCTGCCTTCGGCTCAGGTTGTGATCCTGGGGTCCTGGGATCGAGTCCCACATCGGGCTCCCCACAGGGAGCCTGCTTCTCCCTCTACCTGTGTCTCTGCCTCTCTCTCTCTCTGTATCTCATGAATAAATAAATAAAATCTTTAAAAATAAAGAAACGAATACAGGACGTCCCTCCCCGTCCTGGCCCCTCCCCACCCCCACTGCTGTGCACACTGGCCCGAGCAGAGGATAACAAAGAGGCGAATCTGAGACCAGAAGCAGCACCCACGATGCTCCAGAGCCACCAGGAATCCCTGCAGGATGATTTGCTACTTTGGGGACTGGGCGTCACAGCTCCTTCCCCCATGGGGCCCACTGGGTCCTGAGCACCTTCTCTCTGCTCCCTTTCTCATGCAGTCCCGTCCTCCGGCCCCACCAACGTGTCTGCGCTGGCCACCACGTCCAGCAGCATGCTGGTGCGCTGGAATGAGATCCCTGAGGCCGACCGCAACGGGCTCGTGCTGGGCTACAAGGTGAGCCCTGGAGGCAAGGTCACCCGCTTCACCAGCCAGGGTGCCCGGCAGAGGGTGGGGGCACGTCTCCGCCTTCTGGGGTGGACACCCCGGAGATCCCAGCATCTGGCCTCTGGGCAGCCTGGCAGCCAAGGAATCCTCCCTTGGGGCTGGGAGGCTTCCAGGGAGGCCCAGGTCCTTGCGGAAGCTTCCTCACCCCCCAATACCCTCGCAGCCCCCAGGAGGCCACGCTGGCTGCCCCAGCCTTGCTGGCCCTTTACCTTCTAGAACTGCTCCCAAAGCTGCACCTAGCCGCAGGGTTTAGGCCTGGCCCACAGGTTGGGAGATGTGGCTTGATGTCCTGGCTCTGCCCCTACTGACTGTGTGACCCTGGGCAAGTCGTGTCCCTGTTCCAAGCCTGTTTTCCTAGCCGAATGCTCTCTAAGGAAGCTTCCAGACCCATGGCCCGGTGCATCTTTGTGTTTCCGGCTCTCCCAGAGCCCCAGCTTCACCATATCCCATGGGGTGGATATGGGGCCAAGCCACTCCAAGGAGCCCGGGGTCCACCAGCAATATTCCCACCTGCTTAGCTCCTGGGAGTGGGGCAGGCAAGCCCCAGCCCCATGGCCCTCACCCCCGCACTGTGCTCTGGCAGGTGATGTATAAGGAGAAGGACTCGGATTCCCAGCCCCGGTTCTGGCTGGTGGAAGGGAACTCGTCGCGCAGCGCCCAGCTCACAGGCTTGGGCAAGTACGTGCTCTACGAGGTCCAGGTGCTGGCCTTCACACGCATCGGGGACGGCAGCCCCAGCCACCCGCCCATCCTGGAGCGGACGCTGGATGATGGTGAGTTGGAATCTCCATGCGCCTGGGGAGGCTGGGAACTCCCCTTCCTCTTGCTGCCCGGCCCTGCCCCTCTGGGGTCACGCTTTGCCCCATCGGGAACCGTGGCATCAGGCCTTTCCTGTGGGAGGCAGGTAGGTCACTGAGGGGCACCCAGCAGCGTGCTGCGAGGGGACTCAAATTCCAGACTGTGCATGCCTGAGGAAGCAGAAGCAATGCAAGGACAGTTTGACATCCCATTCGGTCTCTGGCATATTCTCCGGGACAAGGGCACAGAATAGAGACTTTGCACCCGGTTTTGATTTGTATTTAGCCTGGGGCAGGTTTGCTTTCAGTAAAGCTCCATGCAAGGAAAAGGCTTGATTTTTCCTGGACAAGAGCCTCCTGGTCCTGTTTGCAAAGGAGCAATCCCCACGGGGCTCCAGGCCTTCATCCCTGCGGCAGAACTTTCCATCAAAGGCTGACCGACAGGCCCTTTGCTCCCTCCCCTCTCCCCACACATATGCTCTGACCGCCCACCCCAAACATTTCTGGGGTCCAGACAGGAGCGCAAAAGGAAGCCCAAACACCATATGGCCACGTATTCTAAAGTCATAAATCAAGCTAATGGCCTGTGAAATTCAATATGTTTTATCCTCCTGCCTTGACCTGGAAGGCCAAGTTCAGGTTTAGAAATCTCAGAGTTTTTAGAATTCTCTGTTGGGATGAGGCAACATGGGAGGAGTTGGCCGCCCCCAGCCGTCCCCCCTGGTCCGCCCTGTTCCCTTCCCATTCTCTCCTCCGGCACGTGGTATTTAGCCTCCGTCCACATGCCCCAGACAGCTCCCCACCCCGGTTCCCACGGGGCCATCCCTCGGTCCAGAGGTGCAAATCTGGAGGGTGGGCCTGGGCAACGGGCCCGTGCAGACCCTGGAAAAGGAGTGGTCCGGGCTCAGGGTGGGCCCCACAGCTGCCTCACCCTACGGGTGGAAGGAAGTCAGAGTGGAGCCTCCTAGAGCACAGACCCAGAACGAGGCCGCCTCGCCCAGTTCTGAGGGCAGCCGTGCACGCACATACATGTACCCACATACACGGACACGGAGCTAAAGGAAAGTGGAGCCTGGTCCCTTCTGGTTCCTGCCAAATAATGCCTGTTTTTGAGGGTAGTAACCTCACCGATAGCATCTTGGTGTCCCGCGTTGAATCCCAGAGCCAGGCACGGAGCAGCAACCCACAGAAGTTCACTGAGCTGAGTGTGCCCTTCTCCTGCTGCCCTGCCCATCTGCTCCCCCAGAGCTGGACCAGGTGTGGGCATGGGGGCCGAGCAACGGCTACACTGTCACCTGCTTCTCCTTTGTCCCCTCCAGTCCCGGGACCGCCCATGGGCATCCTGTTCCCAGAGGTGAGGACCACATCCGTGCGACTTATCTGGCAGCCCCCCGCTGCCCCCAACGGCATCATTCTTGGTAAGCCCCTCCTACCCTCTCCGGTGCTCCCAGCTGCAGGTAGAAGGAGGAGGCATAAGGTGTCAAGGCAGCTCAGCAAGTGTCCACATCTCCTCCAGAAGAATTTTGAGGCTGATTTCTCCCAGTAGAAATCGCGTTTGGAAGGCAGGGCCCTCCTGACCCTCCAGGTTCAGGTTCCTCAAAGACGATCCATTAGCTGCGTGTCCCTTGAACACTGCATGTGCCCGCCAAGACTGGCCATCTGGTAAACCTCGGCGGCCGTTCCTCAGCGTGGCCAGGTGAGGGCGCGCTGGCCGGCTCGGTGCAGCCCGTCCGACCTAAAGCACAGAGGTGGGGAGGCTGCTGATCAGAAGCATCATTTCATATTCAAGGATCATCCAGTAACGGACATACACGCGGCCCCCCTCGGGGGCAGGCTCACGGGGTTGAAGTCGGCAGCGGTGTGAACGCGAGCAAGCCGGATCCCCCACAGCCTCAGCCCCCTCCCCCGTGAAAGGGTGGCTCGGGCTCCCTGTGCCTGGCGTGCGGCCCTCAGGGCCGGCATCCCGCAGGGCCTGCCCCAGAGGAATGCCGCACCTGCACCTTGGAACGGGGAGTGGAGACCCAGAAGGGCTTAGAAAGACCCGGGTTGGAATTGGAGCTCGGTCACTTCCTGGCAGGTGGTCTGGCCCCTCTGAGCCTCTGTTCCCCTCACCTGAGGCTGCCATCGGGGTCCCAGACTCTGTCTATAGAGTGCCCCCCGCAGTCACGATGAGCAAAAGGCTTCAACAGCAGCCAGGGTAGCCCAAGGGCAGATGCTGTGGTGGCCAAGGAAGGAACGACCCCATCCCGGGGCCCTGGGGGCTGCTGGCCTGCTTCCCAGCACGGCCCGTGTCCTTCCTTCCCACAGCGTACCAGGTCACGCACCGGCTCAATGCCTCCACGGCCAACGCCGCCACGGTGGAGGTGCTTGCCCCCAGCGCGCGCCAGTACACGGCCACCGGCCTCAAGCCCGAGTCCGTCTACCTGTTCCGCATCACGGCCCAGACCCGCAAGGGCTGGGGGGAGGCCGCCGAGGCCTTGGTGGTGACCACTGAGAAGAGAGGTGACTGCCCACTGGGGCTAGGGAGGCCGGGGAGGCAGGGAGGGTCCCAGCCAACCGGGGCGCTCCCATCCTGTCCTAGTGGGTGACGGGATCTGCCAGGTCAGAGCCGACTCTCCTCACCTGGAGGGCAAAGTGGGCTGAAATCTCGGATGTAGGGTCAGCTTCCTTCCCCTCTCCCCTCCCCTTGGGGAAGATGGTGTCCATTGGGTGCCATTGGCCTGCTGCCCTGAGCTGCTGCCTCAGCAGAGGTCGGGCTCCCCTGATGCAGGCTGAGACCCCGATTCCTGCGAAAGTAGTTCGTTAGACTGTGTCCCCAGGAAAAACCAGTAGGACAGTCATCTCCGCCAGGAGCTGCTGTGCCCCCCGGGGAACATTGGGCAATGTCTGGAGATAGTTGTCGCAACTAAGAAGAAGCTACTACTGGCATCTAGCGGGCGCTGCTACGTACCCTGCAGCGCACGGGACAGCCCCATAACATACAATCCTCCACCCCAAGTGCCAGAGCGCTGAGGCTGGGAACCCCTGCAGGAGGGCCTGGGGCTGCGAGGAGGCCTAGTCCAGCAGAGCCCCACCGGGAAGCATGGACTCAGTCCCACTCGGTCAGGGACAGCACAGGCCTCATCTCGGCTCTGGGGCAGGTGGGACCAAAGAGCTGGGTGTTCGGACCTCGTCACCGCCAGTCCCTGGTCGGGCTGCCCTCAGGAGATGTAAACTCCCCGGCACCTGGGCCTCTAATGGCCCGAGGACGGGAGCCACCGCAGGTGCTGGCTGTTGGGACCTGCGTGCATGGAAAGAGATGGAGCAGCGGGCACCGGGCCTGACCCCGGAGCGCCTCCTTCTCTTCCTTGAAGAGGCTCGCCCCCCGCCCCCTGCATCGCTGACTCCCCTGCCCCATCCCCCTCCGCCCCTCCCAGACCGCCCACAGCCCCCCAGCAAGCCGGTGGTGCAGCAGGAGGACGTGAAGGCGCGCAGCGTGCTGCTGTCCTGGGAGCCAGGGAGTGACGGGCTGTCCCCCGTGCGCTACTACACCGTCCAGACCCGCGAGCTGCCCGGCGGCAGGTGGGCGCTGCACTCGGCCTCCGTGAGCCACAACGCCTCTGCTTTCATGGTGGACAGGTGAGGCCTGGGTCCGCCAGCATCTCTGCCCCTGCCAGCCCATACAGCACCAGCGGGGTTCCCGGGGGGTGGGGGTAGGGAGTGGGGGGCCCCTGAGCTCACACCTGGAGCCTGCCCACCCCCAATTGTCTTCTACAGCCCACACCCCCAGGACCCCGCCTCCCTCCCTGCTCTCTGGAGCCCTGTTAGGGCTGCCTCTTAATTCTCTATTTCTGGAGCCCAGAAGCCGCCTCAGCAAGGGCTCCCCATCCTTCATTAGCAATTCCTCCCGGCCAGACAGCATCCCCTCTCCGTCTGTAATAGGAGAGTGGAGTTTGCTTGAGAAATTCTGGCTTCAATTTAATTCCTAGTGGGTCATATTTTTTATATTCGGGTTGACGTGACCAAGAGTTTTGAGCAATACTTTCCTCCTCGCCCCCACCCCCCACCCCCAATACATCAAAGAGGAAGGCATTTGCCTGGAGAGGAACGAGACTTACAGAGATGAAGTGCTGGTTAACTCTTGAGCAGCTTGACCCTTCCTAAATTTAGTAAATTCTAGAAAGGGATGGCATTTCTAGGGGGGGGAAGGAGTTTGCTCAGAGGGAGAGTTATGGGTGGAGTCGGAGCAGCTTGCCCCTGCGAGGTTGGAGATGGGTAGACAGGTGCTGCCTGGGCCCCCCCCCGCCCCGGCTTATAAGCAGGGCTGAAGGCCACCCCCAGGCTGAGGTCAGGGCTGTAGGGCCTGGGCCCCGTGGACCCGCTGGAACATGCCTTCTCTTTGAGCCTTGACGTTCCCGTCTGTGTAAGGGATCAGCACCCTCTGCCCTTTCCCCAGTCTCCAAGCAGAGATGCCAGGGTGGAGGCATTAGGGGATGCCTCTGTTCATCGAACCCCATGGCCCCCCATAGGCTCAAGCCTTTCACGTCCTACAAGTTCCGAGTGAAGGCCACCAATGACATTGGGGACAGCGAGTTCAGTGAAGAGTCGGAGCCGCTGACCACTCTGCAGGCCGGTCAGTGCCCCCCACCCTCAGATCTCTTTCTCTTGGCCCACCGGCACTCCCTGGGCACCGGGCATTCTCTTCTGAGGGGAGGGGCCCCAGCGGTGGGAGGGGCGGGGGGCCTGCTGGGCCCTGTGTCTGGCTCCCAGGGCAGACTGCCAGGGAGGATTGGGCCACAGGCGCCTTTGCCGTGGGCTCGGGCATGCCACGCCCAGCAGCCTAATATGTTCCTTCTCTGAAGTCCCCAAGCTTGTGGTCAACCCCAGAAAACCAGTGAAGGGGCTACTGAGGCGGGGGGGGGGGGCTTAGCAGCACAAGAAACTTGGGGTCCAGGGACAAAGAGGAGGGGGCTCTGGGCTTGTGGGCCCCCCGACTGGGGTCAGGGCTGCACACTTGCAGAAGGATCTGGTCCCTGCAGCTTCCCAGGGAGCCTAAGCTCCAGCCCCCAGAGCTCACTTGTCTCTCTCTCTCTCTCTCTCTCCCCAGCCCCCGATGAAGCGCCCACCATTGTGTCCGTGACACCCCACACCACCACCTCCGTGCTGATCCGATGGCAGGTATGGCCCAGCAGCCAGCAGGCCGGGAGGGGCCTGTGTCCCAGGAGGACTCAGACCCACTCTGTGCCTGGACCAGAAAGGCAACAGCCCCCAGCAAGGCTCGGATATTAGACGCACATGCACAGACAGGCCTGTTGTTCCGCTCTCCAGATGGTCCTCTCGGGCAGGCACCCCTACCATCCCCTCCTGCAGATGAGGGCTGGGTTCTCAGGGACGTGACTCAAAAGGCCCTGGTCACACAGCTAGGAAGTGGCAGGGTCAGGCTTAATGCCTCCGGGTCTGGGATAGAAAAGTGTGTGGGGCTCTCAGGGCCCCCCAAGTCCCCATGAATCCTGGCCCACCGTCAGTGAAGGGATTCCTAGTAAAGAAAGCAAACACCGGTATACAGCGGGAACACGCTGTCCAGGTGCAGAGGACCCCTCCCTCCACTCCTCTCCCCCGTGGTCCTGCCGTGGCCTGAGGAAGCCCGCCTGATGCATCTGAGACCAGGTTGCCCGTCAGTGCCTGCGGGACCCTCCAGCCTCCGGACCCAGCAGGTCACCCATGGAGGCCCCAGAGCAGCAAACCCTTGTCTCCGCTTTTGGGAATCAGAGGGGCAGGCGTCAATGTTTGTCCACCTGCACCCCCCCCCAACGGGAGACCCCTTAGGGAGGAGACAAGAAGGGGCCCAGGGCCCCTCCCCAGCCCGAGACCTCACTGCAGGACGACAGTCCCTCAAGTGACAGTGACTTTGTGCAGCTAGAAGCCAGGACGAGGGCCGCAGAGACCCAGGGGCCAGGGAGGCTCCAGCAGCAGCCAGGGAGACAGTTAAGGAGCTAATAAAAGGCTGAACCATTGCAGCAAGATTTTAAAAAGAGGGATCATAAAAAGTAGCTTCCACCTTCCCCGAAAGCCGATTTCTCCACCTCGGAGCAGAAAGCACAAGAGAAAATGGTAAAAGGCAGAGGGGGGGACCGTGCACCCAGGTGATCACACACACAGGGTGGGCTGTGCGCCCCGGGGCACGTTCCTTACCCTCTCTGAGCCTCACCTTCCCGTTCTGGGAATGGGAACGGCCTGGTGCTCCCAGTCCTTCCCTGCCTCACGGGGAACGTTGCAGAGATGAAATCACCCCCTTGGAAACGCTTCGTAAATCAAGAACGCTCGGTGTCATTTTGATTCCTTTCCCTGGTGGACGCTCAGGCTCTGCCCTGTGGTCACAGGAGCAGGGAGGGCAGCGTGGAGGCGGGTGAGCCTCCGTGTCCCTGCTCCTCCCCATCACCGCCCCCTGCTCCCTTCCCTGCAGCCACCTGCAGAGGACAAGATAAACGGCATCCTCCTGGGCTTCCGGATCCGGTACCGGGAGCTGCTCTACGAGGGGCTGAGGGGCTTCACGCTGCGCGGCATCAACAACCCGGGAGCCAAGTGGGCCGAGCTGACCTGTGAGTGGCAGCGGCGGGGGCTCAGGGGACAGTGGGGTGGGACACTTCAGGGGACACTTCCCTCCCTGCCCTGCAGCTCAGCTTCCTGGAGTCACCGTGCCCTGAAACCCTCTGCTCGCCCCCCAAGTGCACCCCTCCCCTCCACCCCCTGGTCCCGTTGACTCACTGGGTGTTTATCGAGCACCTTCTGCATGCCCCCGGACCCTGGGGCACACCAGTGAACAGGAGAGACAACCCCTGTCCTCCCAGAGCTCACGGGCTCAAGGAGTGCTCAAGACGTAAATGTCTAGGACGGTTGCATGACAGCCTCGGAGGACATGGCCTTGGCACTGACCCTGAGGGCTGATCCTGAGTCAGCCCATCCAGAGCTAAGGGGAAAGCCCGGCAAAGGGCCTGAGGTGGAAAAGACCAAGAGCCGAGCCTGCTCACCCCAGGGACCTGCTGCTTGGAGGTCACTGTTCTGTCCCCGGGGTCATCAGGGGCAGGAGTGGGAAGGAAAGAGCCCAGCGCTGGGTGGGGGGGGATCCCAGGGAGAGTCCCAGCCCGGGAATGACGTGGTCGCCCTTTAGGGCAGGAGGGCGATGCTGGCCGTCGAGGACCAGAGGCAGGGGTGCCGGATGGAGGCTCCCGCACTCGCTCGCTGGGGACCAGGCAGAGGCTCGAGATGGACCTGAGGCCCAGGATGGGCGATGCTGTGCCTCGGGCTCCGTGACTGGTTCACGGGGGTGGGGCAGGGAGCGGGCAAGAGAGAGGAGCCCGGGGGGGATTTGGGTCCCCAGGCAGGTGGGAGCCGAAGAGCAGGTGAGGTGCTCTCCCAGGATTCTCTTAAACCTTTTGTGCCTCGGCTTCCAGCGAGTATTAGCAGACAACAAAACCGCTGAACGCGTAGCAAAGGAATATTCGTAGAAAAAAATTGGATGTAGCTGACCCAATGGCTGGCGCTATTTTTTTATATTTTGAAAACACGTGCTTGTGGTCGTGATGTCATTTGCCTGTGATGATGCAGCCCTCGGCCCCGGTAGTGAGATGGTTGCTGGTCCAGGGGAGGAAATAACCCCCACGACAATGTCAGGGTGGTGCTGCGGAGTCCCGGCTCAGACGAGGGAGCGACTGGGGACCGAGGGTCCCCCAGAGTGGCCCTCGAGGGGGTGCTGGGCTCCTAGGGGCTTGGGGTGCCCCGTGTCCCCCAGGCTCGTGCTCACTGTCTCGCGCTCCTGCCCAGGGCCCCTCACTCACCGCCAGGCACCCCGCCCCCCCGTCTGTGTGCACGTGTGCTGCCGGGTGCCTCCCCCGTCCCGCCCCCCTCCTCGGGGTCTCTGCGCAGCGGGGTGCGTGTACTAACCTCTGTGTCTGCTGTCTTCCTCCGGCCCCCCGCCGCCCACCCCGTAGCCATGTACGCCGTGCGGAACCTGAGCCGGCCCAGCCTCACACAGTACGAGCTGGACAGTAAGTCTCCCTGCACGGCGGCCCACGTGGGGCCCAGGCCTTCCAGGGATGGGGAGCGGGGCCTCTGAGGACACCCGAGCCCAGGCTGCTGGAAGGATGGGCTCTCCGGCTACGTGCACAGACCTAGGGGGTCCTGCCTGGGAAATGCGCCTCCCTCGGGGGCAGGATGGGAGTGGGAACAGCTCCGGGCCGGTGCTCCGTGGGGTGGGTCCGGGGTGGGAGCCCTTGGCCTGCTGGTTGGAAGGGCGGACGTCCAGGTCGCCGCCACCCACCTCATCCCGTCGAAGGCGCTTGGCTGCACAGCTCTGTGCTCCAGGCCGGCCCCCACCTCCGGAGCGAGCAGACCCCCCCACACCGTCCCCCCAGGGACCTGGGAACGTTCCTGATGGACGCCTGGGCCGCCCCGCTTCCTTCTACAGTCCATGGTTCTCCCTGAGGCCCAGAGCTTGGGAGAGGGGCCCCATTCTCTGGACGAAGCAGAGCTGAGACTGTGTCGCCTCGTCCCCTTCCTTCATCACGGGGTGTATGGCCAGTTAAATTAGGGTGACTCCCCACCCACATTCCAGGTGCAAGGTAAACCCCCTCCCCCAAGGAAGGGGAGAGGGCAGGGGGCCAGGGAGAGCGGGGAGAGAACCTTCGAGCCTCCCCCACCCCCAGCAGGGATGGCGACTCCCATCTAGGGTTTCCCAGCCGTGTTCCTGCAGCTGCCCTCGTCTCCAGCTTCCGTCCAGGCACCTTTACCCAGGACCCCAAATTTAATGGAAACATAGTGTTTCGTAGCCCAGAATTCACATCTTATAAGCCCCTTCCTGAGGCTGAGCCTCCTGTGTGAAGAGCTGCCTGATGGGGACGGGCTCTGGGAACTTTAAGCATCTGCCATGGGGGGAAAGGGTGACCTGTGACCTGGTGTGCCCAGGACAGGCGGGAGAGGGGATGGCCCGTGACCCCGTGTGCCTGGAGAACAGTGTTGGTTCACAGCAGTCCCTGCATAAGTACTAATAGTGTCTTCTCATCAGCGCCGCCTGGTCCGCTCTCCCTCGGCCGGGAAGCCACCACCGGCATCCTGCGTCCCGATGCCCAGGGTGGAGGCGGAGGCGGAGCATCCCGCGGCCACCCCACTCCTCACCTATTCTTTCCTGAACCTTCAGGCAGGAACTAGCATGACGGGTGCACCGCACAGCCTCCGCCCTCCGTGCTGGCTCTGTCCCCCGCAGGGACGGTGACCTCTCTGTTTCTCCCCCCACCCCGCCCCCAGATCTGAACAAACACCGGCGGTATGAGATACGGATGAGCGTGTACAATGCCGTGGGGGAGGGGCCCTCGAGCCCCCCACAGGAGGTCTTTGTGGGGGAAGCAGGTGAGCCCATCAGCCCTTCCAGCCCCGGCCCTTCCCACCCCAGAAGTCCAGCTAAGGGACATACGGGATTCAGGGGCCCCAACCCACCTCCTCCCTGAAGCCCACTCGTGCTGCTCACTTCCGGCCTCTCACCCCCTCCAGTGCCCACGGCGGCGCCCCGTAACGTGGCTGTCCACGGCGCCACGGCCACGCAGCTGGATGTGACGTGGGAGCCGCCACCGCTGGAGAACCAGAATGGAGACATCCAGGGCTACAAGGTACGGGGCGCTCCAGCAGAGAAGAGGGTGCAGGGGGGCACAGGGCCAGCCCAGGGGTGGGAGTGACCCCCGGGTGGTAGGAGGGGGAGGTCGGCAGGTCTACACCTGCTCCCTCGGCTGGTTGCACCCAACCCGCTGCAGTGTCGTGCAGCCAATGCAAAACTACAGCCGTGCCCTCCAGCATCCTCCCAGGCTGAGCTCGGATGCCAGAAGCCCAGGCCCTGCTTCGGGCAACACCCCCTCACCCCAGGCCGCAACTCCCAGTGCCGGCAAAAGATCCCTCAAAGTGGTTACTTCGCCAACCCTAGTATTGATTCGGCCCATCGGCAAGGGACCCCTGGCTAAGGATGTGGAAACCTCTGCTTAAAATTATTTCCAGATCTTAGATGGTGTCACTCGTTGTAACAGAATCCATCTCCCGTATGCTCAGAGCCCTTTAGAAATCCTTCATCCTCTCGAATGCCCTGCGAGGCAGGCAGATTGTAAAGGTTCACACCCATGGTACAGATGAGGAAACTGAGGCCCAGGTTCGGTGGTCCAGCCAGAAGCAGGTAGAGAGAGCCGGACGCCTCACCCTGAAGGGCCGAGGGGAGCCAGCGAACACAGCCCCTGGAAGAGGCGGTGGGCAAATAATAATAACGCGTGTCCTCGGTTGGAGCCGCTGCTGTGTCTGGGCCGGTGTCCAGCGCCTCTCTGATTCCTGGTGGGGGCTGGTTGTTCCAGAGAGAAGCCTGGTGCAGTGGTTAGGGGAGGGAGTGAGAGACCCTCCAGGGCCTCATGGTTTACGTGGCTCGGCCCCCACATTCCACGGGCAGAAACAGCTCCCCCGAAGGCAAGGGGCTTGTTAGTATAGGCAGGCTGGGTGGCTCAGCGGTTTAGCACTGCCTTCAGCCCAGGGCGTGATCCTGGAGACCCAGGATCGAGTCCCACATCGGGGTCCTTGCATGGACCCTGCTTCTACCTCTGCCTCTCTCTGTGTGTCTCTCATGAATAAATAAATAAAATCTTAAAAAAAAAAAAAAGCATAGGTGGCCCCAGTTGAAGATAGAAACCCACATGGGAGTCTCTTTCCACGGGGCGGGGGTGAATGAGGCAGGAGACAGGAGGAGAGGCATCCTGCCAAGGAAGCTCTAAAGATGGGTGACACCCCTCAGGCCCGCCCAGGAGGGCCAGCTGGCAAAGCTAAATATTGCACCCCTAGCATATGCGTCCCGTGGAAAGGAGGAGGGACTGGGGAGAGGCCTGCAACAGTTTGGTAGCCACCGGACTGTTGAGGTGTGGAAGTCTCCAGCGAATGTGCAGCCCACAGACGTGGACACACAGACGTCGTGTACCACACGGCAGATGTCTGCGTGCTCGGGAAACATGGAGCCGGTGGCCGTTATTAGCTGGGGACCCAGAATTGCTGCATCCCGGACGTGCATTAGCACCCACATGGATTAGCATCGACGTTAATGATGTGTGGACGTCACCAGCCCGTGAGCACAACTCGGATGAGCTTGACTTGGGTCAGACTGAGCTGTGACGTGTGCGCGGGCAGGCGCGTCCGTGCAGCCCGGTCTCTCGGGGACGCGTGTTTATTGAGCTGTTATTTTGTGCCAAGTAACAGCAGTATTTCTCAGTCTGGGAGCAAAGCAGTGAACAGAGAGGCAACATGAGCTTGAATTTTTGGGAAGAAGACGAACAATGTACAAAAACAAGTCACACCTCCAGATGGTGGGAAATGAAGCAGATTAAGAGGATAGAGAAGGAAGCTGGGGGCCGGTGGGCGGGGGGTGGGGGTTGGAATTTTAAATAGGGTCGATGGGAAGGATTTAGTGGGAAGCTGACACTTGAGCAAAAAATGAAGAACAGGGTGAGAATCACATGTTCTTCTGGGAGAACATTCCCGAAAGAGGGAAAGAAGAGCAAAGGTCCTGGGGTTGGTGCGTGCTTGGCGTTTACAAAGCTCAGCAGAGTCCCATGCATCCCAGAGTGTGTGGGGGAGCAGCATGATGGGAGACAGGTCCAGGCAGTGACCTGAGCTGCTGCATCACACAGTCGCTCCAAAATGAGAGGACAGCCAGGGAGGGTTTGGGGCAAAGGAGGGCCACAAGTGACTCGGGTTTTTAAAGGGCTGTTCCGGCTGCTGTGCTGAGAGCAATCTGAAATGGGGAGAGGGGACTGAACCATCTAGGTGCGGCGTGGCGGTGGCCTAGGCCAGGCGGCAGCAGCGGGGAGAAGCTGCGTGCTCGGGCTCCATCCGAACGGCGGGGCTGATGGAACTTGCTGAATTGAATGTGGAGTGTGAGTGAGAGCGGAGAAGCGGCAAGAATTCACAAGCAAGTAGATGCTGGAGCTTGCAGACACAGGGCGGGAAAAGACCAAAGAGGGCGGGAGGAGGAGGCTTGTGGGGGAGAGCCGGGGTCAGCTTGAGACGTCTGTCCGTCTGTCGGACGCCCGGGGGAGACCCCCAGCAGAGCTGGGGATACATGTCTGGAGTTCAAGAGAGAAGGGGTCTCAGCTGGAGATGTGAATTGTGGAGGCCTCAGGATATAGATGATGCTGAAAGCCCAGAGATGACACACGAATAGAGAGAAAACACAAGAAGATTGAAAACTGGGGACCCGGGACCAGGAAAAGTGCCCGAGGTCTCAGAACCTACGTAAAGAACGTGCTTCCCGGAGGAGGGAGGACTCTGATGCACCACACGCTACTGAGACCTCCCGCAAGATGAAAGCTAGGAAGCCTAGAGCCCAGGGCTCCACCTGGCCCCCCACTTGTTCTCGTAAATAAAGTTTTATTGGAACACAGCCGCGCTGCTTTTAGGTACGACAGAGGTGTGTGGCCTGCGAAACGCAAAGTACCGATTGCCCGGCCCTTTACCGAAAGCTTGCCAAGGCCTGGATTATTGCATTAGCCAGACCCAGTTCCCAGGTGACTCCGACCAGAGCTGGGGGCAGGGGAATGCCCGCCTGGAGGGATTCGAGAGAGAATGAGGGGAGGCAATGAGTACAGGGACACCCCCCCCCAAAGCCCTTTAAGGAGTTTTGCCTTAAAGGGAAAATGAACCAGACAACAGAGGGGGTTTTGAGACAGGAGAAATGACAGCTTGCATATGTGCTGATAATGATCCCGGGGAAGAGGGGGCATGTGGCGATTCTAGAAGGAGCCGAAGCTGGGGGTGGGAGCTGAAGTCCTGGAGGAGGAGAGAGGGCCCGGGACTGCGTGCGTGCAGAAGGTAAGGCAGTCTTAGGAGCCGGACGTGCAGCCGTGGGGGCGGGAGGCGGGCAGGGCTTGTGGACCCGGGAGACGGTGCAGAAAATCTCATCTCCAGAAGGAGCCTCAGCTGGGATGGAGGAGGGGAGGGGAGGGGAGGGAGCACGGGGAGCGGTGAATGAGACTGGGCGGTAGGAGATGCTCGCAGCGGTGGTGGTGGTGGCCCCGGGCAGTGGCCCCTGATCTAAGCGAGGCTGAAGTTGGCCTTGACAGGAGGAAGCTGGAAGGGCAGGGAATGGAAATGGTAGATACAGGTGGTGCCTGGGATTCGCTCCGACACCTGCTCCTGCCTGCATGAGGCTAGATGCTGGAGACACACGGGGAGCCCGATTCGCCAAGAGGTCAACCCCCCCCCCACTGCGGCATGTGCATCCTAGTGGACTGTTGGGGTGCACGGCCACTCAGCCGTGTGCCCCTTGGGGACCGGGCTCAGCGCTCAGTCCTCGGTGCCATCTGCATAAGGGCCGGTCGGCGGTCGCCCGACAAAGGTCTGCTGAATTCAGGTGGTGCCCCGAACTCAAGTGCTGACTCCAAGCAGGGTGCCCTGCGTCTGCATGTGGCGCCGGTGGGGGGGTCCTGGACCCCAGTCCTCCCCCCAACCCCAGAACAGGACTCTGGCACTGACCCCTCTCTCCTGCACCATCGTCCTCTCCCCACCTGAGGGGCACAGAGCCCCTCTGAAATATATTTCCTCTTGGGAATGCCTTTCCCCGACCCCTCATGTTTGTCCAAGCCGGCAGCCCTTTCTCTGCTTGGTCCCTTTACAGCAGAAACCCTCAAAAACCGTCTTCTGGACCCGCCACGACCACCGCCGCCAATCTCCGTCCTCCTGCTGTGTCTTGAACCTGCTCCAGGGAGCTTCTCACCGCCCCACATGCACCCCTACTCCATCCCCGACCCCTTTCTGTCCAGGCTGCTGTGATTCCTGTGGGTTTGGGGTTTTTTTTTAATTACTATTGATGAGAGACACAGAGAGAGAGAGAGAGAGAGAGAGAGAGAGAGAGAGAGGCAGAGACACAGGCAGAGGGAGAAGCAGGCTCCATGCAGGGAGCCTGACGTGGGACTGGATCCTGGGCCTCCAGGATCAGGCCCTGGGCTGAAGGCAGCGCTAAACCGCTGAGCCACCCAGGCCGCCCGATTCCTGTGTTTTCTAGAAGTCAGGTGCAGGGCTCCCCCTACCCAGCTCAGCACCACCATTTGACACAGCAGGCCTCTCTCTCGTCTGAGAAATGCCCTCTCCTGTAAAAAAAAGGGGGGGGGGAGAAAGAAATGCCCTCTCCTTCTCCTCTCCATGTCCCTCACCGGTGGTTCGAGCCTCCGCCCAGCCCCTGAGCATGCCCCCTCCGCCACCCCCACCCCGCTCACCTTGCAGCTCTTCCTACATCCACTGTCTCCATGTGCTCTCAACAAGTACCACCCGTGTGCTGACACCCCCCAGCTCTCGGACGTTCCCCGTGGCATTTCCCCTGCACCCCAGAACCTGCAGGAACTTGGTCCCCTGTTGTGTACCTGTCGCTGTGAACATTGCTTCCTGTGGGGAGAGCGACCCCACAACTCGCTGTCTGATACTTACTCCTATCAGAAGAATCTGTTTTTAAAAATCGGGCGGGGTTAGGGACGCCTGGGTGGCTCAGCGGTTGGGCGTCCATCAGCCTTAGGCTCAGGGCGTTATCCCGGGGTCCCGTCGGGCTCCCTGCATGGAGCCTGCTTCTCCCTCTGCCTGTGTCCCTGCCTCTCTCTGTATCGCTCATGAATAAATAAATAAAATCTTTTTAAAAATTAAAAGTGGGCGGGGTTAGGAAAAAGCAAGAATTTCTGGGTGACGACGAGAGGTTCTGGGTGCCAGGCGGGGGACCCTGGTATTTTTTAGCATTTTTTGAGGTCCGTAGCGTGCAGAAACCTCCTCGGCCAGCAAGTGGCGCCAAATACTCGCTGATCGTCCCCGGGGCGTGCGGCTCGCGGCTTCACCGCATCTGGAGTTCCTGACCCTAGTGAAGAATTGGAGCTTCTAGGAGCTTCTGAGCTGCCCCTGAGCAGCGCTTGAGTAACTGGAAGCCCGAGGAGCGCAGCTGGTGGACTAAAGCCTTTCTCACTCCTTACCCACTATGCTCCTTCTCACCTCGGTCCTGGAAAGTGGGGCGTCTATCGCCCCACTGGTCGGCCGACGAAACCACGGCTCAGGGGAGTCACCTGGCGAAGTCACCTTGTGCATGCGTGCGTGAATGCAGCCCTGGGGTTCAGCCCCACGCCGGCCTGCAGGTGAATTCATGCACAGGTGAATCACCAGGGGCCTTGTCAACCACCAGCAGGTGCTTTGCAGCAGGTCGGGGAGGGGGGGGCCTGATGCTCTGCATCCCTAACCAGCTCCCAGGTGATGCTGCTGCTCTTAGCTCCCCGGCTCTGGTTCCTGAAGAGCAGAACTGGCTTCTTCCTCCAGTAACTAGACCCTACAGGCCCCGCGGCAAACAGATACGTGGGGTCTGTGCTCTCCCGGGGGTGAGTCCAGCAGAGACCAAAGTATTAGCTGTGAAAAGGAAAGCTCTGGAAGAGTTTCTAAACCAGCTCCTCCATACCTCTGGGACTCGCACCCACGGTCCAGGGTGTGTGGATGGTCCCTGAGGCTGGCAGGGGCAGGGGGAAAGGCAAATGTCTCCATCTCACTCCCACACTTGGCTGTGCCCACAGATTTATTTCTGGGAAGCCCAGCGGCGCAACGTCACGGAGCGGGTGAAGACGCTTTTCCTGGCCGAGAACAGCGTGAAGCTCAAGAACCTGACCGGCTACACTGCCTACATGGTCAGCGTGGCAGCCTTCAACGCCGCCGGGGACGGGCCTCGGAGCACCCCCACCCGGGGCCAGACCCAGCAAGCAGGTGAGGGGGGGGCAGTGGACACCTGCACCTGTGCTCCTGGGGGTGGGGGAGGAGCAGCGGCCTTATCTGCTGAGATATCTGGGCTGGACACCCAGGGCCTGTGTTGTGGCCTCCAGACGGGGAGAGCACAACCCAAAAAGAAGGGCCTACATGAGAGTGCTCAGAAGAGAGAGGCTGTCCCCAAAGGGGCCTGGAGAAAGCCTCCAGATGTCCCCCGTCCTCCCCACATCTTGTAGCCCGCCAGCCCGTTTCTGCCCATGCCTTGTTCCCACCTGACGGTCTTATGTGGCCCTGGCTTTGTTCATTCTGCATATGTTCCCTGAGCACCTTCTAAGGACCGGCACTGTGCTGGACGGACACCGTCGAGGCCCCCACCCCAGGGAGCAGGACAGGTCATAAACACGTATCTAGATGAATGGGCCTCAGGTGGGGGTGAGTGTGAGCAGTCGAAGGACGGGGGCCTTGGACAGGTCAGGCTGCAGAGGCCTCCGAGGGCTGACCGCCGGGGCCTGACTGCGAAGAGACCAACGTGGAAAGCTCTGGAGGAGGGGTTCCGGGCCGAGCGAGCCGCAGGTGCAAAGGCCTGGCGGCCGGAGGGGGTGAAAGGAGCAGAAAGCCAGGCTGCTTGAGAGGAAATGGCCAAGGAGGGTGGAGGAGCCTTGGGAGGAAGTCTAGGATGGGTTCTCAGTGCGCTCGGGAGTCTCTGGTGGGGGTAAGCAGTTGGGCGATGGGATCCGGTTTATGATTTCAAAAGCTCTCTCTGCCTGCCGTGCGGAAAACAGGCTGACGGAGGGGACAGGAAGGAGGCAGGGAGGCCACTTAGGAGGCTGGACCGTGGGGCAAGGCAGGGGGGCGGTGATGGTCAGGACCCCGCTTCCCGCTCGCGTGGGGCCGGACCTATATGTAGTGTCCAGAGGCGCTTCTCGGGCAGTGATACGCTTGCTCCTTCTAGAAGCCCCGGGATGAGCAGGCCAGGTGTTACCCGTTTCAGTCAGCAGGGGGTGGCCTGGGCCGTGAAGCTTCTTGCCCAGGACCACCCGCCTCCCCGGCCTGTCACTGGGGGAGCAGAGGCTCGAGGCCAGGACAGGTGAGCTGGTCCTGAGCTGTCTTCACTGCCTGTCACTGAGCCCCCTCCTCGTGGTTTTGAATACAAGCCTTTTGTCCTGAGCCCCCCTTGAGCATCCCCCCCTCCTTCTCTCTTAAAGAGAGAGCCCGACCGTGGAGTCCTCTTTGGGAACAGGCCACGGCTCCTGGGAAAGCTTTTTCCTCCACTGGTTCCAGAGGGTCTGGTCTGTCTGTCTGCTGGTCCAGACCACTCTCCGTCAGGGTCACGGGCCGGATGCAAGCCCCTGGGAGCCTGGAAGCTTCCGGCAGCAGGACAAAATGTTCTGACCCGAGTCCCTCTTGCTAGGGGAGGCAGGAAAGGCCCCCTGAGTCGCCTCCCTCCTTCAAAGCCCGCTGGCTGGGGCTGGCTGGGGCTGGCTGGGGCTGCCTCCAGGATGGAGCGGAAGCGGGGTCCAGATTAGCCTCGGCTCGGTGGGGGGCGGCCCCAGGACAATAATAGCCTGGTCTTCGGCGCCTGAAGCCAGCTCTGCGCTTCCTTCCCTGCCTCTCTGTCCTCCCCATCAGAGGCCCCCACGGCCCCCATGTTTTCAGGGTCACTCCAGCCTTCTCAGGCCAAGAAGGCATCTCTTCCAGATGGTTTGACTGTCCCTGTTTCTGGCTGCTTCTGACAGCCTGGTCTCTCCGTGACAAGCCCTGGGGCCCCAGGGACGCTGGAGCGGCCTCAAGGCTGGCTGCAGTGCTGGCATCTTCTCTTCCCCACCCGCTTAGTGCCCCCAGGCCCAGACAGCCCCTGCCTTCTCCACCGAGGAAGGCAAAAGACAAGCCTTACAATACCAGGACATCGCGTGACCCCACAGTGACCCTGGAGGCGCAGTGTAGACGTGTCCTGTGGTCTTAGCCAGGGGCCAGGGCCACTTAGCAGGAAGAAGCAGAGTCTTCCAACTTTAGGGAAAAGAAAGCTGTCTTCCCTCCCAATTCTTGGACTCTGGTATTGGAAAGCCAGAGCTAGCAGCTTCCTGGGGGGGGGGGGGCGCATGGCTGACCTCTGATGAACCCCTGCTCACTCTCTCTTTCCTGGGCCCAGACCCAACCACCCCTGCTGGTCCCTGGAAGCCGAGCAGGGCTTTGAAGGGCCTCGGGAGGACAAGACAAACCCTTTGCTGTCTCCCTGCAGCCCCCAGCGCCCCCAGCTCTGTCAGGTTCAGTGAGCTGACCACGACCTCGGTGAACGTGTCCTGGGAGGCCCCGCAGTTCCCCAACGGTGTCCTGGAGGGCTACCGGCTGGTGTACGAGCCCTGCACCCCCGTGGACGGTGAGTGGGACCCTCCCGGCACCGCTCCCGAGGGCTCTCTCTCGTCGGCATTGTGGGGGAGGGGGGGGCACTGCACAGACTTGGATGTGATGAGCGTCTTCCCCACTTGCAAAGGGAGAATCTGGGGCCAAGAAAGGAGCATTTCTGCACCTGCACGCAGGGGCTCAGAGTTGAGCAGCACCTGGGTCTCCCACCAAAGTGAGGAAGGAAGGACGGGAGCCTGCGAGACACACAGCATCCACAGTGGCCAGGCTGCTGTCAGGCCCAGAAAGAGGGGGAGCCCCACGTAGCCCCTCGTAGCCCCTCCTGTGCCTGCCAGGATCCAGAATTTAGGGTGTCAGCCTTATTCTGGATAGGCCTTCGCCTCTCCTGCTAGGTCAGGAACTCATTTGAGAATCTGATAAAAGCCTTAGAGCCTCTCCCCAGAAAGCACAGTTTGGGGGAGTCGCTGCACCCCGCTTCCTTGTGAACCCCAGGTCAAGAACCTCGATGTGCAGGTTGCCTCCCGGACTCTTGTTTGTCTGGCTGTCCTTAGAGCCCCCGGCAGTCCCTGTTCCCCCAGTGGGAACCCTGCCCAGCTCCCAGGCTCCCAGGCCGCCCTAACCCTGACTGTGGATGTCACACACCTGCCAGCGCTCTGCCCACACCTGCGTGAGTGAGCCCAGGGGGAGCCCAGAAAGCACTGCCATCTACTCGGAGAAGCGGGAAGGAGGCCGAGCTCCCGGCCACCTGGGTCCAGTTCCAGAGCCCAGGAGGACTCGGGGGTGTGGCTGGCCTGCAGGTGGCAGCCTGGTGGCCAGAGGTCACCTCCCCACTCTCACCTATCCCCGGCTCCAGGGCCTGACCAGAACAAGGGGCGGAGCCCTGGGACACCGCCGGGGCCAGCAGTTCTGGGCCAGCCAAGGGAACAATGGCCCTCAGTCTCCCCACCAGCACCTGCCTGCCAGCACTAGTTCATTCTGCAAAGTGCCGCTGTGTCCGGGACACTGTGGGGCGGGGGTGGGCAGGGCCCCAGGAGGAGATGTGATCGATCAAGTCCAGGACCTGGGAAAGGGGCCCGTCTCTCCCTCGGACGGAAGGAGAGGGCCGAGGGCACAGGGACACGATGCCGGGGGACAGGACAGGCTCTCCTCACAGCGAGCGGCCTTTCCCGGCCTACCCAGGGGCCCCAGCCCTTGAGGGGTGGGGGCACGAGGCCTTCCCGTTCCTCTGTCCAGCACGGTCTGGCCACACAGCCGACGTCATGTCCTTGCATGTTCCCGTCCACTCCGCGGTGGCCCAGCGGTAGGACCGCGAAGCCCTGGGTGTGACTGAGCCAGGCCAGAGCTGCGTCTGCGCCCCCCGTTCATGCCTCAGCCCTGGGGTCGGGTCAGCAGCAAACAGGCCTCACAAGAACCCGGTGACCCCTGCCCCTTTCCTGCTGGGAAAACCACGGCCCAGGCAGATGAGGGATTTGCTCAGAAATGTCAAGGGACGGCCACTCAGAGCTGCTGTTCTGGGTCCTGGGGCCTGTCCCCTCACCTCCCCCCCACCTTGGGTCACCTCCTCCGCTTGAGCAGCCATCGTTCTGTTGTTTGGTATTTATTTATTCATAAGGTGGTTTGGGCATGTGCCAGCTGCCAGGTGCTCTTTTATTTAACCTCATAACATCTAGTCCACGATGCTATGGCTACAGGCTCATTCAGTAGAACAACAAACCAAAGCTAGGGCTTCCCCCCACCCCACACCCTGGGCCAGCACTGGGCTGTGTGACCTGTGAAGCCTCCCTCCCCGGGGTGACCACTGTGCTTGGGGGACACGGGAAAGGACACCCCATTCCGACCTCCCCGACCCCCAAGGAGGCTGGTGGTCGGGAGGATTTGGGCCCACGAAGCACCGAGCACAAGCCTGAACCTCCTAAAAACCATGCAGGCCTCCCCACTGGTTACTGTGACTTGGGGTGCAGTTGATGGAGGGCCTGGTGCGAGCCCCTGGCCCCTTGATGGCACAAGAGGCTTGCCAGAGGTCCCGAGGCTCTCCTCGGCTGTTGGGACTGGCTGCAGGTGTGTTGCCCCGGCCCCGGGATGTCCCTGCAGAAGGTGCTCCTTGGGATTCCAGTTCAGTGGAATCGGTGAGGGGAGAAGTGAACACGGGGGGTAGAGTACATTCGGGATGCAGCGGTTCAGTTCAGCAGGGTGGGGAGGTGCTGAAGGACCCCCGTGCCTACCCATCGGATGGTCCGGGCCTCTTGTCAGGCTTCTCTGGCCGCGGAACCCTTCCTCCTGAGAACGGCCTGTGGGAGCGCGTGTGTGGGAACCACAGCTGTGTGGCCCAGGGTGCCAGCCCCGGCCTGACCTCGAGGGGGTGCAGCTCCCCCCCCACCCTGTCAACGTGCCACCCCTGCAGCTGCCAGCCGCCTCTGCCGTCCCCACACGCCCCGTGCCTCCTTTGCAGGTGTCAGTAAGATCGTGACCGTAGACGTGAAGGGAAGCAGCCCCCTGTGGCTGAAGGTGAAGGACCTGGCGGAGGGGATGACCTACAGGTTCCGCATCCGAGCCAAGACCTTCACGTATGGGCCGGAGATCGAGGCCAACGTTACCACAGGCCCCGGAGAAGGTAGGGGAGCTCCGGGCGGCCGAGGGGGCTGCTGCCCACCCACCCCACCCGTGCACACACAGCGTGCAGCCCCCCAGGTCGGAAGGGGGTGCCCAGAGCTGTGCTAGACCCCGGAGATGCAGAGACGGGGGAGGCAGGTGTAGTGGGGATGGCATGGGGGGTGGGATCCAGACAGACACATGGAAACACAAGCCAGGGTTCGCAGTACCCCGAAGGCGGCTCCGGCAGCGGAGAAGAGGAGGCCCGGGTGTGCGGGTGAGAGCGAAGGCGGGCCTGGGCAGTGGAGGATCACCTGCGCCGTCCGAGGGTTTCTCCAGGTGCCACATATGTCAGAGAGCACCCCCACACACACACCCAGGGTTCTGGGCCCCAGGAAATCAGAATCCCTGACCGATCGCCCTGGGAACTTGCATTTGCACAGGAGCCGCCGGAGGCTCTTTGCCTGGTGCTCTGAGCACCACTGCTTCTGGGAGGTGGGGGGGGGGTGTCACAGGCAGGGGCCCCTGCCAGGCTGCGTCCTCCCTAGACAAAGGTGACCGAGGGAAGAAAGGAGCAAGGGAGACAAGGCCAGGCTGTGCACTGAGCACAGGGCCTGAGGAGGGTGGGGAGGGGGACGCTGGGGACCGGAGATGGAAGAGTGGCTCTGTCGCAGTTTGTGACACTTCTCAGGGTCAGCCTGGGGCTGGGCGAGTTGTTCAGGCGCCTGCTGTGGTTGAGGTTTGCTCTCCGAAGTCCTTGTCACCCAGGCAGGCTGTCTTCTCCTGAACACAGAAGCCACCGGGCTGGGCCTCTGCTCCCTCCTTCCCTGAGAAAGGACACAGCCCATCTCAAACTTTCCCTGAAATCCCTCCCCAGGCTCCTCCTCCACCTCCTCCTCCACCTCCTCCCCAGCCTCCTCCCTGCCTCCTCTGTCTGCCTCCCCTCCCCCTGCTCCCTGTCCTGGAGGCCAGAAGCCCCGCTGAGCTAGGCCCCTGGGGGGTGAGGATGATGGGGGGGCGGTGGCTGGAGAGGCTGCCTGACTTGCCTCTCACCTGTCGGGCAGGTGTGGCCATGCTTCCCTTTCTCTTCGTGGGCACTTTGTTTCCCTGCCTCTGGTTCTGCAAAGAAGACGGCTGGCTCCGGGGCTCCTGTGGGCCGTGCAGCCTGCAGGACCAGGGGAGGAAGCTGGTGGGAAGAAGCCGCCCCCTCTGCCCTTCACCTGCCCCCAGCCCCTCCTGTGCCGCCTCTTCACCTGAGCCAACTTCCCTGGGAAACAAAAGCAGGAAAAGAGCTGGCAGGGACAAAGGGAGGCGGAGCAGGGCCGTGGGGAGAAGGCCAGAGGACAGCCTGTTCTAACCTGAGGCTTGAAGTGTCCCAGGCCTGAAGTGGGAAGGAGGGGGTGGCAGGAAGTTGGGGGGAGGCGGTGGGGGGTCCCTCTGAACCAGCGCTGAGCTGTGCCCTGCAAGTGTGGGCGAGGAAAGGACGTGCCACCACGCATCCTTGTCCTGGAAGCTTCTAGGCTGGGAGTTGCTGACTGCTGTCAGCCTTGAGTTCTGTCCTGTGCAGAATGAGAACTCGGGGGTCCTGAGAGCGCTCCCCCCACCCTCCTCACCCCCCTCAGGCTGTATCTCACACCCCCGGCCCCTCAGCTGCCTTTGCCCTGTGCCGTAGGCAGGATGCACGTTGGGGAAGGAAGGAAGGAAGATGAGGCTCTCTGAGGTCACAGGTCGGGACTGGACATGGGCCGGGCGGTGGGCTGCCAAGCTCTGATCCTGAGTCCCCGGCCTGCTGTCCAGCTCCGCGGGCCCTGGAGGCTCTTCAGTCTGGAGCTGGATTCCAGGCTCCCTCCCTGCAGGCGTCCACAGTACACATTCGGCACTCACTGGCCAAGCGGTCATCCCCCTGCCAACCCACTCACCCGCTTATTCCCCCATCCCACAGTGCATAGGGAGCACCTACTCTGTGCCCAGCCCTGGGGGTGCAAGGCTCCAGGTCTAGTGAGGAACAGGCAGGTAGGAAACAGCGCACAGGGTGTGGGTTCTGGTGACAGTGAGAGAAGGAGGGGCCCGGGACCCTCCATAGATGGAACTGGCTCTCACTCTTCTTACTGCACAAGTGAATTCTTTCCTGCTTCGGCCCCTGGGGCTGGTGCCCGGATGGCTGGTACTGGGATGACTGGTGCCGGATGGCTGGTGCCTGGATGGCTGGCTGCCCGGATGGCTGGTGCCGGATGGCTGGTGCCTGGATGGCTGGTGCCCGGATGGCTGGTGCCGGATTGCTGGTGACTGGATGGCTGGTACCAGACCAGATGGCTGGTACCTAGATCGCTGGTGACTGGATGGCTGGTACCAGATGGCTGGTGCTGGATGGCTCATACCCGGATCGCTGGTGACTATGGCTGGTGCCTGGATGGCTGGTACCCGGATCGCTGGTGCCTGGATGGCTGGTGCCGGATGGCTGGTACCTGGATGGCTGGTGCCGGATGGCTGGTGCCGGATGGCTGGTGCCTGGATCGCTGGTGCCTGGATGGCTGGTGCCTGGTTGGCCACCCTGATGTACCTGCCGTGCCAGGACAGCCAGCAGCAGAGCCCTTTCTTCCTCCCCCCCCCCCGCTCCCAGCCTCCACTCTGGCCCAGCCTGGGTGCACCTGCAGCAGGGGTGGGGGAATTTCAGGCAGGAAGTAGAGAGGCCATTGCCATCCTAGGCCAGGAGACCAGATGTCAGGGAGCCCTTCAGCCCCCCAAAACTAACACCCCACTTATCATGAGCCCTTCCTCCACCACCATCACACCCACCCCTACTGTCCCCTTAGGTCATATCCCATCATCCCAAAAGGGCCTTACAGTTGGGGAAACTGAGGCGCTGGAGGGCTATGTGAGTTGATCAAAGCCACCCCCATCTAGTGAAGTCAGGTCTCCTGGCTTTGAATATGGAACAGAGTGGGAGTGTGGGCGACCCAGAGAAGGTAGTTGGATCCAGCAGGCCCAGCTGGAGACGCACACCTAGGACCTTGGCGCTCGCAGGGTTTCTGGAGACTTCGGCCGGGCTCGGTGTGGCTGCCCAGCCCCTCTGCTGGAGCACGGGGAGACAGGCTGGGTGTCGTACCTCGTTTTGCCCACTGCGTGCCATTCGCAGGTGCCCCCGGGCCGCCCGGAGTGCCCATCATCGTGAGGTACAGCTCCGCCATCGCCATCCACTGGTCCAGCGGAGACCCTGGCAAAGGGCCCATCACCCGCTACGTCATCGAGGCCAGGCCATCAGGTACACCCAGCCCCGGGCTGAGCGCCTCCCTCTGGAGCAGCTTCCAGGTTTTGCTTTCTCCTCCTTATGGAGTCCCTCCACCTGGCGACCTTGTGTCCTCCTGAGAAGGCGTTGTCCTACTCCAGGTGGAGCTAGAGGTGGCCCTGGGGCGAGTGGGAAATGGAGAGTTGCACCCTTAGGTAGGACACCCCACACACACCCACTGGGGTCCCCTGGAGAGCAGCACTTAGCACCGGGTGACGACCAACTCGGGTGGAAGATCATTCAAGAAACCAAAGGAGCAAAGTGTTGGCCCCTGCCCCCTTGGTTAAACACGGGGCCTCTCACGAGACCCCACTGACTGGCGTCCCATCCAGAGGCCAGCTGTCCCCCCCGGGGACCCTAGCCACCTCCTTGCAGTCCGTCTCTGCCACCCTGACGATCTCAGCAGTTCCTGTAACCCTACCAACCCCTCTTGTCAGGCCTGAAATCGAATCACAAGCGCTTCCAGAGCCATCAGGAGACCAGCCAGCCAGTGCTAAGTTCCTCTGGGTGGGGGGGGGGGCTGCTCCCAGGGCTCCCGCTTCACAGTGGCCGTTAACAGCTGCTCCTCCCAGCTCCCCTTGGCCACCCTACAGCCAGCTCTGGCCGCAGCCAGCTCTCCCCGTTGCTAGGTTTCCAAATTCATCAGAGGTGCCAGAGCTGGGGAAGGGCTGGAGCCTTGTTCTTGGTAGGCCAAGGCTCTGTGATTAGCCACTTGAAGTCCAGAAGGAACGAACAGCAAATAACAATCATAGCGGGAGGTAGTGGGGCATATCGGAAGCTAATACTTCCCACGAGAGCCCCGAAGCATCCCAGTGACAGACTTCATACCTCGGATAACTGAGCGCTAATCATCTCGATAACAGAGAGTTAATGCCGGGCTTCCAGGAAGAGCCACCACCCTGCCATTGCCCTAATCTTCCGCTAATAATCGCAGCGAGGAATAGTTATTTCATGGAGCAGCTCAGATCCAATGCGGAGCTGGAAGAGGGCTGGGGGTTGGCTCTTCCCCACACCCCAGATGGTCCCTCCCCTGCCCTCCCGCGGGCTGCCGAGTTGGCCAGGAGAGCCGTGAGCTGCTCCCCACCGGGGCCCGTGCCTATGCTTTGCATCCGAGTTGGCCCACCCGGACGGACGGACGGACGCCAGGCTGTGGAATGTTGGCTCCCGACTCCCGTCCTGCTGATTTTCCAACGTTCCCTGAGAGGCCCAGCGTGGGACCTGGCGTCCTGGGGCGGGGGGGCCGAGGTGTGCAAGGCCGAGGTGGGATCAAGGCAGGACCCCTGAAGGGTCGGGTCTGGGAGCGGTGCCCAAGAGCTGCGACAGAGACTAAAGGAGGCTGTGACAGGGGGGTGAGGGCGGAGGGCCAGGGGAAAGCCGTGCCTCTCCGTGGGGCTGCTGGAGAGCATCTCTCACCTCCGCGCCGCCCCCTCACCCCCCGGCTCTACATCCTCCTCTCCAGGAGGAGATCCGTCTTGATCTGTGCCTCGCTGGGTAGTTTCAACCAAACACGCCTGCTTTCTACAAACCCAGAACTGGCAGGTACTGCCGAGCAGGGCGGGCCTCTCTCACTCAAGGTTTCTGGCCCGTGGAACCGGCCACGCACATCAGCCGACTCGTGAGGCTGGAGGCCAGAGCCCCAGCATGACATTCCAGCAGCTTCTGGCCTGGCCCCGGAGCCCGGCCCCACCCTTTGTTTCTGTGCAGGGCAGAGCAAGGTGGGTCACACGGCGGGCCGAGGCCCCAGCTCCTGGGAGGCAGCAGGGTCCCGGATGAGCCCACTCAGCCAACACTGAGTCAGCCGCGGACCTCAGACAGCACCGTCCTGGACACCCAGAGGGTGTTGGGTGCCAGGTGGTGGGGAGCAACAGCTCTAGGCTGAAGCACCAGCCCTGCCACTTAGGGCAGCCTGACCTTGGGAGGATGGGTTCTCTCTCTCTCTCTCTCTCTCTCTCTCTCTCTCTCATCCATAACGTGAACACAGCAGTGCTTCCCTCTCCCCACGGCCACCGTGGGTGTGAAACATAAAGCCCATAGAACCACGCTGCTTGACGAGGAACAAGAGTCTCTGCTGTGTTGTCATCACCATCATCACTGTCGCCACTGTTGACTGGCATTGAAAGTGAACGAAAGACCGTTCAGGGTCATGGGAGGAGAATGGACTGGCACCCCGATCCTCGGCTCTCAGGGCATGAAGCCAGAGCACCCAATGTTCTGAGAAGGTTGGGGAAGAAGAGTCGCCTCCAGTTGTCCCACCAGCACTTAGAGGACTCCCGTGCTGGGCGCTGGGCTGCAGAGGCGAATCAGGCGGGGTCCTTGCCCGGGAGGGACGGCACAGCCTGGTGGGGGACAGCCACAGGGTGTGTGAGGCAGATGCACAAAACAACTAAGACAGAAGATGAGACAAAGCTCAGGACCCCACGCCTTGGTGAGGACGGCAGGATGCAGATGGGCCCCCGTGGCTACTTCCAGTTGGAGAGAACTGGGTGGGCAGGGCCAGCACCTCGTGGTCCACAGTTCAGAGAGGACGATGGGGGTGATGGGTGCCTCCACCAGAGTTCCTGGCGTGGGTGGATCCGTGACACATGTGGTGAAGGAACCAAAATCCGTGAGCCCCTGGAAGAGGCTGGAAGCACCAAGCTGGAGCTAGGAGGTAGCCTGAGGACCCGATGGTCAGGAACGCTGCCTCGCTGAGGCTGCCAGGTGCCCTCCCTGGAGCGCACCACAGGACGCAAGACCTAGGAGCCCAGCCACCGAGTCCTAAGATTCCTGGACTCCCTGGATCACCCCCACGCTTTAGTTGGGAAATGAGCAACAAGCAGAAGGGCTCCCCATCCTTCCAAGGGCCACGCCAGTCCCAGTGGCCCTGCATGGAACCTCTGGCCGGGGGCCCGAGGTGGATGCTGCAGGGCCCCGGCAGGTGCTTGCACTTCCCTCATAGGGAGCAACATGCCCGCTGCTCCTTTTGAATGAGGTGGACATGAATTCAGTCCCAAAAGGGTCAGACCCAGAGAGCCACGGACAAAGGGGCAGGCCTGAAAGGATGGGGGTGGTTGGGAACAATGTGGGTGGAGAACAGATGGGGGACCCCTCCAGGCTTGTCTGGGTGCTTTATCCCCAGCTTCCTGCACCTCAGCAAGGAGGCAGCTGAGGATGGGCCCCCATCGGTCCGCACCCTCACAGGCAAGGCCAGCCCCTTCTGTGGCTATTTTTAAAAAGGGGTCTTCTTTTTGTCTGATCCCACTACTATATATATTTTGATAGGAAGGGGGGAGTCAGAAAAAGAGGGGCCCAGTTAAGGAAAGGAGGATATACCCGTGTGATAAAATCGTAGGCAACCACGTAAAGTCACGTTGACCAGCACTTTTAATGATGCGAAAACAGGTGATTTGAGTTCTTCTACACAGGTACCAGAATGCTGAGTCTCCTCCTGTGGGCGGTGGCGTTGGGTTGGTGGGTATCGTGTTTTCTACATACTACACGTCTTTAAATATTTTACAGATATTTTAATAAAGGGAACCAAAGGGTCGGAGACTCCAAAAAGCCATCTTTTGAAAAATATCTGCAGAGATTCAGCATTGACTGGGCAGTCCAGACAGGCCCTGCTCTCCGGGGGCAGCAGGTGGGGTGGGAGGGGGCTCCCCCTCACGGGGCGTCTCCCTCTCGACACTCTTGCAGACGAGGGGCTATGGGACATCCTCATCAAAGACATCCCCAAGGAGGTGACCTCCTACACGTTCAGCATGGACATCCTGAAGCCAGGCGTGAGCTACGACTTCCGAGTCATCGCCGTCAACGACTATGGCTTCGGCACCCCCAGCAGCCCCTCCCAGTCTGTGCCAGGTACTGCCCATGCACCAGAAGACGCGTTGGCATGGGGACATGTCCTGTCCTCTCGATTCTCCAAGCAGTGAGCCCTGGACCAGGGCCTGGGTCAGCTTTGAGCTCCGGAAGCAGCTGGTGGCTGTGTGTCTCTGGGGTTCCTTTGCAAGGATTCCAGAAGCCCTGGGGAGGGGGCTCAGTGGGGCTTGTGGACACATCCCTGGGCCCAAGATGAGAGCTTCTGTGAGCTCATCACCCGAGAGAATTCACTCAGGCCATAAACTGCATGTTTCTATGGGAACCACCCCCAAAACAGATGCAGTGGCCTGTGGAGCATTGTCTGGGGCTGAGAGGCATAGGACTGCCACCCCTCCCCTTCTTCCTCTCATGCTTCCCGTCCAGCGCATCTTGGAGGACTCACGGAGGACTCCAGTGCCGAAACCCATGACCTCAAATCCAATCACTCGCCCAACTTTTCATACCAAGGCCCCTTCCCTCAAGGCAGAAACATAGCTCAAAATGGTAACCCAATGGGTGAGGCTCAGAAACCTGGCGGCCTCCCTCCTCCCACATATGATCTCCCTTGTCCAGATTGATAGAACCAGGGCAGGGGAATAGAAGAGCCAGCTCCTCACTAGGCAGCCTACTGGATTAGTAGTGGTTTGTGCACAAAGCATGGTACTGAGGGCTTTGAAGGAAGGAGAGCCCTGGCTGGAGGGAGCATTCTGAAGCCCCACACATGTCCACCCACCCTGTTCCCCTCACTTTCTGCTGCCACAGAAAGACTGAGTCCAGTCCCTGGGGAGAAAGTCTCCCAGGCCTACCACACACCAGAAAGGTACTCCCCAAAACGAATGTGGGCCTGCCTGTCAAGGTAGCCCCTAGGCCAGCCCCTAGGTGGCAAGAGGAGGGGGAGGTAAAAAAGGAAAATTAGCATGCACCCTACTGCTTCTCCGTCCTGTGTCTTTGGCAGACATCACTAATCAACCCCCACACTCTTTGCTGGCGAGTCCAGATGCAGCCTCAGAACTCAAAGCAGCCCTCCAGGCATCCCTTTACCAATGGATGAGAGCTGGCCCTTGAGCTAAAACTGTCCCTGCCAACCTTGTCTTAGGGTCTACCTCATTGCAATGGGGCACAGACTGTGCATGCCATAAACTGAGCAGGTGGTAGGGTCCCAGCTGGAGCAGGAGGCTTAGAGGCAGGAGGCACCTGACACCCCCCCCCCCACCATTCATGTTCCAGCCCAGAAAGCCAACCCTTTCTACGAGGAGTGGTGGTTCTTGGTGGTCATTGCCCTCGTTGGCCTCATCTTCATCCTGCTTCTGGTCTTTGTGCTCATCATCCGAGGCCAGAGCAAGAAGTACGCCAAGAAGACGGACTCTGGTGAGCTGGCACCAAGCCCTGCTGGCTGGACGGGATGCTCCTGGGTCCGCCTCCCTTTCGGCAAGGTTGGGGCCGGGGGTTCTCTCCTAGGAATGCACCTGCTCTGCTAGGTGGGGGGGCAGCCTGGGGCCCCTATGTACGATCTCCATCTCCCGTTTGGTCTCACCTCTAACAAGAGAAAGAGAGAGCATCCCGGCCAGGTGGGACAGGGGAGACCAGCGGTCTAAAGGGATGGCACGGCTGACCGGATGCGGTCTCCCCCCACCTCCCCCCTGCCAGGGAACAGTGCCAAGTCTGGTGCCCTTGGCCACGGGGAGATGATGAGCTTGGATGAAAGCAGTTTCCCTGCCCTGGAACTCAACAACCGGAGGCTCTCTGTCAAGAATTCCTTCTGCCGGAAGAACGGCCTGTACACCAGGTAGAGGGCTCTCTGCACGGCGGGGCAGGGGGGATGGAGTTTGGGGGGCCAGCAGTGCCCGGGGGTGAGGAGGACTCTTGGGAGGTCCACAGAGCAGGCAGTGTCCACGTGGTCTCACTGTCCCAAAATGGCTTTCGAGCTCAGGGGCTGGGGATGGCCCGTGGGGCCCCAGCAGCACAACCAGGGTGTGGAGGCTACAGCCCCGTGTGAGAGCACAGTAGGGAGAAAAGGCACAGGAAGCGGGGACCTGCCAGCGACAGCAAAATGCAAAGGACGTGTGCAATTTTCCCACCCAAACCGGCCACTGTTTGGAGCCAGCTGCTCCGAGGACCGGGCGGGAAGCCGTGAGAGCCGCTTGCCCCAGCAGTGGGGCGGGCCCAGCAGAGGTAGGCCGGACAGACACACCTGAGGGGCAGGTGCCCAGAGTCCCCCTGTTATTGCTAATGCCTTACCTGTCTCCTCTCAATTCTGGAAAGGGCGCTCAGAGAGTGGACACCCTCTCCCCTGGGTCCTGACTCCTACCTCTTATGGAACACTTTACTCCTACTCGCCCCACAAGTCCATGCTGCCAGCACCGTCCTCATCCTCAGAGGGCAGCGTCTGCAAACAGCCAGCCAGGAGAGGTCCATGCGGGCGGTGCACCGGGCCCCTGTGTCCTCCTGACTTGTGTCCAGCCCTAGGTCCCCGTCCCCCACCCCAGCCCCACTCCCTGTGTCAGGCTGGGCTGCCCGTGTCCGAGGGCCAGGGCAGCTGCTGGGGCCCACCTGCCAGGGCTCACCTGATGTGACCTGGCAGTCTTATGCTCCAGGGAGCTCAGGAGGGATGGAGGGGGCCGCCACCCAGCAGCGCCCATCCGCTCGGCCTCAGCCCTATTAACATTCCCGGTTCATCGGAGGGGCACGCTGGTCGGGCGCAGCTCACAAAGCTCCCCTCTGTCTCGTCCTGGAGGGAAGAGGCGATGTGTGTGTTCATCAGGAGGACAGAGGGAGGGGCGCGCAGGCCGGCCGGCCCTGCTCTCATCCCCCGCCAGATCCAGCTTTCCAAAGAAAGAGCCGTTTGAGGCCGAGGCGGTGGGCCCAGCAGGTCCACTGCAGCCCCGCCAGGCTGGCTCCGGGACCCTGCCACACGGAACAACGGGGCGTTTCACGGATGGCCCGGCCTCGCCTGCCTCTCACGCCCCCAGAGTACACACACCACGGCCCCCGTGTGTCCTCTACCCTGCTGTGTATACACAGAGATCCTGTTTGCACCAAACCAGCCCTGGGCTCTGGGAGTCCGACCCAGCCCTGGCCACACCGTCAGCTCCTCACTCACCCTGCTGGTGGCCAAGACAGCTCGAGCCTGACACCCCATCTCCACCCCCTTCCCCCTGCCCAGCATCACGCATTTGCCCGTCATGTCTACACGAAGCTGCTGCCAGTATTGTTACGGTTTTATTTTTAAGTAGTTAAGGATGCGGCTCTGTCCTTTGGAATCGAATCAGTGCAGATGTAGTACAAGAGGTTGGAGGGGGCGGGGAGGTTGCTTGGGACACTCTCCCAGGCCGTGGGATCGTTCTCAGAGCAGCGTTTCTGTAGCCAAGCACGGCTGGCCCCGGTGGGGGCTGCTGGCATTCACCACGGTTCCAGGACACCTTCCTCGAGCAGGCTGGGCAGACCCCGGGCGCAGGGCCCTGGGCAGTGCCTCCCTTGAGCCCTGTCCCGAGGAATCCCAAACAGGACAGGGTCGTGAAAGACCCCAGCCACCCACCCGCCTGGTGTCCCCAGGAGCCTGCCCAGCCCACTACCCTCACCCTCAGCTCAGGTGGTTCTGGAAAGCACAGCCTGGCCTCCAGCCTCTGGGCACCCACGGCAGGCGGAGTGCCGAGGGGCCCCGTCCTGCGTGTTCGTTCGTGCAGGTGACACAGAGCCAAGTCTCTAACTCAGTGCGAAATGCACTTTGTCCAAGGCTGATTTTCAAAGGTTGGGCAGGACTCCACGCCCAGATTCATTTCTGGTCTCTGAGCAGATCTGAAGGGAGGAGGCAGCGGTTTCCCTTTTACTCTTAATGCTTTGCGTTAACCCTCTAATGCTCCCTGGGTGAGTTCAGGAATGACAAGGGGGAGGGCGGTTTTGTCTGCAGCGCAGGCATGAAGGCCTCACCTGGGATTGTGACTCGGAGGTCTCAGGGGGGGCGCAGAAAGGCTTTCTAACATTCCCCGCCAAGGGATCCCAGTCCCCGAGGCCTTGAAACCCTGAATGGAGAGTCCAGTGGGAAGGGAGGGAGTGTCTCCCTGCCCCTCATTTCCCTGGTGCTGGTTCGGGAGGTTGGTCCAGCAGAGCCTATTGCACCCCAGGGAGGAGGGACATAGGACGGAGGCATCAAGGACCAGGCCGGCCGCTCTGGATGAGGCCGCCTCTCAGCCTCCTCACCCCTGCACCCTCTAGGTCCCCTCCCCGGCCCAGCCCTGGCAGCCTCCACTACTCCGACGAGGACGTCACCAAGTACAATGACCTCATCCCGGCAGAGAGCAGCAGCCTGACCGAGAAGCCCTCAGAAATCTCCGACTCTCAGGTGAGGGACAGGAGGGCCAGGAGCCCTGGAGTGGGAGCGGTGGGCTGTCACCTGGGTTTCCTCGTCTCCTGGCCTTTATGGGGCCGCAGAGACTAAGGGGCCCCAGAAAACTAGCCGGGAGTCGGATGTGGACCTGCTGTCCCCTGCTAAGCTCTGCTCAGAGTTTGCTCCAGGGCCAATGGGGACCCTGTAACCTTGACCAGATAAGACCACTCCCCCCCAACACCTCTCGAGTGTCCAGAGTCTCCTCACCTGCTCTGGCCTGCAGGGGAGCTCATGAAGGCCAAGAGAAGGAGCCCTATGTTGCCAGGACTGACCTTCGCTGGTTCGGGTCAGAAACTGAGGGCGTAAGTCCCGGAGCCCCAAGGATGGGGAGCGGTGCAGCCTAGCGAGGCCCTAAGCTTTGGAGGCTCGGGCCTCAGTTTGCATCATGGCTCTGCTGCCTGTGGAGCAGAGCATCCTGGACGGGGTAGGCAACCTCTTTGAGCCTGGTTCTCCATCTGCAGAACAGGCGAGGATGCTAACCGGCTGTGTCTCGGGGCTGTGGGATTGCTGAGATGGGGCCCAGAGAAGCTGAGCCAGCACGCACAGCCGCTGTTCAATAAATGTCAGGTTCTATATTAAGAAGGAGCTGGTGCCTCTGGGAGACACGGAGCTTTAGAGAGGCTGCCATTAGGTGGGCCACATAGGGACACTGTTCCAGATCGTGGGGACGGGGTGGGGGGGCAGGTTGAGTGCATTCCAATGAAGTCATGTCGTGGCCTCCCACCCAGCCCTCTTGGCCCTGGCCAAGCCTGGTGGTTGCCCAGGAAGGGACCGAGAAAGGCCACGGCATCCCACGCCCTAGACCTTTCTGCCCCCGGTCCTGGGAGAGGACAGGAGCGAAGGGGTGCCAGCAGGGAACGAGGCCATCCGCCAAGCAGGAGGTGCCAGGGCACCCGGGATCCGGTCACGGGCCCAGTACCCGGGGCCTCTGGCTCACTACTGTTTTGTTCAGCTCCAGGGTTACTGATGGGCTTGGCGGAGCCCACAGGGCTGGAGCTAACACCCCAGCTCACACAGAGCTGGCAGGGACAGAGACCCCAACTTAGCCTGGCTAACTCAGGAACTCACATGATTCCGGTTGTGGCGTCGTGTTATAAGGATTTAACTCTTTGCGGCCATATACAACCTGAGACCTCCCAGGCCACGCTTCGCTGAAGCATGGTTTTCCTTTCTTTCTCCCTAAACGTGGCCATGAGCATGTCAGTTCTAGGCACTCAAGGGAAAATTCCCCCAAAAAAGTAAAGGGACTCCCTCTGCCCGAGAGGCTGTGACAAAGGGCTCCTTAGGCCACACTCTGGTCTATGGAGACCACAGGGGCTCCCCGTGCTGCTCTGACCCGACTCCTTCAACCTTCCGCAGAGGGCCTTACTCCCGCACACTCTTTGGCTGGCACTGACCTTTCAGGGAGTGAGCCCTCTGAGTGCGGAAGATACTGCCCAGATGCCTTCCCATGGCTCGTGGCCATCTCTCCGTGAGTCAGGAGGAACCTCCTCCAGGATGCGGCGCTGGCCTGAGGCCATGCCAGGACCCCCAGCCTTGAAGAAGTCACTGAGAGAAGCACCGTCATCCTAAGGCCACCCTACTCCAGGGTCCTTGGAATCCCCCGCTTCCCCCTGGTGTCTTTTGTTCAAAACCAGCCCATCACTTTGAATACGGTTTCCATAGCAATCTGGAACCAGTCACCTACGGGAAGCACATGGCCCGGAGAGGGAGGCCTCCTCGTTCCAGAAGCCTCATCACAGCAGAAGGCCCACATCCCCCTTCACGGGGAGCAGTGGACCCCAGCCCAGGCCTCGAGCTCCGCCTGTGGACCTTGGGATGGCTTGGGGTCTGATTTGGAGCTCGGTTGGGTTTATTTATGTCAAGCTGAGTTCCATGAAGACAGAGACTTCGACAGTCTGTCCGCTACCCGGTGTCCGTCTTGGCACGGGGTACGTGGCATGTTGCACACTGTCCTGAAAGCACAGGAGGGTCACTGAAGAAGCTGGTCAAGACCAAAGCAGGTTGGCAGGACAGAGAAACAGGTTCAGGGTTGTCACACCATTCCTTTGGGACCAAGGCCAGAAGGCACACGTTCGGAGAGGCGTGGCCCTTCAAAGTGACGCTGGTGACAACGGTCACACGCCCTGCCCTCACCCTCCCACGTGCCTCACCACTTCCTAGTCAGACCCTGCACACAGGCCCTTCTGACACAGAGCCCAGCTTGGCGCCTCGGTCCTACCCTGCCCCAAAGCCAGTGACGTCACCCTCACGGCAGACCTTTCTGGAAAGGCCTTCAGAGCTAGCCGATGAGACACTTGAGAGCAAGTGACTGTGGGTTTCCTTTAAAGAAACACAAAAAAACAAAGCTTGAGCTCATCTAAAAGGATTGAGACATACACTCAGAGGAAAATTCCAGAGGCATTGAGGCTGTTGCCCAAGAAAGGTGCCCTAGCAGCTTCGCAGAGCGGATCACTCGGGTGATCATCCAGCCCCATCACAGGGTGGCTTTGAACGGGGAAACAGTCATTTGAAAGCAGTAGCGCGTGGTCATGGCTGGTGTTCAGCCCCGGGGCTTGAATCCTGGCTCCGTTCCTCCCTGACTCCGGGATGGGGAGGGGGACCTTCGCAGCCCACACCCACACAGCACGGTGGCACCCTATGCAAGGGACCGTTACAAGGAGCGCATGCCGGGGGATGGAGTCAGGCTCGTCACGGGGGCCCTGGAGAAGGCAGTCAGGATCCTTTGGGTCTGTTTGCGTTGAAATTGTTCTTGAAAACCAGGCAGTTGGCTTTGGGGCCGCTGCAGGTCATCTAGGATCCTGGAGGCCATTGCCAGAGCACTGGCATCTTCAGAGGTACACGGCTCAGGAAGCCCTGAGAGGGCCCAGCCACCTCGCCCACGGGCCCCACCACGCCCCAGGCCCAGGGCACCAGCATGCTGTGCCGGTGCTAAGCGTACCTTTAGGTAAGAGGTCAAATTGCTTCCATACCTGCTGGGAGAGAGCCACCATCCTGAGCCCCCAAGGGTCCCCGACGGGACCCCAATCACAGACTGCTCTGTGATTTCACCACGACAAGACCTGACCCCCACTTACCTGTTATGCCTCTGGGGTCAGATCAAACTCTGTGCCTTGACAGCTAAAGGGGCCTGATGTCAGCATCTGCACTGGTGGGTGCAGCGGGGGGCGGCAGGGGAGCCGCACAGCCTGACTTCTCCTCCACCCTCATTCCTTGAGTGTGGACTCCAGGGACATAGAGGTGATGGAGACGTGACCCTGCCTCCAGGGAGCTCCGGGTGGGCTGGAGGGGACAGGCCCGGAGGCAGAGCGGCTGGTCTCCCTCGGATGCCCTTGTTGAAAACACAAATAAGCAGATCCTATTACTACTGACCGGCCCCTGAGAAGCAGCGCAGCTACACGCCAGCGTCTGGTATGAAGAGCATCCGCCACGGCGACTTGCAGTTGGGGGGCTTATGGTGGATGCTCCGCGGTCCTCCTGCACGGGGTGGCCTCTGCAGGGACCTGTCCCCCCGGGGTCAGCAGCCACGCAGGCGGCGGGTGGGGGGGTGGGCCTGCATTTCAGCCGCTCTGGAGAAGGATGGCCTGACCTTTGGAAGTCCCCCTCCCCCTAGGTCCTCTGGGAGTGAATCCCGCGTCTGCCTGCCTGGTTTCTATTCCAAGTCAGACCACCCAAAACCGACTCTCCAAAAATTGGCAGAGATTTGCCCAGCCCTTTTCCTGCGATACGGAAATCGACGGAAGTCCACGTTGCTTATAAACAAACCCACATGATAAGATGTGAGAAAGGCCGTCGCGGGGCTGTGGGAAGATGCGGGGCGGGCCTGGGGAGGGGCTGTCCCCCCAGGGGTGCGAGGGGTGCGGGTTGGAGGGGGCTCCAGGCAGGGGGACACACAAAGGCTGAGGTCTGAAGAGCCCACGGGCTCCTTGGATGCAACTTCTGAAAACAAAGCCTGGCTGCGTTCCAACGGCATTTTCAAAGTAAGAGCCCAAGTATGGGAGAGGAATTGCCTGGCACACAAGTTAAGTCTCAATGGAAAAGGAATTTCCAGCCAATGGCACGCCTCTTCTAATAAATATTCAGTCTTTGTGATGTCCTGGGCGGCCCTGGGAAACTCGCTGTGATGAAGTGAAGCCTGTAAGAAAATACACGGGGCGAATTACGTTGTCTCGGGCACCCAGTGGTCAGGGTGAACGTTTACGGAGGCCTTACTGGCGGCCAGGAATGACCCCAAGGATTGTTCAAGAATGGCACCCCTTGACCCTCAGGGTGCTGTGCAAAGCCTGGTGGGCTTATCTATATTACAGGGGGCACGGGGCCTCTGGACGACAAGGCCCAGGTTGCAGGGTGGGCCACCGGGGCCCCCTGCACACCTGCTGTGTGCCATGCCCGTTGGGTTGGGCCCTGGGTGACACCGTGGTGGTTTTGTCCTCCCTGGAACCTGTGCCCTCCTTTCTCGGTGCATTTATTCAACAACTACTTTCTCTGCACCCACTCAACAGTACCAGGCGCTGTGTGTGTGCACACGTGGCAGCTCCAGTAGTGAGCAGGACGGACCCTCTGAAGGCTGCGTTATGGTGTGTTGCGATCCACTGGGGGAAACCACATGTTTCAAATAACCACACGTTTTCATTTCTCATTAAAATTTTACGGCACCACAGTATCTAACTTCAGGAGGAAAATGGAGAGCAAAAGGCTTCCTGTTTCTCGTGGTGCAGGGACGGAAAGCCCCGTGAGTCGTCTGCGGGGAGGGAGGGGAGTCACAGAGGGCTGCCTGGAGGAGGTGGCATTTCAGCTTGGCCTCAGAGCGTGAACGGACTGGGTCGTGCCTAGAAGCGGGGAGCAGTGCGGGTTTATAGGGTTGTGTTTGGCTGAATGGCTCCGTCGTCCCCTCCTTCTGAGTGTCGGAGTGTCTGGCCTTTGATCAGTGATTGCCTCTTGTCCGTTGAGTTGCGTCGCGAGTCTAAGAGAGTCACTGAGGCCCATCTCCTGCTGCTTCTCATTTAGAATCTAACCATCCCACCATGCAAGTAGCAGGACCCCGGGTTCACAGACAGGTGAAACTGAGGCTCAGAGACGTCAAGCAGCTTGCCCTCCATCATGGAGCTCGGAAGTGCAGGCAGCGGGAATTCAAATCTGGGGCTGGCTGGCTCCCAGGGCCTCACCCAGATGCCCGGCACAGAAGGGAGATTGAGGGAGCGAGGCCTCCACTGACCCCGACACCCCCGCCCATCCCAGTGACCTCCCTCCCATGAGGCCCCCAAACAGGAGCATGTCCGAAGGTGGTGGGGAGCGCACAGGCTGACTATCACGTCACCTGTAGGGGGCACAGGTAACCTAGGTGACCTCGTGTCCCAGTGTCAGCTTTCAAAGGACATTTCCCCAGGGAGAAGATTTCGAGCTGTTTTAGTACAAGAAGCCCAGATCCCTAACAGAATTGTGCCTAAAGGGGGCTTCCAGGGAGGGAGACACTCAGCACCCCACCCCCGCAATCTCTGATGCCCAGGAGGGGCCCACTGGCTCAGGGGAAGGGCACCCCTCTCCGCCTAGACCCACACGGAGGGCCCCTGGGCCACAGATGATGGAGGGGCCCCAGCTTCCACAGGAGCCCATACAGGGGACCCCGTGTCCTCTGGGGCGACACATTCCTTCCTGCCAGACTTCAACGAGAGGAGGGCACCCTGCCCGGGCCCCGGGGTCCCCCACCACGGCCTCCTGAGTCTGCTGTGGGAGTCCCTGCGCAGAAGGCTCTCCTTTGCTCCCTCCCTTTTGTTGTGGGCTCCAGTCGGGGTCCTCCCCCCCTCTGGCCCCCCTCGCCCGCCACTCCCCTCCCCAGGCCCAGTAATTGCTGAGTGAGTGGCTTTGAGGAGCTGTTAAGAGGCCCCGGAGCTGGAGCAGTCGCCTGATTGCCTGGCGGCCTGGCGGGACTGCCCGTGAAAGGTCCCCTTTGTGCTGGGCCGGTTACTGGGAAGCTGCATTCAATTACCGAGGCCCACGTGAGAGTTGAAAGCCGGAATGGGCGCCCCGGGTCCCCCCTCGCCGGCTTTCTTCCCTTCTCACCCCACCCCCATGCAGAAAAGAAACAGATGTTCCAGGAGGTGGTGCAGGCGGGAGAGCAGGGTCGCCGAGGCAGAGACCGCCTCCCTCCACCCCCCTCCCTCCGCGGGCTCCGGAGGCCTGGCGGCTGGGCCGGCCCACCTCAAACCCCCTGCTCCTCCTGCCTCCGTGGGCTCCTGGCTCTTGCTTTCACGGCTTTTCCGTACCTGTCAGGTGTCTGGCACACATAGGTGCTCCACAGTGGGTAGCCATGGGCGGTGATGATGTGCATGAATGGACTTTGGGGCCTGGGCCCCGGGAGGGCCAGAGAAGCCCATCCCCACTCGAGCGATGCTTTACTTTGAGGGGGCAGGAGCGGAACATTCTTCCCCTTTCCCAGCCGCCTGAACACGGAGTCATCCTCCGTGACTCCTCCTTTCGATCCCTCCTGAGGCGCTTCTGAGCCTTTTTCACTCTGTGAACTACAGACAGACATCTACCCATTTTCCTGACAAGGATACTGAGGCTGGGAGAGACCAAGGGAGGGATCCAAACTTGGCTAGCAAGGGACCGAGTCGGGACTTGGCCATGGCACAGCCACATCCTAGGTGCTCATTCAGTCTGGGATGGGGGCTTCAGTGACAGGGACTCCCTTGTGGGGCTAGCTAAGTTCTGGAACCCCTAGTAAGGACGCTAGCAATTCTGCAGGCTGGTTGGTGGGGGCCCTCCTGGAAAGATGTGACCCATGGGCAGAACTGTGGGGTGGCCGTCTCCCAACCCCACACTTACAGCCCCTCGCTGCTCCTGGACCAGGGCCCCCTCCTCGCGCCCCCGCCCCGTGGATGGCATCCACTGCAGCTTGCTCACACCTCTCCTGCCTCTGGGCCAGCTAACCCGCAGCCCCAGGCCCCAGGTGCCCAGCCCTCAGGTGCTCAGCCCTCAGCCCCCTGCCCACTCTTGGCATATGGAGCCCCTGTCTGTAGGGCCCCTTTGTTCCCTCCTGGGCCGGCAGCTGGGCAGCAGGCAAAGAAAGGGGCTCGTGTTGTACTTCTCCATGTCATGGGGACAGCGAGGGACTTTCCATTGTCTCTGGCAGCCAGTTCTGCCGCCAAGAGGACCGAGGTCCTGGGAGGGTGTGCAGGGTGGTGGTAAGGACTGTGGAGGGGTGAGGTGGAGGCGGGGAGGGGCCAGACAACAGCAATTTGCAGATTGAGGAGGGAGTGTGTCATCCCCCCTGGGAGGGGAGTCCGGCTCTCATCCCCGTCTTGTGACCTCCAGGCAGGAGCCGGGGGGTCATCCAGAGCATGTGTGGGCTTTGGGAAAATCAGGCGGATGGCCGTCCCCCAGCTCTGGGGCCGACCCTCACCCTGTCTGCACCGCGTTCTCGGTACTCACGGAGCAGTGGCAGCCACAAGGCCAAGGTGTGACGGTCAGCCACAGTGTCCTGCTGCCCCGGCTGGCGTGGCTGTAGTTCTATCTGTCATAGATCTTTCCCGTGAGGCGCCAGATGCCATACGGGACTTCGGGTTGCTGGGGGGCCAGCGCACCTCGCACTCCCCAGAGCTCAGACCCCTCGCTGCCGGGTCAGCCGCTCTCCGCTGGCTGTACTGGTCACGCAGCATGCAGCTAATCCCCCCGGACTCGTGTGCACTGGGTGCACTGGGTTTTCTTGCTGCAGTGGGTTTGATCAAATGATATGAGGGCCAGGACGCGGGGGCGGCAACCCGAGTGGGGCCTTCCCAGCTGCATTTCACGGACAGTGTCCCGTTGGCTCAAATCAGAGCGCGTCTCTTCCAGAGAGTTCTAAAGCTGTTCCCATCTGTCCTCTCCTTCGTTCTCAAAACACTGCTGGGAGCAGGGGGAGGGGGGGACACGATATTTTTAGCTCCACGATTCAGATGCGAACCACGGAGAGCAGAGGTTTTACTTCTGCAGCCCAGCCTGACTCTTGCCTCCTGCCGATTCCCCACCCCACCCCCTCCCTAGGCCAGCGAGAAGTATCGACAGTTTTAAGGATAAGTTCACATTTTGCGTTTATGAGAAAAAGCTCCAGGGTCGTCAGTCGTGTGACGTTGAGAACTCTTGTTGATATTTCTCCCATGCTCGATTGATAACCGAGTGTCGCTTTTATCCTGGATGGCGCGTGGGCGGGCACCCGCGTCCCCTGGGCGCCAGGAGCCTCTGCAGGTCCGGCCCTGGCTTCGTCGTCCCCAGTCACACCGAACGTCAGAGGCGGACAGAGATCGGAACTCAGTGTATCTCGTGCATGAACGTCTGTTCTAAAACGTCGGGTTTGTTGCTATCCAGGTATGGCAAGGCCCGTAGATGCGGAGATGACTGCCCTTGAGAAAACTAATTATTCACAGTTCCTGGGAAGAGGGGACGCATCACACTCTGTAGGGCCATTCAGGAAGCACCCTCGTGGCTGCTTCGTCCCACCTTCGTGGGACCTCCACGAAGGAGGGAGCAGAAGGGACACGTGGGCAGGAGCCTTTAATGTAAGAGCAGGCTTAGGTTTGCTTGAATACGTTCAGTGGACCCTGGGGTTGAGAGGGGCTGTCCCTAGGTGTCTGGTACCTGGCCCTGGGATGCCGAGGGACAGGGGAGGAAGAGTCACTCCGAAAGGGCATCCGCTGGCTGCCAGGACTGACCAGCCCCGGGAGCCATCGCCCCTGCAGACTCAGCAAGGCCCCACGTGTTCGAGCATCGGAAACACAGAAAATGAAAAGGCACGATGAATTCCATCCCGAAAACATTATGCTAAGTGAAAGAAGCCAGACCCACAAGCCACATGCTCTGTGATCCCCCCACCCCCCCGTAGGAAATGTCCAGGGAAGGTAGATCCACAGAAGTAGAAAGCGGGTGGGTGGTCACCTGGGGTGGGCGCTGACTGCCCGTGGGCACAGGCTGCTGAAAACGTTCTGGAACTGCACCGAGCGATGGTTGCCCGACACTGTGAATGTACCCAAAGCCACTGAACCTCACACTTTAAAACAGCTTTATGTTCTGTGAATTTCCCTTCAATCGAAGGGATCCCCATCCGGGGCCTGCAGGTGGGGGCAACACCACGATGGACACTTGGTCTGTCTCCGCGACGTGCTCCGAAGGGCAGGGAAGGTGGGCATGCCGGGGCGTCGGGTCCCCCTTGGCGGTGAGGGCGCAGCGGTGGCCACCCTCTCCTGTCCAGGGGCCTGGGAGATTCATACGGGGGCGCCTGGGGCCTTCCAGCCCTGAGCACCCTGACCTGGCCCCACCAGGCCCCTGACTCCCTGATTCTCCGTCCCCCCAGGGAAGCGACAGTGAGTACGAGGCCGACCCCACCCACCAGAAGGCCCACTCCTTTGTCAACCACTACATCAGCGACCCCACGTACTACAACTCGTGGCGGCGGCAGCAGAAGGGCATCTCGCGGGCCCAGGCCTACAGCTACACGGAGAGCGACTCTGGCGAGCCGGACCACGCCACCGTGGCCAACAGCAGCGGCGCCCAGCAGGGCAGCCTCTTCCGGCCCAAGGCCAGTCGGACCCCAACGCCCCAGAACCCCCCGAACCCCCCGAGCCAGCAGAGCACCCTCTACCGCCCCCCCAGCAGCCTCACCCCCGGCTCCCGGGCTCCTATAGCAGGATTTTCCTCGTTTGTTTGACGTCGTCCTCGTCGGAAGGGGGAGAAGAGAGAAAAAAACAGCACCAACCGCCCCCCCACCCGCCCCTCCCCGCACTGCCTGCCAGAAAACAAAAACACCAAGAAACCAAGTCAACTTTTCACCTCCTGAGTTTATTTTTCCAGAGATTCCAGGGCCAGCAGAGCCGGTGTTGAGAAGGACGAGAAGGAAGCCACGAGGGAGGCCGTGTGTGGCCGGCGCCTGGTTGGCTCCAGATTGTGGGGTCCACTGCTCCCTTTGCGAACGGTGCAGGGTCGGGGGGCCTGGGAGAGCAGGGGGGCAGCGAGAAAGCAGAGGCCTGGAGAGCTGCGAGGCAGCGTGGCTGAGGGGACCAGAAGCTTCTGGAAGTCCTGACAGCTGCCCCTTCCACGTGCACTGGGGTCCCGGGCCCATTGCTGGCTGGTGGCGTGCAAGGCTGGGCATCCCTGGGGGGGGGGGCAAGCTCACCTACTCTCTCCACACCCCCCACCCCTCCGCGTGCATCACTGGAAGGCCTCGGACGGCCCCCTGGCCTGCTCCTCTGTCCCCTCTGCTCTGCTGTCCTGTCTCCTCCCTGGCTCAACGTCTCCACCAAGCACTTGGTTTATTTAGAGAAAGGAAAATAAGGAAGGGGTGAGGGTCTGCGTAGCTAGCTCTTTGTTTCTTACAAACTGTTTTCATTGTGAATCCAAGGAAGAGCCCCCCACAGCACCTCGGGAGAGCAGAGGGACAGGGCACTGGCCAGGCATCACCGGGATAACTGGGCCCTAATGCAAGAAGTGAAGAATGTAAGAAAGAAGCTTGGCTTCCCTCTTTCTTCGAATTTAGGTTCCTCCTGCGTCCTCCGTAAAGGAAGCAGCCTAGACAAGGAAGTTCAGTGGGACTGGAGAGCTAGGCAGGGGTGAGGACTGGCCATCTAGGCAGACACACCCCTGTCCCTGGATAGACCCCCTCCTCCCAAGACACACACAAGCTCCCCCCCTACCCAGCATTTGCAAGGAGGAGGGTCTAGGGATCCTCTCCAAGAGAAATCCCTTTGGGTCCTAGCCACACGGGACACTCACGTCCAGATGTGTGTCCCTCTTCCTCTCAACCCAGAGCGATCCATGTCTAAAACACGCCCCCCCCCCCGCCCCTGCCAAGCACAGGGGTGCAGAAGCCCGGAGGGGTGGGCCAAGCCCCTGGTCTAGAGGCCAGAGCTCCCAGCATTTGCCCAGTCGGCCCGGTGCCCGGTTTGCAAAGAGTCAACCCCCCAGCCAGGTCTTCCAGGCTCTGCTCAGCCTCGCCAGGGCTCGGAGCAAGGAGGGGCCCCGTCCGAACTGGACACAGCTCCTGAGATGCACAGCCAGGCCGGGAGGAGCAGGTCAGATGGGACCAAGGACAAGAATAGCTGACGGGAAGCAGGGCTTTTACACACAATCTGCTCCAAGGAATGTTCTTTAGAAAAAGCCACTTGGAGTGGCCTGAACCTTCCCTCCAGCCCCCGGATGAAGGGATCAAGGGAAGAACCTCTCTGTCGGATTCTCTGAGTGCCCCTGGCTGGTCCTGCCCCACAGTTTGGGGTGGACGGCAGCCCCTGGGAGAGAAGAGGGTCCTGCAGGGACACGTTCAGTTCAGCGTGGGGCCCCTTCGGGGGACAGGGCTCTCTGGGGGTGCCGCACACGGGCCCCATCTCCGTGTGAGGGGAACAGTTAGGGGAGACCTGAGAGGAGGATCTGGGAGGCAAGCCCAGGAAAGCGAGGGTCCACACCCGGCCCCACAGCACCCCCACATCAGCTGAGGGGGATGGGAGCAGAGCCAGGGGCCCGAGGGCAGGGCACACCTCCCGGGGCGCTCAGCCCCTGGGGGTTGCTGGTCGAGGTCTCCGCAGCCCCGGCCCACACATGGGCTTCTCCACAAAGGGGCTCTGGGGAGGGAAGCACCCTGGCCCGGCCTGCCCTGCACACAGCTGGCGTCTCCATGGCAGCACATCTGCTGCGCACCCCCCCCCCACCTTGTGTGATCTCACACTTTTCATCTCATCTTTTTTTTTTTTTTAACAACTTCATCCTTTCCCTTATCTGCTGTGTGTTTCGCCATTTATGGAAGTTCACAGTTTGCATTTGGGGATGAAATTGAGCCCAGCCCAGTGAGGACTCTGGGGGGGGGGTTGGGGGTGGGGGGAAGTGGGGCAAGTGAAGCAACCTGTGTGTGTGTGTGTGTGTGTGTGTGTGCGTGTGCGTGTACTGCCCACGAGGCCGGATCTCCTTTGACTTCCATGGATCGCCTAGGGGCACTGACATGTGCCCCCTCCCCCTCCCCACAGGCTCATTCACACCCACGCTGACACACCCGTGCACACTTGGCACTGTGCTCACACACATGCGCGCCCATACACACACACGTGCACCGAACACACATCTGGGTGTGCGTTCGCAAAGAGGCTTGCAGTTCCTCCCGATGGCTGGAGTTGTCCCTGGTGAGGCCCCGGGCGGCTGGGGTCACTCCGCCTGGAAGGCAGCTGGGACCTGTTGTCTCTGGGGGGTGAGGACATTGCACACCCCCGAAGGCAGGCCGGGCCGGAGGAGAAAGTCCAGCCTTTAGTCCGTATCCGCCCCCCCACGATGTCGCCCCGCCACCCAGCCACGCCTGGAGGCCGGGTCTCCAGCCAGGGAGCTCCAGACTTCTAAGGAGGACACCTCTGCCCTCGTTTACGTATCTGCCGGGGCAGCCGAGGCTCCCGACCCCTGACCACACACCTGGGCGCATCGGAAGGATGTGCTGGGGGCGCGGGCCCCGGGGCCCTCCCTGCCCTTGGGTTTCCTGGGCCAATGATGCCGGGGCCCTTGTCTGCGTGGCCACCTGAAGCAGGTCCACAGCAGGACACCTGTGCCAGGTGGCTCTGCTTCTGTGTGCCCTTGGGAGAGCTGGGGTTGCACCTGGCAGGCGGCCACGGCGCCCAGCGCTGCCCTTCCCCCTAATGGCCTCGCCCCCCGTGGGCACAGCGGCCCTGCGCCCAGGCTGGTTCCAGAAGCACCTTTCTCCGGGGGCCCCAGGGAGATTGCACACCCAGCTGGCCGGGCCCGTCCCCTCACCTGACACTGCCGTGACTCAGAAGAAATGACACTTGTGTGGCTGCCCCGCCCAGAGCACCGCCGCCCCGCGAGGCCTTCCGTCTCTGCCCACACCTCCTCCCTGGGCAGAGCTTTTAAAGGTGCCAGAGCCTCCCAGAGCCCACTCTGGGCAGGGGCTTCCCTCCCCTCCCCACGGTGCACATGGTGTGAGGGGCTGGAGGACCGGAGCGAGGGGTCCCCCGCCCCCGGCCCCAGCAGCAGCTGCCCCATCCGAGTGCCTCTGTATGGTCCTGCCCAGTGGCAACCCTGGCCACCACCCGGAGCACAGATGCCCTCTTGGGACCACCCCCTTCTCTCTGTTTCCGTAAGAATAACCAAAAGCATTTAAACGTGTTACCTTTCTTTACACATATAGACTCCAAAAACAAAAACCACCACAAATCTTTATTTTTTGATTTAAAAGATATAATGAAAAATTATGGGGAGACTATTCATTGTGGCAGGTGTCTATCTGTAAGAAAAAAATATATATCTATATGTCATATAGCTTGTTAGCGGGTTTATTTTTTAAATGAAAGGTAAGAAAGAAATTGATTTGAAATATATACCACGAGATGTCCCATGGCCTGTCAAACTTGTCAGTATTTTATAAATAAACTTTTTTTTTTTTGGAGTTCTGAAGCAACATTTATTCTTCTCCTCCTTGGAAGGTAAGTGGGGGCCGCTCTCTCATATTAAACTCAAGCAATCTGAATCTGAATCTATTAAACTGAAGCAATCCTCCAGCGTCCACTGTTAGCCATGCTGGGTTTTTGCAGAGACGAGGGCCCAACTTACTTGCCTTCTTAATTCATAGGTGAGTGGACATCCGTGCCTTCAAATGCAGCACGCTATTTTATTTATTTTACGCTTTTAGGATAAGAGCCACTCGGAGTGCAACAAATTGGAGGCAAAATGGCAATGATTAATAACGATAGCTGACACTTGTGTGCCATTCACCCTCTGCCAGACACCGTTCCTACCACTTTACATTGATTAACTCTGGGAATCCTACGACAGCGCCTTCAGGAGGGAAACTGGATCAGGGGACGGTTTAAGAGGGTTGCCCTTGAGGATTGGAAAAGCCGGGGTTTGTACTAAAGCGGTCTGGTGCTAGAAACATGCGCTGCCTCTGTGATACTTTTTTTTTTAATTTTTTTTATTTATTTATGATAGTCACACACACACAGAGAGAGAGAGAGAGAGAGAGAGAGAGAGAGAGAGAGAGGCAGAGACACAGGCAGAGGGAGAAGGAGGCTCCATGCACCAGGAGCCCGATGCGGGATTCGATCCCGGGTCTCCAGGACCATGCCCTGGGCCAAAGGCCAGCACTAAACCGCTGCGTCACCCAGGGATCCCCCTCTGTGATACTTTAAGGCAAGTTCCTTGCCCGCGTTCATCTTCATTCCTACAATTCCAGCACCGCAGACCCTAATGTGGATGTGATAAGAGCCACCGTGGTGCTCGGTGGAACTAACCTGGTTAGTCCACCGGGGTTGAGAGTGATGGCTTGAATCGCTGAGTGTCTGAGCACAGGGGTATCACACGATCCCACATTTCTCTCACATACAGTTCGATTCAAATAGAAAGGGGACGAAGGAAAGATGATGTTGATAGTTCTTGTAATGCCACTCGATGAGGACGCTTATTTTCTATAGCCTACATTGCCATGTGGTGTAATCAGACATCCCTACAGAGGTTACCCAACTAACCAAAACGATGAAAGCAGGGAATTTTTTTTTCTTTTTTTTTTTTTATGATAGTCACACAGAGAGAGAGAGAGAGGCAGAGACACAGGCAGAGGGAGAAGCAGGCTCCATGCACCGGGAGCCCGACGTGGGATTCGATCCCGGGTCTCCAGGATCGCGCCCCGGGCCAAAGGCAGGCGCCAAACCGCTGCGCCACCCAGGGATCCCGAACTTTTTTTTTTTTTTGAGATTTTATTTGTTTATTCATAAGAGACACAGAGAGAGAGGCAGAGACACAGGCAGAGGGAGAAGCGGGCTCCTTGCAAGGAACCCAATGTGGGACTCGATCCCAGGACCCCGGGATCATGACCTAAACCAAATGCAGTCACTCAACCACCGAGCCACCCGGGTGTCCCCACACTGAACTTTATGACCAATCTTCAAGGTGATTTTCAAGGGTAATTTGGACTACACATAGTCTTCATCTTACACATAATTTGGAGCCCAACCCCACATTAGATGCAACTCCACTCCACTCCACTCCGCTCCTCCAATTTGAGGCTGTTGGGGGCAAAGGCATTCCACAACCTGGAGTCAGAAGAGAGGATTCTGATCGTTCTAGAACTGTCACTGGCAAACTAAGTGCCTCTTAATTTTCTCAGGGGAAACAATTGAGGTACCGGCAATTTGACTGATGAAAGGATCAAAGAAAATAATGGGATTTGAAAGGAAGAGCGCTGAACACCAAAGAGCATGTCTTCCTGGTGGCGCATTTGTTCTAGACACAGAAGACAACTCCTCGTAATCTTTAATTCCAGGGTTCTTCCTCATTCTTTTCTTTTTTTTTTTAAATCTTTTTTTAATTAATTTATTTATTTATGATAGTCACAGAGAGAGAGAGAGAGAGGCAGAGACACAGGCAGAGGGAGAAGCAGGCTCCATGCACCGGGAGCCTGATGTGGGATTCGATCCCGGGTCTCCAGGATCGCGCCCTGGGCCAAAGGCAGGCGCTAAACCACTGCCCCACCCAGGGATCCCTCATTCTTTTCTAATCCCAGACACCGCAGCCGGGGAGCGTGGCCTCCGGCTGCCTCTAGCTCCATTGCCAAAAACAGTGCCCACCCCCAACCCCAAAAAAAGTCAATCAGGGAGGAGGGGAGGGAAGGTGCTTCCCAAAGCCAAGGAGATATGGTGTGAGGGCATATTCTGGTTTGGATCATACACAGTACTCCTTGCCAGGTAACCTCACCTGAGAAACATCAGGAAAGGCCTCTCAGAATCCAGTGAATTTTCTTTTCTTAGAGCTTCCAGAGTGACTAGCTGGGAAAACCACTTTGGATTGGGGAGATTAACCAAAGAGAACACAGGGTTCCCACAAATTTCAATTTCAACTTGAACTTGAGCTCCACCTTTACCAGCCTCTGCTACCTCATCTGTGGAATGGGTTCAACTCGTGACTCTTCCGACTCTTCAGACTCCTGGAATGAAGTGTAGGGAAATAACCTCTTTGACAGAGGTGACCTCCAGAGATGTACCCATCCCCCCCCCTCGGACAAGTCCCCCAACCCAGCTCCTCTGTCCAGAATTATCAGAGCTACTTTTTTTTTTTTTAAAAAAAAACCTCCTGATCTTTCTGGCAAAGCCCTTGACCATGAGGCTTGGCTACAGTCAACAGGTGGAGAAAGTGGCTACTTTTTTCCTTTTTCAGTCCTAGCTTCTGGCAGGAAAGAGACACTGAGGCAGTGGCTCTGCGGGTGATGGGTTGTGAAGTGGTTAAGGTGCGGTGTAGGAAGGTAGGAGGGAAAAGAGACTTGGATGGGCCTACGCAGTCAGCTCCAGGTTCATCAAGCCAATTGGCTCCATTTGACCCAAGATGGACTGCCCCCAGCACCTACTCCAAGGCTCCCAGCACATACCACAACCACCCATCTCCAGTGCTGGCCCTCATAGGCCCCAGGGAATCCAGGAGACCTTAGCAAGTCCCACTTGGACGCTATCGAGCCAAGTGCTCAGAAGTCAAGCAGTGACACAGGAATGGAAATGAATGACTAGAGTTTGGCTCACTTAGCTCCCAACATTGACCGTCCAAGGCCACCAGGCTCTCTGTGTTGGGGTTTATCACTACTTAGCTAGAGCTTCAGCCAAGGCCGGAGTTACTCCAGATGACACAGGGTTCAGAGCCCAGAGAACATCATCCATTGCTCTGGAGGGATCTAGATGCAGTGGCACCCTCGGTGTGACCCTTCTGGAATTTACTGCCCTGGAAGCTGGTTGCACGGACATGAGCCCAGGGTAGGACCAGCCTGACTGAACTGACCAGGAAGGCTCCTCCGTGTGGCCTTCATTACATACGCA